ATAGTTCCATACACATTATTTGTTTGTTTTTTCCCCCACTAATCAAAGAACTTGTATACCTGTCCTCCAGCTGCGCACGCTGCTACGAGACCAAACTGGCCTCCCTCTTTCTGCAGCCGGTGTGCGACTGTTGTGACCAGTCTGCAGCCAGTGGCACCAAACGGATGGCCCAGAGACAGAGAGCCGCCCCACAGGTTGAACTTCTCCATAGGAGGAGTCCCAACCTAAAAACAAACAAAATATGTATAAATGTTATTGTACAAATAATGTCTTTGCGAAAAAGACTTTCCACTCTGGGACAATAAAAGTCTAAAGTTTAAAGTTACAAGCATGTTTCGAGTTGCTTCACCTTTGCTTTCCTGCCCATATAGGTCTGTGCAAACCAGTCTGAGTCCATTGCTTTTAGATTTGCCATGATCTGACCCTGAAAGCAAAGGAACAGAAAATGTCACTACAGATACCAACTACACAGCCCACTAGCAGACACTCTGATAATGCATACATTTAACAAAAATTATAACAAAAAGATCAATAGTACTGATAGCAAGATATAACACAAAAGGTACGTGTATAAAACTGGGGTATACTCACAGCAAAGGCCTCATGGAACTCAAAAACATCGATGTCATTCATAGTTAAACCTGCTCTTTCCAAAACTTTAGGTGTGGCATATGTTGGTCTAAAAAACAATAAAAAATACATTTCAGGTTTTCTAAGTAAAGTCTTTTTCCCCTATACCACTTATTAACAAAAAGCTTACCCTAAAAGCAGCTGATCTTTGGGGTCTTGTGAAACATACACAAAATCTCTGCCATAAGAGAAATATAATGATAAGTCTTATATTTTTCTAACAGTATTTTTTGTAATTATCAAACTGAACGATAGAGACATACCTGAGATAGGCCTTGGGCTTGTAACCCATGGCCAAAGCCTTCTCTTCGGACATGATGAGAACAGCAGAGGCTCCATCAGTCTAAGAACACACAGAAGTTATTAGAAATTTATAAAACTTTCAACAATAGGACTGGTATAGGGTCTGTTTGCAGATGTACCAAGAAGGAAGAATTGGCAGCAGTGACTGTGCCATGAGGCTTCACAAAGGCTGGTTTCAGTTTAGCCATCTGCTCCATGGAGGATGGGCGGATACCGTTGTCCTTGGAAACAATATCACGACCTATAGATAATAAAGAAATGGGAAAATATTAAATACAGGTCTTTCAAATGATAGAGGTGGGTTCTTTAATGGCAAATAGTCACTTTTTTACTCAAGAGCTATATTTTGTTAGCCAGGCTGGTGCCACCTAGTGCCTCCCCTCAGTTTCATTCTCTCCAGCGACTAGGTCAGGAATCAGAATAAACAAGACGGTTCACAAAATCCCCGGAAGTGCAAGTTTGGGCACCAGCCAATCAACGAAGAGCCATACATTCTGTGTTGTCAACAATTCCCGAGATCGAGGATTTAAAGTCGGAACAAAGAAAATGTTTGGTGAATTTTATCAAGGGGAAAGACGTTTTTGCCCTTCTTCCTAGGGGATTTGGGAAAAGCTTAATATATCAGTCTGCCCCGTTAGCGGCGAATTACATACATCATGACCAAATAGCAGGAATTGGTTAAATGAAAAAAGTACCTGCCTACTGTCGAGCGAACAAATTCTAACACTGCAAGGTCAGATGGTTTCTACAAAGTGAAACTGGCTGATGAATCAGGCTAGTATTTTGCATGATTCATACATGTTTGACTAATTCTGTATTGCCCTTTGAGGCTTCAATGCTTAGAAAATGTCTGTTTTCAACTATCCACATTGCAATACTTTCAAGGAATTTATCAAAACGAACAAACTAAACTTGTAACCTAACCCTTTTTATGAATGAATGAAAAAAGTACGTTATTGGGCTCATTTGTAGTAAGCTATACAAGGTCACTATTCTGGATTACACTGAGCAAAATGTAACACAAAGATCTATGTAGATTAGAATTTAATACCAAATACTACCTGGCACTTTGAAAGAGACCACATCTCGCAGCAGTCCTTCATCTTGAGCCTTTTTGGCCAGAGTGTGAGAGCGCAGGGCAAACTCATCCTGCTCCAAACGGGACACTCCAAAAGCAGCAGCCAGACGATCAGCGCTGTGGCCCATAGTCTCTGCTGTGGAGAACTCCGCCACTGCAGGCAGCTGAGGACAACAAGGGGAAAGGGAAGTGTATTAGACAAGAAAATACAGTTATGGTTATCAGTTATGACCATAAACAGTCCCAAGAGCCAACAGATGGGAGATATTAACAAAAATTTACATTTTAATATTTTTTTTATTTGACAATAACGACAATCCTATTTTTGCATCCCATCAGAAATGCACTAGAATACAAATATCTTGGTTAAGGTTTTAGTATCACACTAAAAACAATATGACATTTACTTTTATTATATCCTTCTTTGGAAGATTACAATGTTTTGGGTCTTTTTATTTATTTTTGATGTGCATTATATAATTTTGCACCACCTCTCTAATAGTATCCCAATTTATGCCATTTTGGTACTCTTCAAATTTGGTTAAACTCTCTTCTTTCATCTCTTCTTTATCTTTTTCTTTACGCATCAAGAATAATGTATTACAATGCTTTAGCAAATCCTCTTGTGGAACAGTGAAGAGATGATCTTTCACTTGACGGTGCTCTTTAGTATGATTTGATATAAATGTAAAACTTGAATGCACATATATTACCTCTGGGGAAAGGTGCGCCAGCCTGATGCTTCCAATCAAACTCAGTCTCTGGCCGAGCGTCTTGGCCTTGTTGAGAGAAAGCATAGTCTTCCTCATCTTACGACTGTGACGGATGGGAACGTCAGACATGAACTCCACCCCTCCTGCTACGACCGCATCACACTGGCCAGCAGCAATCAGGCCCACAGCTAGAGACAGGGGAGGAGGGGAGGGCAAGACTAGTCAGTGGGGGCTATAGGGAGCCTAACAATAGCACAAGGTCAAAAGAGCAGATCAATGACAAACCTGAAGTCATAGCCTGGTTGGAGGAGATGCAGGCCATAGTGACAGTGTGAGCTGGGATCTTGTCAGAGAAACCTGCTCCAAGGGCAGCCTAAGGTTTAAAAAAAATAGAAAAAAGTAATGAAAAATCAGCTATTTTGAAAAAACCTAAATTAAATTGTTGGCTTACCTCTCTTGCTACATTGCTAGTTTTTACTTCTTGAATGACTGTTCCATAAATGATGTAGTCTACAGCGTCTTTAGGTATACTTGTTTTGTTCAAAAGCCCCCTAGGGAATAAAAATACAAGCTTCATCTTCAATAAAATGATATATACAATGCAATATATACGGTTAATAGTTCACAAATAGAATTTACTAGTGTAAGCAGATACACAACGGAACAAGATCACATGATGACAAAAAATAAACATAACATTCTACACAAATAGTACAACAAGGACTTACTGTAGAGCTGCTCTGGCCAGGTCATGAGGCATAAGGTCGGCGTATCTATAAACACAGTTTAGTTTATTTGTTTATTTATCAGGTACAATGCACATAAAAACATTGAACTACACAAAGAAGTCATATGTGTGTGCTAGGCCTAGATTATAGCAAAATTGTTCATTTCCACCTTCAGTCCCCACAAGCAAGAAAGATCACACACAGAGCTAACATGCAATGTCAACAATTTTATGAATGAATGACTGTATTACATACGCAGTTCCAGACATGAGGAAAGGTGTGCGGACTCCTTCCACCAACACAATGTTCTTCACTCCTGGCCGGGCAAGTGTCTTTTTACTTTTTGTTTGCGCTACAAATCCCAAATACAAGGTTGTAAATACCATATGTAAAGATGGTAAATTAAGTAAATATTTGTATATTTGTATATTGGCAACAGCTGTTAGAACTTACCCTGAGCATGTTGCTGGGATGTTGTACTCAGAGAGCGAGCAGCTGGAAGAATTACACCAATTATTTAGAAAAAAAAATACAGTAATAATAATAATAATGATGTGTTACAAAAGAATCTAAATGTATTTCTTACCAAACTGCACAGCTCTTGCAGGGCTGATTGGGTAGCTTCGCACGGAGTTCAGCAACATGGCCATGGTTACCTGGAAATAAAATAACAAGATAACAACAAGATATCAAAGGCAGCAATAAACTAGATGCATGAAGACAGTTTATGCAAATATTGAGCAAGCAAAGCGTATGCTCAAGAGTTAAACTGAGACTTAAATGTCACAGGAACAATAATGTATGATATTTCTGATTCAAATATGATTTTATTATACAGTGTGTCCTGTCAGTCACGGTCACAGCCCAACCCCCTGTTCTGTTCTGAGTCTGACCCTTCACCTACATTCATATCCCAATGACAACATTGGATCTAAAAGCGGGTCAGACGTGTACAAAGACAGAGAGGACTGTCTTAACCTTATACATGCATTCTGATCACATTCTCTTTGTAAAGCACTTGCATTTTCTCCAATGAGGCTAATTTCGCTGATTCTATGCTAGCAACATTAGCAAATTGGCTAACAAGATGTTGAACTTACAATGTTTTAGATCTACCAGACATGCAAGGCTTTCCCAGAGCGATAATATAATCAATGCTTTGGTGGATACATGTAGAATCTGCCTTACCTGTTATTTGTGTGATGATTGCACCTACACCGCTTCCCTGTCAGACCTCAGCCACACTCGGTACTGCGCTGTGGACTACAAAAACCGCTAACGCTTTCAATGACCCACAGAAGTTTTAGCTGACCTACATATGCCTAAACAAAAAACTTCAGACTTTAAAGTACCGTTTTTCATATAAAAGATAAAACATACAAATTCACCTTAATTTCGTGTGTTTATGTGATAAGCGATCATTTATTTACAGTAAAAAACACAAAATATAAATATGTTTGTGATTTCATGTAACGGCAAAACTAGAGGTGCTCCCAGGTCCTTGAACTTGTTTGACATTCGACACTCTTGCGCCCCCATCGGCCCGAACAAAAATTTAGGTTGATCGTTTTGAGTTTCAAGACAACACCATGGCATTTGCTCGTGCAGCCGGTATTTTATCTAAATTTGCACCCAGCAAGTGTCCTATATTTGCAGGTATGGAAAATGTTATTATATTGTGTGATTCTTTCATTTATTCGGGTAATTTGTCATACACGTTGCCAATTTCACTGTGTTTCATTCATACAACTGGGATGCTGAACTTTCACCCAGATATTTTCCATAGTGCTGATTCAGGGGATTGTAATTTAAATGCGTAGACATGTTTGGCAGAGATGTTATGTATTGTTTAATTTTTTAATTTTTCTAATAAAATGCAGTGAATTTTACTTTTTGGGGGGCTGAACCATTATATATTGAGCCTCATTGATTGTGAGTCTGAATGAGTGAATCCTTGAACCATTTGACCCTATGACCTGTCAAACTGCAGTTGTTACCTCCAAATCACAATAAAATGTGACACACAGTGCAGGTTTAAGTTTGGTCATAATTGAGTTAATATATCTAATTTAATAATTTCTATATTGACCCAAAACGTTATGCTTTTGTATGTACTCATTATTTGATCTCTTTAAGTCAGTCCAGTAATAAATGTTATATTTGTGTAATTACTTTTTATTACTAACCATTGGACCAAGATTGTTGTGTGTTTATCAGGTACAGTTTTATATGGGCCATAGTTCACCTGTCTGCTCTGTCTCTCAGGTCATGCCAGTAGAAGCCTTTCCGTGTCCTCAACCTTGGCAGGTAACGTAATGAAACTGTTTAAAAAAATACTGTATTTAACACAATTTAGTCCCCATTTTCTTTTTATGTTAATATGTTATAGAAATACATATACATGGAACCCTAATTGAACTAGAACTGGTTTGATACAGCATTTTGTTCTCATAATAATCTATTTTAACACAAAAATAGTCACTTTTCTTCTGCCAAAGTTTGATTTAAATCCCCCAACTGTATCACTGAAGATGATACATGATTGAATTAGTATTGTCACAATACAAAAATTTAGCACGATACTCGATACAGATTTTGATACCCAAATTATTATTTACAAAGCTTTTTTTAAAACAAAATTGTAATTTTCAATTCAAAACAATAGTATTTGTTCATTCTACCATGTGGTCTTACACAGTTGAGCTGATAAAATTCAAGATGAAATTCAAGGTCACAATTTTTTATATGATTTTATTTTATTTTCAGTATCAATACTTGTTTAAATGCGTATCTACTTTCGATAATAATTTTAGGATCAATTAGTATCTGATTTTCAATACCTTTTACAACCCTAGACTGAATCTTGATCTCGATTTAAAATGCAAATAGCCCATCCGTTCACTCAATCAATCATTTATTTTTATTCCTCCAATATCAATCAACGTGGTCTTTTCTTTCTTTCCATTCCACTTCCCATTCCTATCACCTTTGTTATGTGTGTCAAAACCTCCAAACAACACATGCCACTAACATAATGTAATTTTGTTGTCCACATGCCTTTATATTGTTCATTCCTGATTTGTCCCTGTCTTCCTGTCTGTATCCAGCTCGAACACATGTCAGCTACGAGCTCAAGGATGATGTGGCAGTTATACGACTCAATGATCCCACGTCCAAGGTAGGAGACATACATGCACGTGTCAAGAACATTCCCATTGGTGACACTGCCTGTTGACTGGCTGTCACGCTGTGGGTCCACCTTTCCCCGGATTAATCAGTATTTGTGTTTTGTGGAGGTGAACACCCTGTCAGAGCAGCTGCAGTCGGAGCTGACAGAGGTGATGGGAGAGATCTGGTCCAACGGAGCGGTGAAAAGTGCAGTCCTCATCTCCAGCAAACCAGGCTGCTTCATAGCCGGGGCAGACATCAAGTAGGGCGTACTCAATATTGTTATCAGTTTGGGTTCGTAATAGTATGTGAAAAGCTTTTGAATAAATTATCCTCCAGGCTGCATGATGGCAAAGTGGTTTGGTTTTGGAGGTGTAATGATATCCAAGTCTCACGATACGATATCATCACAGTATGAACCTCACAGTACGATATTTATTGCGATATCGTGGGAAAGCTCACGATATGGTGGGGAGGACCATGAGTAGGGATGGAACAATATCCAAATCTTTTGGTACAATATTTTCACGATATACATCTCATTTCTCATATTTATTGTGATATTGTGTAGATACAAACAAAACTGTTAATATCTGACTTTTTCCTCTTAAAATGCCTTGACAAGGCTTAATCCAAAAAAGTTTTATTTCTTCTTGTAGTCTAAACTGAAATGGAGCAAAGGATCATGGTCTATGTAGTTCCCTCAGTTTTTTTTTTTTAGCTATTGCTGCACCATAACTCTTAATTTAAGCAAAAAGACTTGTAATTTAATATATTGTGATGGTCCACGATATTATTGTGAGAACTTTGACGATATGATATCACGATATTTCGGTTATTGTTACATCCCTATTTTGTTAGCAAGGTACAAACTGAAAAAATGTCTTCAGTTTATTCCTGTCTATGTGTGTTAGTGTAGAGATAACATCATTGCAATATACCGTAAATACAGTATAATACAAGTATCATATTCATGGGTTTCAGCTTCTTGGTATAGGCAACATTTTGAGGACTTTCCCATTCAAAAGACACAATTAAACTGTTTATGCTATGGAAACTATTCTAATTTCTCAACATTCTGAAGCCTATGGATACTCGGATTTGGCCAGTACACACCCCTAGTGCTCACCCTTGGATTGTACATGTTATGTTCAATCTAAATCTTGCTAATTCCTGAATGGCTTTTATTTTAGTATACTTTTGGCATTTCTTTGTTTGAAAGTTAAAATCATGTGTATTCCTTGTCTCTGCAGCATGATTTCGGCGTGTAAGAGCAGCCAGGAGGTGACGCAGCTGTCACAGGAGGGCCAGAAGATGTTTGATAAGATTGAGAAATCACCCATCCCCATTGTGGCTGCTATCAACGGATCCTGCCTGGGTGGAGGCCTAGAAGTAAGAACAGAAAAAAGGGGGAAAAACTGAATAAATTGGTCAGAATATTTTATCTTTTTATGTGTCTTTGCAGTTTGCTTTAGCTTGCCAGTACAGAGTGGCCACCAAGAGCCATAAAACCATCCTGGGCACACCAGAAGTCATGCTGGGACTGCTGCCTGGAGCTGGTGGAACTCAAAGACTGCCTAAAATGGTCATTAAAACTTATATATATACTGTTTCGTGACAGGTCACTTATGGTATAGGTCTAAACTTTCTGTTACATGTCTAGGTGGGGCTTCCTGGAGCATTTGACATGATGTTGACAGGCAGAAACATCAGAGCAGACAAAGCAAAGAAGATGGGCCTAGTGCACCAGCTGGTTGACCCTTTAGGTTGGTAATAATATATAATGGCAACATTGATTTACAACACAGAAATGCAGTCAGAACTATAACCATTTAGACTTATTGATATAAAATGACTATTGTATTATCTCAGACTTCTGCAATTTATCAAATCAGGATAAAATGTATTTAAATGTGTCCTCCTTGAACCGTCACCTTATCGTGGTGGAGGGGTTTGAGTGCCCGAATGATCCCGGGAGCTATGTTGTCGGGGGCTCCGTGCCCCTGGTAGGGTCACCCAAGGCAAACAGGTCCGGGGGGACGGGTCAGACGAAGAACGGTTCAGAAGCCCCTATGATGAGTACACCAACAAGGCCAGTTACGTCGCCCGGATTGGCGTCACCGGGGCCTCACCCTGGAGCCAGGCCTGGGGTGGGTGCTCGCCAGCGAGCGCCTGGTGGCCGAGCCTCCCCCCACGGGGCTCGGCCGGGCTCAGCCCGAAGGAGCGACGTGGGGCCGTCCTCACGTGGGCCCACCACCCGCAGGAGGATCCATATGGGGCCGGTGCAGAGAGATCTGGGCAGCAGTCGACGGCGGGGGCCTCGGCGACCAGATCTCCGGACATGGAGACTAGCTCTGGGGACATGGAATGTCACCTCGCTGGGGGGGAAGGAGCCTGAGCTTGTGCGGGAGGTTGAGCGTTACCGACTAGATATAGTCGGCCTCACCTCCACGCACAGTTTGGGCTCTGGAACCCAACTCCTTGAGAGGGGCTGGACTCTCCATTTCTCTGGCGTTGGCCGCGGGTAGCGGCGGCGGGCTGGTGTGGGCCTGCTCATTGCCCCACAGCTCAGTCGCTGTGTGTTGGAGTTCACCCCGGTGAACGAGAGGGTCGCGTCCCTGCGCCTTCGGGTCGGGGACAGGTCTCTCACTGTGGTGTCGGCCTACGGGCCGAACAGCAGTGCAGAGTACCCGGCCTTCTTGGAGTCCTTGGGAGGGGTACTAGACAGTGCACCGACCGGGGACTCCGTTGTTCTCCTGGGGGACTTCAACGCCCACGTGGGCAACGACAGTGACACTTGGAGAGGGGTGATTGGGAGGAACGGCCTCCCCGATCTGAACCCGAGTGGTGTTTTGTTATTGGACTTCTGTGCTAGTCACAGTTTGTCCATAACGAACACCATGTTCGAGCACAAGGGTGCCCATAAGTGCACGTGGCACCAGGACACCCTAGGACGGAGGTCGATGATCGACTTTGTCGTCGTGTCATCTGATCTCCAGCCGCGTGTCTTGGACTCTCGGGTGAAGAGAGGGGCTGAGCTGTCAACTGATCACCACCTGGTTGTGAGTTGGGTTCGCTGGCGGAGGAGGAAGCCGGAAAGACCTGGCAGGCCCAAGCGTGTAGTGAGGGTCTGTTGGGAACGTCTGGCGGAGCCCTCTGTCAGAGGGACCTTCAACTCGCACCTCCGGGAGGACTTCTCCCGGATTCCGGGGGAGGCCGGAGATATGGAGTCCGAGTGGGCTTCATTCTCGGCCTCTATTGTCAATGCGGCTGCTCGGAGCTGTGGGCGTAAGGTCTGTGGTGCCTGTCGCGGCGGCAACCCCAGAACCCGGTGGTGGACACCGGAAGTAAGGGATGCTGTCAAGCTGAAGAAGGAGTCCTATCGGGCCTTGCTGGCTCGGGGGACTCCTGAGGCAGCTGACGGGTACCGGCGGGCCAAGCGTGCTGCAGCCCGTGTGGTCGCGGAGGCAAAAACTCGGAGCTGGGAGGAGTTCGGGGAGGCCATGGAGAAGGACTATCGGACGGCCTCAAAGAGATTCTGGCAAACCGTCCGGCGCCTCAGGAGGGGAAAGCAGTTCTTCACCAACACTGTTTACAGTGCGGGGGGAGAGCTGCTGACCTCGACTGGGGACGTTGTCCGGCGGTGGAAGGAATACTTTGAGGATCTCCTCAATCCCACCGTCACGTCACGTCCTCCGAGGAGGAGGCCGAGGCTGGGGACTCGGAGGCGGACTCATCCATCACCCTGGCCGAAGTCACTGAGGTGGTTGGCAAGCTCCTTGGTGGCAAGGCTCCGGGTTTGGATGAGATCCGTCCTGAGTACCTGAAGTCTCTGGATGTTGTGGGGCTGTCTTGGCTGACACGCCTCTTCAACATCGCGTGGCGGTCGGGGACAGTACCTCTGGACTGGCAAACCGGGGTGGTGGTCCCTCTGTATAAGAAGGGGGACCGGAGGGTGTGTTCCAACTATAGGGGGATCACACTTCTCAGCCTTCCCGGTAAGGTCTATGCCAGGGTACTGGAGAGGAGAATCCGGCCGATAGTCGAACCTCGGATTCAGGAGGAGCAGTGTGGTTTTCGTCCTGGCCGTGGAACACTGGACCAGCTCTACACTCTCCATAGGGTGCTCGAGGGTTCATGGGAGTTTGCCCAACCAGTCCACATGTGTTTTGTGGATCTGGAGAAGGCATTCGACCGTGTCCCTCGTGGTGTCCTGTGGGGGGTGCTCTGGGAGTATGGGGTCCGGGGCCCTTTGCTAAGGGCTGTCCGGTCCCTGTATGACCGGAGCAGGAGCTGTGTTCGCATTGCCGGCAGTAAGTCAGACCTGTTCCCGGTGCATGTTGGACTCCGCCAGGGCTGCCCTTTGTCACCGGTTCTGTTCATTGTATTTATGGACAGAATTTCTAGGCGCAGTCAGGGGCCGGAGGGGGTCCGGTTTGGGGACCACAGGATTTCATCTCTGCTGTTTGCGGACGATGTTGTCCTGTTGGCTTCATCGAGCCAGGACCTGCAGTGTGCACTGGGGCGGTTTGCAGCCGAGTGTGAAGCGGCTGGGATGAAGATCAGCTCTTCCAAGTCCGAGGCCATGGTTCTCGACCGGAAAAAGGTGGCTTGCCCTCTCCGGGTGGGTGGGGAGTCTTTGCCTCAAGTGGAGGAGTTCAAGTATCTCGGGGTCTTGTTCACGAGTGAGGGAAGGACGGAACTGGAGATTGACAGGCGGATTGGTGCAGCTTCGGCAGTGATGCGGTTGCTGTATCTGACCGTTGTGGTGAAGAGGGAGCTGAGTCGAAAGGCGAAGCTCTCGATTTACCGGTCAGTCTTCGTTCCTACTCTCACCTATGGTCATGAGCTCTGGGTAGTGACCGAAAGGACGAGATCGCGGATAAATCCAGACTCAAAACATTTCTGTTTAACTGTGCATATAACTGAAAGGTTTTCATTCCGCACTCTTCTCTCCAATTTATGTCTCTCTTTTTTAATTTTAATCTTCATGATTATTTATGTTTTGATTTGTTTTTATTATGATTTTAATGTATTTCTTATTCTGTAAAGCACTTTGAATTACTTTGTGTACGAATTGTGCTATACAAATAAACCTTGCCTTGCGGATACAAGTGCTCGAAATGAGTTTCCTCCGCAGGGTGGCTGGGCGCTCCCTTAGAGATAGGGTGAGGAGCTCAGTCACACGGGAGGAGCTCGGAGTAGAGCCGCTGCTCCTCCACGTCGAGAGGAGCCAGTTGAGGTGGCTCGGGCATCTGTTCCGGATGCCTCCTGGGCGCCTCCCTCGGGAGGTGTTCCGGGCATGTCCCGCCGGGAGGAGGCCCCGGGGAAGACCCAGGACACGCTGGAGGGACTATGTCTCTCGGCTGGCCTGGGAACGCCTCGGGGTCCCCCCGGAGGAGCTGGAGGACGTGTCTGGGGTGAAGGAAGTCTGGGAGTCCCTGCTTAGGCTGCTCCCCCCGCGACCCGGCCCCGGATAAGCGGACGAAAATGGATGGATGGATGGATAAATGTGTTAAAATGGAGCCACATAATCAAAAATATTGCTTTTTATTAAACACTTTTTATTTATTTATTTTTGACAACATGTTATATGTTTATTCTTACGTCGTGATTATTTTTCAAATCTCAGTGAACCTCCCCTCTGTGATCCCCTCTGAATTTGGATACAGATACATACTTAATAATAAACAATACATTTGTTTTATGATAGACTGAGATAGTGAGTTATAATGTGAGCAAAGGAGTTTTATCTTTGTATGCATTTTTCACAGGCCCTGGGGTGAAACCTGCTGAAGAAAGAACGATCGAATATCTTGAGGAAGTGGCTGTAGATCTGGCCAAAGGAATCGTCAACAAGAAAGTTCCCCTCTCAAAACAGAAAGGCCTTGTACAAAGTATGATAAAAAATAATTATACGGTACAGATTTTTTGAGGTATATACATTAATATTAAGATGTTATTACTTTATTAGAATTGCAGGACATGGTCATGGGGCTCGGTCCAGTGCAAAACAAGATCTACAAAACAGTCAGGGAGAAGGTGCAGAAACAGACGAAAGGCCTGTACCCCGCTCCTGTCAAGATCATTGAAGTAAGTGCAACCTGTCTGAAAGTATATACATTTTCTCTTTTGAAGATACAAGAGTTAAAGTTCAAAAGTCAAAGATATAATATTAAGTTCTTTTGCCTACAGTGTGTTCAAGCAGGTATGGAGAAGGGCAGAGAGACAGGCTATAAAACTGAATCTGAAGTAAGCATCAATGTCTATGAATTGTCTGTTAAATAGTTAAGGAATTATTTGTAATATTTCCCACAATGCACAGAACTTTGGACAGCTGGCGATGACTCCAGAATCCCGGGCTCTGATTGGCCTGTATCACGGTCAGGTGACTTGTAAGAAGAACAAATTTGGGAGTCCAGAGAAGGAAGTGAAGTGAGTGTTCAGTTGTGATGATTTTATGATTGTACATTTCTAAGTTTTGATTCTAATTTCTTGTATTTTAGAAAACTGGCCATCCTGGGTGCAGGGCTGATGGGGGCAGGTATTGCACAGGTGTCCATTGACAAAGGTCTAAACACCATCCTGAAGGACACCACAGTAGAAGGCGTCAGTAGAGGAGAGGAGCAGGTCTACAAAGGGTAATATTATATTTTATGCTTTAAACCTGTGTTATGAATCATTTATATTTATAGTATTACATGACAATATAACATTCAATATAGAAAAACAAAGATTATGCACAAGTAAAAATGGCTTGTATTAGGAATTGGATTGTGGATTGGGTAATATGACCAAAAAAAAATTAAATCTAAGTTTCTTTCATATTGGTAGATGATGATTTTTTATTACATTTAATTTTTTTCATATTAACTATATAATATGTATTTTAATAATGAATTAAAGTATTAATTCCTGAACATAAACAAGAGGGACTTTTAATAATTGCCATTTATAACAATTGAATCTCAATCTTGATTAAAATTTTATGAATTTGCGTGTATGTAAATGTTTTAATATTCCACATTAATTAATAAAAATACCTATTCAGTAATAATAATCCACTCTAATCAATATTCTCAATTCAAAGTAATAAAAAAATTATAAGTTAATTGTTTTTAAGTGAAATATTTTGAGCAGGTATACGATGATTAGAACAAAATTAGTATGTTATTTTCCATATATAATCAACGCATTTGTAACAAGCTGCATAAGCACATTGAATTTCCCCCTTGCTACCTGTGCAGTCTCAACACAAAGGTGAAGAAGAGAGCTCTGACGTCGTTCGAGCGCGATGCCACTCTGTCTAACCTCTCGGCTCAGCTGGACTACTCGGGCTTCCAGACGGTGGACATGGTGATCGAGGCTGTGTTTGAGGACATCAACATCAAGCACAAAGTCATCAGGGAAATAGAAGAGGTGAGGCGTGCTCTGGAAAGTTACAGTGTCTGATGAAAGCTGGAATATAGGATTGTGTAATCATGTGTTTGCAGAAGTACTGATTTTGCAGTCAGGTTATGATAAATATTAGGGATGTAACGATATCCAGATCTCTCGGTACGATATTATCACGATATGCATCTCACGATATTTATTGTGATATAATTGTAGAGAGGACACTTTATTGCTTTTAAAATACCCTGACAAGATTTTGATGTGAATTATTTCTGTCATAATCGCAAGAATTCAAGTAAAAACATACCTCTTCATGTTGTCTGCACTGAAATGAATCATGGGATATGTAGTTCCCAATGTTTATTAGCTATTGCTACTATAAAACAATACATTTAAGGAAAGGATTTTGTAATTCGATATATTGTGACAGCCCACGAAGACTTCTGACGATACAATATCACGATATTTTGGTTATTGTTACATCCCTAATAAATATAGTATTTTGTATAGTACTTATAAAGATACTACGAAAACAATACAGGGATAGTAGCTCCTGGACACCATTTGACATCAGTGCAATTTGTGGTAGATAGTTGTTCAAAGTGCAATGCAATGGTAAAAATACAATTAGAAAATAAAACCTAAATAAATAAAAGATAATTTATTTCAGATCCCTACTGGCATATGCAGCTTAGTGTATCAAAGAGGTGTCAAACATTTTCATCAGTATCAGAATATTGTAAGACCACATGCCAATATTAAAAACTACAGTTGCTTTGTGTTGAAAAAAAATTTAAATTGATAATAAAAACATTTTTGTAAGCATAGAACTGGAGATTTAAATTTCATTATTGGGAAAACATACTCATACTTTTCCTGGGGGCATGTCACATCTCAATATAACAGTTCTTAATAGTTATAGGCAAATGTTTAATTTACAAAAATATTCAAGCAAAAACAATTACACATTCTAAATACCATGCACACAATGTAAGCCCAATTAAATATGGCTTAGTCCACGGTGATAAAAATATAATATAATTTTTCCCGCAGGTGATCCCTCCTCACTGTGTTTTTGCCTCAAACACTTCTGCTTTACCCATCAAGGACATCGCCGCTGCCAGCAAACGCCCAGAGAAGGTATGGCGGTCAGTGGATTACTTCTATATTCTAACACAGTATAAAACAAAAAGACTTAAATTTATTGCTTTGCTTGCAGGTGGTCGGCATGCACTACTTCTCTCCAGTGGACAAAATGCAGTTACTTGAAATCATCACCACAGATAAAACTTCTAAAGACACACTCGCTTCTGCTGTCAGTGTTGGGCTCAAACAAGGGAAGATTATTATTGTGGTTGGAGTAAGTACTTTTTATTTTATTTTTATTTCTATGTTCTTACAATACATTTCTTCAATTTTACCTTAAATCACACTTCTAGGATGGTCCAGGCTTTTACACGACCCGCTGTTTGGCTCCCATGCTGGCAGAAGCTGTTAGAGTTCTCCAGGTATACCACCACTACCGTATTTTCTCATATTATTTGTCACTTTTGGTTATGATAATTGCTATTTTTTGAAATGGTTTAAAAGGAAGGAACTGGACCGAAAAAGCTGGACACACTGACCACAGGTTTTGGTTTCCCTGTGGGAGCTGCAACTCTGGCTGATGAAGTAGGAATTGATGTAGCAGCCCATGTAGCAGAGGTAACGCTCAGTCTATAGTCATTTTTGTAAAAAATAATGCTAAAACGCCTTGTTATTTATTTGAAATATGTTTGTATTCTGTATGTAGGATCTTGGTAAAGCATTTGGTTCTCGATTCGGAGGTGGAAATGTAGAAGTACTCAAGACAATGGTGGAGAAAGGTTTTAAAGGCATGTTACTACTATTTACTATTGCCTAAAATATGAAAAAAAAAAAAACCCAAAAAACTCAAAACTCAAACTGATCTTAAACTCAAGTGCTATCTGTCAATTCCAGGTCGTAAATCCGGCAAAGGTTGTTTTGTCTATGGAAAGGGCAAAAAGGGCAAGACTGTGAATTCAGATGCTGAGAAAATTCTACAAAAATTCAAATTGTCCGCTCCATCCACAGTGTAAGTTTGCTAGAAATCCTGGTTTTTACAATATTATAAATTTATTAGGAATGATTCAGGCTTGGGATAGTTAATTAAGTAATTAAGTTACCTAAGCCTGAATCATTCTAATTATTAGTTATAGTTATTATAAAATGTTACAGATTTACTCTTATACCTTCTGGTTTTAATTTCTTTCCTTGCATTATCTCATCTTTTCTTGTCTTCTTTGTATCTGCAGATCCTCAGATTCTGATATCCAATACAGGCTGGTGTCTCGATTTGTCAATGAAGCAGTGCTGTGCCTTCAGGAGGGCATCCTGACTAGCCCAGTAGAGGGCGACATTGGAGCAGTATTCGGCCTGGGCTTCCCTCCTTGTTTGGGTGGTAAGTTGTGCTTTTAAACACTGGGACATCTGCCTACTTTGAAATTAAATAGTTACTCAGCATGACTCATTTGTTCAGTATGAATTAAGTCTTTGTTCAGGCTTTATCAAAGGTGTAGTGTTACAAAATCCAAACAGGGTATTGTTTTTCTCAAAGCAATTAGCTTGATTTTAAATATATCTTTCTTATTTGTCTTCATAGGTCCGTTCAGGTATGTGGATTCATTCGGAGCGGAAAACCTTGTGAGTATCATGAGGAGATTTGAGGATGTTTATGGAAACCAGTTCACACCCTGTCAGCTGCTCCTGGACCACGCCAAGGACCCCAGCAAGAAATTCCACCACTAATTCTAAATAAGGATCATCAAAACGAAACTTGGACAAGTTAGTGAGGACGGTCTGTCTTTTATGTTACTGGAGAGCCTGAAAATGTTTTAAAATTTTGTAATTGTGCAATATTTTAGAAAAATATACCTCAGTCAAGGAAGTGAATAACATTTCTTTCACAACTCTACAAAGATAGCATTGTTCATTTGAGCAACCATAACTATCTTTCTGTTTTTATAACTTGATTTAGAGTTTACATTAACATGCCATGATTTAAATGCATCAGATGAATGCATGTTTTAATTTTATGGCCAAAATGATAAAAATTTTAAGTTGCCATTGTATTTTTCAATAACTATGAAGCCATTATTAATTAATTAATTGGTTTTCTTTACTGACTTGCCATCTTGATACGGTATATTGTATATACTTTTAGCATTAGTCATGTTCAGGGAATTTATCTATGTCATATTTATGTAAAAATACAGGGCTATAATAATATTAATAATAATACATAGCATCAGTTAACGTTGAGCTGTTAGACGGTATTTCATAATAGGGCCATGGATTCCACAAATATTCATGTTTTTCTGGCCTGTTTGAAATCAGTTATATTGAAAGTGAAGAAAGAATGCTTTTACAAGTCTGTGATGTTCTGCAAAAGTATGCCTCTTTATTGGACAGCAGTATTTTATCACATGCATCATTAGTAACACTACAGTTCTCTATCTGTACCATCTCTCCTGGGTCTACAAAGTGCAGGGCATGTTTCAATATTGTGCTTAGAAAACTTAAAAATGATATTTTAAAGCAACACAACATCTCTAATAAAGAACTTACAATATTTCTTAAAATCTTGTGTTTTATTTGATCATTCTTTCTGGTTATATGTTCGTAGCAGCATAGCTTACAACTGAAAATAGTGATACATGTTGGGAAAAACATGTTTATCACTTAATTTGTAGTTATGGCCTAAAGTAATACTAAACTAAATCTGAGGTATAATTTGAAAAACAAAAAAGCATCTTATATTCTATCTTTTTACACAACAAATATATAGACATTAATTTAATTTCAGAACCACCCAATGAGCATTTAACTATTTTTTTTCTGACTAAGTTTTATTAAATAATTAGCTTAATTAGCTTAGCCTACTGTTCTTGTTCATGTACCTGTCAAATAACACTTACAATTGGATCATACATAAGGATGAGACCCTCATAAATACAATTTCTTCACATTGTCAACTTAGTGGTAAATTCAAAGTCTTTGCAGTCTGCACTCTCTTTTACATTCAGGTTTGGGTCATTTGAATTGTGGAGAAAACTGCTTTGTAAACTAGTCTTGGTTTGAGGAACCATCAGACTGTATTTTGTTCTGAAAATGAAATATCATATTTGATCACTTTGCACTTAGGCCACCAGGGGGCGGAGGTCCAGACACTGGGCTCAGCGCTGCTTCACAGTGAAGGCACATTATGGCTCAGGGGCCAACAGGCACATGAGGCTCAGTGTTTCTGAGGGGTTCTGCTTTCAAAGCTGCATACTATAGAACAGACTTTTTTATAATTGTACCTATGTGACATATTTCCCAAATTCCCATATTGTGCTTTTTCATTCTTCAGTAGTCTTGAGTTCTCTTTTACATTGTTCTGATTCTGATTCTGTCTGTTACACCCCACATATTTTTATTATTTGCACCAATATTTGCCATACTTGCTGAACTAATTCGAACCAAATCTCAGCACATTATGGGAGCTTGACCATTAGACAGTGCAGTAGTACGGTGCAGATGTACAGTGTGGTAGTACAGAGTGGTAGTACTGTGCAGTAGTATACAGGTTTGAAGGCCCAGTCCATCTGGGCTCAGATCTTGGGTCTCCAGCCCTGGATGAACTGTATGATCTTGGTGACGTGCAGGCGGCTCAGGTGGAAGTCATGTGACAGGATGTCCTCTGTCAGCTGCACCAGGAGGCGCCCGTCGATCCTCTCTCTCTGAAACACCGCCACGGCCGCCTCTGATAGGCCGATAAAGCGCAGACAGGCGGACACTTCCTCCAATGAGAGCGCAGACAGGTCCTGAGGCGGGCTCCAAGTTCCGCCTCCCTCTGCCCCCCTGGTTGACTCTGAGGGCGGGCTGGGCTCTGGGGAGGGGCAGGGCGACTGGCGGTTAAAGGGGTTCAGTGCACCGAAGGGGGCGAAGCGACTCTGAGGTGGAGGCGGCCTGAGGCGGGGCCCAGAGAACGACTCCACCCATGGCTCCGCCCAAGTGGCCTGTGCTGGCTGCGGATTGGCTGTGCTGTCTGCAGGTGGGGCGGGCGATGGTTCAGGACTGGTGGGGTTCGGAGCAGGACAGTCTCCCCAAGGGCAGGGATAACAGTACAGGGAGGTATCAGGGGAGGGGCAGCTGGAACACAAACATTTATACATGAACTGCTGAATAAAAATGCTATATTTGCTGAAAAGACGTATTAAAAGCTTTAATTAGTTTCAGTTTCGTTTTTGACGCTTGGAGTCCCCCCTCTCTTGTGCTTTCACCCTCCTGTGACACTACTGCACATCGCATCAGGTTTGTGAAGTTATAGTATATTGCCTTTGTATATTTATGAACAATATGTACCCGGGAGAGATTGCAAGATTACTCAAACATGCATGGACTTATAAAATCACTTCAGGCATGTTTTTATTAAGGGAACAAAAGCTACATAACGTGTTAGAAAGCTCCAAAAAGTCAATTTTGCAATACTTACTAATACTACTTTCACTTCTTTACAAAACAGTTGAAACAAGCCTCTACGAAGTCCTACTACGTAACAGCTGTATTTTCTTATGATACCTTTCTTGTAATCCGGAGGAGTAAAAGGACAGGTTGGGCCTTGGAGATGTGGAGGTTTTGGGAAAGCGTGGGGGCACCGGCGGGCTCGGGGCAGGACTGGAGATGGACCCTCCTTTAGAACAGCGAGGGGGGACGGGAGGAGCTATCAGGTAACGGCATTCCTCTCTAACCTACAGGCAAAAGACATTATATACATTATATACATTTACATTGTACAGTTAAGTAGCGTTTGTTTGTATCTTTGTTTGTATCTTTGTTTTGAACTTGGTGACCGTTCCAGCAGACAGCTAAATGTAAGGGAATAAGAAAAGAGGTGGCAGGGTGTAATTATCCTGCACTGGATCACACACATCAACGCCCACAGCACATTTGATGAGGGAGAACAAATGACTGTACTCAGATGTCCAAACTGATCTATGGTTTGGTAAGTCTGCCTTGCTCTTCTCATAGAAAAAAACTCATATTCTACCAAATACAGAAATATAATGTGATTTGAAACTAATTGAAACTCTGTGTAACTTTTCTGGAAGAGTCTACAGCACTTGCTTTTCTCTTTGGAGATGTTATTGCTTCGCCTGGAATGATCCACAGTAGGTCATTAAACTTATCTAGGTCTATTTCCATTTCCACAGCGACGAACAGACTACCAGAGCAAATTACAGGTCAGATCTGTGGGAAGATTACTCCACTTACAGTAAGAACGCATGCATTTTAAGGATTTTTGATAAATAGAAATGAACTGTAATTGAAAAAATGCAAGATAGAGAAGTTTAATGTCATACTGTGGAACATTCTCAGGCAAGTAACATCATTGATCGTGGTGTATTTCTTCAGAAAGGTTACAACTTTCAAAGCATTTCATTTGTTCATTTTGGTTTGAAATAGTTTTGTCGAGTTACTATAGTTTCATATTCTTTATAAAACATTTCACACCAATACAAAGAATTATTGTGCACTTAATTATATTTAACTTTTACTTTTCATTAAGTAATAATGTCTTGAGGATCTCACTATATATAGCGACAACCGAAATAGCCTTCCTTCTATGTCACTAGTGCTACTTTTAACCAGGATGTATTCACGTCACATAAGCATTAGCCAGAGTACGGCCTTTCCAGGAAGTGTGTGTGTGTCTGTGTGTGTGAGAGTGCGTGAGTGTGTATGTGGTCAGGGAGGTTAAAAGCTGTAATGTATGAATAATTCAGATCAGTGTCTTGACTTTGAGAGGCCGGATACTGCCCCGGACAGAGCCATAGGAGGAGACAGCCCCACTCACCGCATCTGATTTGGGCGGTACAGGTGGCGGGGTGGACACTCTGGTCACTACTGTACCCAGTGACCCGTCCATAGAGGAGGACGAGTGAATCGAAATAATATTAGGCTCCTTCCCCAAACTCTCTGTGTTCTGATTGGTCCAGAGTTCTTCGTACGGAATCTCCTCATTGGTCCGCATATCTGTGTCCGTCCACTCGGGAGTCATGTATTCCCTTTCCTCACCAGGTCCCTCCCCCACAGAGTCCCTGCAGCGCTGTGATAGGCCGTCGGTGACCCCGCCCACGTAGCCGCACATGGAGAGGCGTTGTAGAGCGGGGGCGAGCGAGTCCTGTCCCACGCACACCCTGGAGCGGCGCGGGCTGGTGCACTCCTCCGTCATGCACTCCAGCTCCGGGCGGGTCTCCCTGACAGCCCGAGAGTACGCGTCTGGGTCAAACGCGTGCCGTAAAAGTAGGCTCTCCAGCGCCGCCGTGTGGACAGACGCCTCCGCTACGTTAAATCTAGGCATACACCGCAGTAACAGGAAGTGGGACGGGGATACTTCCTGTCTGCGGAGGACCAAGCACAGTACCACAGTTTTGCTAACGATGTTGAGTAGCTTGTAGCGGTGGCCCTCTCTCACTGCGTGACGGTCGTATGGGTTCCGCGGCGGGCGAGTCGGGACGGAGACGTTGACGGGGAGGCGGACACGTTCTATGATGCTCCGCACTGTGTGTTCTCCTCCCAGCATGCCTTGTTCCAGAGGGGAGCGTGTGCAAAAGCGCCCCCGGCAGGCGAAAGGCAGGCTCACACTCTGGTTGGTGCGGTGATTCATGCAAACCAGGCACGGAGTTTTACCTGCGAGGAAAGAAATGAGATTACTTTCACTTTATTGTTACAAAACACTTGGCTTCTTATGAAGGAAAACTTTGCATCATGTTTAAAAAACACCCATAATTCTGTTCGCATATTGACTCGGTACTGATTGTATGTCGGACACAACATATTATTTAATTTATGTCCATGCATGTCCACATAATTAGGTAAGTAAGTAAGTTCTTTATTTATATAGACCTTTTCACAGACATTTTTCAGTCACTCCATACCCACTTGTGGTAAGCTACTACTGTAGCCACAGCTGCCCGGGGGCACACTGACTAAAGCGTGGCTGCCATGCTAATCAGCGCCATCTGACCACCACCATCACTCATGCACACATCACTTTCATACTAGGCAATGTGGGTGAAGTGCCTTGCCTAAGGACATAACGACCCACTGTGGCACCTGATTTTCCCAGGTCTCCCATCCAAGTACTAACAACTAACACTTGTTTAGCATCTGAGATCTGATGGGATTAGGCTTTGACAAACCGGTATGGCCACAGTATTAGTAATACTACTATTAGTATTGTTTGATATTTATTTATGCTACCCGTATGTTGCAACATCTCACATTTTTGTGACTGAAATGCGTAATGGGGGCTAAGTGTCCCAACAGTAGCCACACTATATTTACTTGACTTTCTGTAAGCTTAATTATTATTAATCACACTAATTTGTACTTTGTTCTCTTAGCTCTTACCATATGTGTAACTTTCACTGAATACTTGTTTTCTGTGATTAATTCAAGCTGCAGCAGCTCTACATTCAATTACAGAAATGTATGTTATATATTAGACTATACCAAATGCTGCAGAGTTATTGTTATTGCTTTGTTTAGAATGTTCCAGAGTATGGCATTAAACTTATCTGCCACCATGGAGACATGCAGGATATTCCACCAGGCCTAGTTACAGGTCAGTTCTGTGTGGAGGGGAGCTTTCAATGTATTTTTGTGCAATAAAAGCAACTAGAATTGAGTGCAATGCCGCACTGTGGTACATTCACAATAATATCACGACGGAGACAAGCAGGTAACATACCCTCCATCTCAAAAGTTACACAGTGCACCTTTAATGACGGCCAGATGTAAAATAATTGGGGGATGTTTATTTTGTGGAAACGAAATAGCCCATGTTATTAGCCCAGTGCTCCCACTAAACAGCAGGGTTGGGGTGACCTTGGCTGTACTCACTCCTTGGAGTTTTTCCCAGGCGTCTCAGCAATGCGCTCAGGCCTGTCTTGTCCTTGGAGGGCGTGGCACACAGAAGCTCCGCCTTCCCCATGAGTGACAGCTCGTCTCCGGCCTGCAGACTGAAACTGTACTGCTCACTGTCATCACTGAACTCCCCAGACACAACCTGAAACATACGCAATTAATTTGTCTTATAAAACTGTAAAAATTATGAGTGAATGTAAGTGTGTCCAAAACTAGAGATGTTGGATACTATTTTGGAGGGGCTGGATATTCAAGTAGCCTACATCCATGAAAGAGTTTTGATTTGGCTAGTAGGGTTATACATTACATACATACATTAAGTACCAATGTTACCAACTAAATGTTTTTTTTTGTTTTTTTTTAAACTATCTTTATATAGATTCTGCCTTAGATCACTCAAATTTTAGAACTCAAATCTGTACTTTTTCTTCCACATACTTTCTCAATGGAGATGTTATAATTTGTTTGGGATGTTTCATAGTATGGCATGACCCCATCTGTCTGTATTTATTCAGTTTAAGCTGTTTTTATTGCTAAAACAAATACATTTTATCACACATTTTTATTGTGAGGGGACACGTCACTGAGCTGATCTAAAACTTGGCCTAATGGTGTCACCTGCTTGTCTCCATGTAACTTCAGGAGATATGTTTAATGCCATGCTGTGGGACATTCCAGGCAGAGTAATATATTGGAAACAAGCATGTGGTGGACCCTCACATTTAAAAATTAAGTGTATAGCTTTCATGAAAAATATGTTAAAGTAAACTCCCCAAAAAACATACTACATAGGTCTCCAGGAAGAATAGCTGATAGCTGATAGCTAAGATCAATTAAATACAATCGATTAACCTACCCAGGACCTACAGCGGTGGTGCTACAACTTGGTACAATGCATCTCTCCTGTTAAGGTTAATGTATTTTGTGCACTGTCCCTGTCTCATTAAATAAATAAACTATAAAGTAAAGTAAAGAAAGTGTAACGTGTGCCTATTACCCATGTTCTGGTTTGGTGAGCTCTCCCTCTCCCGTTAAGTGCAAACTTTGTCCTAGTATAATGCCTTCTAAAGGGAGTGTTACCTTGACGCTGAATGTGATGGGCTCCATGACAAAGACTCGGTCGGGGAAGGCTCCGGCCACCTCCTCCACACTGGAGAAGTACTGCACTGGGTCCCTCACATCACGGTCCTCGTCCAGCAGCTTGAACTTCCCTGGACAAACAATATGTACATTTACATACAGGAGGTCTCAGTACTGACAAATGAAAACGTAAAAAGTGGTTAGAATGTGTTTTATGTTTTGTTTTGTTTGATTTTAAATTGTAAATGTAATTATTATATATTCTGGGGATTTTTTTAATGATCTTGAAGGCAAGTTAAAGGAACAGTATGTACCTTTCTACAGGTGGCACGTCAGGAATCATGCAGGTCATCATAGATAATATAAAGCTAAAACCATACTTTCGAGCATTCTCTATGAAGATAAATGAGCTTTATGCCATATTGTGGAAAATTATATTGAAATGAACAACATTTCCCTGGAAACAAGCAGGAGGAGGCCCCCTCTCCACACCAAGTTAGTGTCAGGTTTGTGGAGATGTAAGCCCGCTCACAGTAAACCTGGAAAAGAACTTAAACGGGTCTTACTCCCAACATATAGCCACATATTGTATATATCGAATTTACTGCTCCTTGCACTTCCGATTAGATGCTAAACCACATTTCGTTACCTTGTACTTATACAAGTGTAATAACAATAAAGTTGAATCTAAATCTAAATATAGTCAACCACCATTGTGATCTTAGCCAGACCAGGTTTTCAGTCCTATATGCATTAGTATATATACATTTACTGTAATTATTAAACCACGCCTGTTTCTTTTCCTCATACCACTTTCTCTATTTACCCAGGCTTGGGACTATAACAAAAACAAGACTTTGATGACCCATGACAAAGTGCAGAATTAACGTGAGAAATGCAGAGAAATAAATTCATAAACAACAGAAGAGCGAAACCACACACTCCAGTTAAGAGGTTAATTCTAGTGCAAAGCCATCGGAACGGGGCGGACACAAAGACACCTCCGTAACCTCTGACCTGGCACCAGCTCCCGGCCAATCAGCAACCAGCGGGGTCGCCATGGTAACCCATAAAGGAGCCCATTCTCAGGCAGAGCAGAGACACGTATCCATGGAGACCCTCACACACACACAACGCTCGCCGCTTCACCCCATCCGTAAATGTTTCACTTGACCGGCAGACTTACAGCAGCAAGAGAATATTGACCATAGCTGTTTTGGTTTGGGCGCTTGACTGAAATATAGGCCAGATAAGGAAGTTTGAACAGTATTATAATGCTTTCCATGAGATTCAGAGTAATGAAACTTTTGGAATGTTGCCCTAGCAATTAACAATTTAAAACTAAATATTTTTTAATGGGCTCTGGTCCTTGAAAACCTATACAGAAAGTTTAAAAAAAAGAAAACTTATAACATATTTTGGTAACTGAAATCCAGTCTAATGGATCTACTATTCCACAAAAATAGCCGCCTACAATGATTTGCTTGAATTACTTGTTTGCCCTTCACTTTTTTTATAACCAAAGCTAAAAAGCACTGTAAAGGAAAAATTACTCTGGTACAAAGTATAGTATTAAAGTATTAAAGCATTAAAGTAATGACTCATTGAAATGTTAGTCACTGTGCTATGGCATCGTTCTAAACTGAAGTCCACAAATGAAATTAATTTCTAAGTCATCGTGTAATATTTATTGTGAGTGGACTTCTTTGCAATAGCCAACCATGTTTTATGTTAAATCAAATTATCAAATCATCAATATAATTTTGTATGTTGTTTTAAAAATATTTTGAATATTGGTTATATTATTTATAATAATGTGAAAAAAGTTGCAAAAAATATATAATTAATAATAAAACTGGAATAAACTAAAGTTGAAATCTTTCAAACAATGTTATAGAGTGATATTTCTGCACTATTGGGGGTAATTTGAACAGTCCTTTAACTTTTCCACATCAAGAAACCACTCACCCATTCACAGGCACATTCATACTATAATGTATGCAGACTCTAGAGGTGAAGAGGGTTAAGTGTCTTGTCCAAGGACACAACAACAGCATTCATCTGTGGGAGCTGGAATCGCACCCGTGAGGCATTGGATCTGACCGCTCTTTACGTCAAGAGCGAGATTCGAACCCTCTACCAACTCAGCTACCATTTCAAAGATTCTCAAATCAATTGCCAACCTACTACTGTTCTCCCTTGTTTATTTGAAATTTCCATGTCATATTACTCATATTTTTATGCCAGATGCCCTTTCAGTCCCAAACAACATATCCATGGAGTGCAATTTGCGGACAGTGCATTCAGTTCTTGTTATTCCCTGGTATTTTGTTTACCTCCAAAAGTCACAGTGACCAGAGGAGAGGGTTTCAGTCTGAGAGGAGAAGCTGAATACCAAACTCCACAGTCACTCATTCAGTTCTCCCCATGTCTTTATACTGTGTCCACAACCCCCACCACCTCTTTGAATGAAGCTTGCACCTATCGGACAATACCGAGTGGACCTGCTGCTTTCACAAAATGGAAGATGGAGGAGGTAGAGCAGAGGTATACACAAAAGCATGAGACACATAAAAAACACATGCTTCTAGGCACTTTTATATTCAAGCTGAGTTTATCACCAATTATGCCAACTATATATTTATATTTTTATATTGAGTGGGTGATTTTCTTGTAGCAAGAACCTAATTGTGTTTGATTTATATAAACATAGCTTGTATATATTGCTGTGAAGAGGTAACTAAAATCATCTGCCTCTTCTGAAAGTGTACTCTTCATTGCAATTAAAGATCCAATGTTACACATAATGGACTCTTAGGAGCTTTAAAACATGTTATAATGCTGTACCACAGGGTGGAACAGAGTGTTTTCTGTTTGAGAGAAGAACTCAGCCCTAATATGCAGGGTTTGTGTGTCAAAAGTGTGAATAAAACAACTCCAGGTGTGTTTTTGAGGTAACATTATAAAATAGATCACAAAATAGTGTAATATGGTCCCTTTAAATACACCTGTTACTCACTCAGAGCATAGATGAGGTTGACCAGTGGGAGTGTCTATGGTGAGTTCATCACAGGAATGAGATCACAGTTTGATTTAAATCGGCAAAATATGAATAAACCAATGTGCCATCATGTGTTATTCAGATATTTGTGGCATTAATGTGTCCATTGAAAGGCTGAGGTTGACAGTTCAGGGGCTACTCAGCTCACTGTAGGCAATAGTTGTAATACTTATTACGTACTTAATACGTATTACTTACTATTACTACTATTATGCTCTTGGCAGTAGTTGAATGTAATGAAGTAAAAGTAGTAATGTACTGTATTTAAGTATACATTTTCAGTAGATTTTAAAGTGCATCCTTTTTACTTTTATTTTACTAAATTTAAGAGCAGGTATCTGTACTTTCTACTCCTTTCTACTGCACTATTTTTCAACTGGACTACAAAGTAAAAGTATTTATTATTGTCTGAGATCTGCAGAAAAGGCTGAGGGTTTATCTTCAACACATGGGTAATTAGCAAACCAAAATATATAAATAAAAACTGATAAAAACAGAAAAATTTAATTGTTTCTGCTGAATAAACTTCAGCAGAAGTTTATTCAGCAGAAAAGTAAAAAAACTTTTACTTTTTACTCTACAAGTATATTTTTAAACAAGTACATTAATACTTGTATTTGTTTGCTCCGGTATCTGTGCTCTTACTTAAGTACCGGTAATACAATTGAGTACTTCTTCCACCACTGTCTTAATAAACTTACAAATCTCCTTCTTTTCTCGTCTTTTGAACTCATGCCATTATTGATACAGCAATGAGATAGATAGATAAATAGATAGAGAGATAGATAGATAGATAGAGAGAGAGAGAGAGAGAGAGAGAGAGAGACAGACACAGAGAAAGAGAGAGAGAGAGAAGCATCCTGTGGTCAGTCCTAAGGGAAAACCTACAGCCGGTTACTGTGTCTCCACATAAGTTTATTTAGACTTCCTGTATGAAGTCATCACAGACATGAGCTCATCTGCACTCTCATTCAACACAAAAGAACATGATTACGCTTTAAAGGTGCATTACGTACATTTTAGACTTGTCTCCATGGTGATAAGTCAACAGTAACGAGCATGTTTTTCAAGGTATATAATAATAACAACCCCTGTACTTGAATAATGTGTACATTTTTGCCATGAAGTGGAACATTACAGATATTGCTTCTACCATGGAGACAAGTGAGACGCCGCATTACAAAGGTTACATAGTGCACTTTTAATATTGAGAGGGGACTATATATTTTGTGATCTATGTTATAATGTTGTATCCTCATCACAAACATATCTGTAGTTGTGTTTTTTTGTATTTACACATGTTTAACAGACAAATCCTGCATATTTAGGCTGCATTCTGAGTTTCTCAAACAAAAACAACCTTGTGATTTCATGTGATAATACAGGATATGCCCACCTGTGTTTTTAAACTCCATGCACCTGCACTAAAATCATTTGGATAATTTCATCCCTAGAATTGCCAGGGATAAAAAATGTAAAAAGGTAGCAGTTAACTTGAGAACTGCATGACCTCACAAGGTGAAACAGAGCATTTTGAGCTTTGGAGATGTAGACAGACTAATAATGCAGAATTACTCAAACATGAATGAAATAAAGCACAACTCCAGGTCTGTTTTTGATGGGGTAACAACATTATAACATGACTTGACAAGAGTCAATTTTGTGTAATATAGGACCTTTAAAGTAAGATTTCATTGCACCAGATAGTGTTATGATGACATTTTCTACAGTATTTTAAATGTAAACTGAACAAAATAATCATGATTCAGTCAAAATGAATTATCAGTGATCACCTTTGGTATTTTAATAGAGAGGTCTACAGCCAATCATCCATCAGTAAAAGCATATGGTTTTGAACAGACTTCTGGTGGAAAAAATTAGACTTTTTTATGGCAATTATACATTGTTTATGTGTTAGGAAATTACCAATGAAAGACATTTTTATTAGTTTTCAGTCAGACTCATTTTTTGTAATAACACTCAGGCCTAATCAAAATTATCTTTAATACATACAATTTACTTTTACTTTTTTTTTTTTTTTAGCTTTAGACAATGTTATAATGTTGTTACCTTTTCAAAAACATACCTGGAGTTGTGTTTTGTTTCATTCACACATGTTTGAGTAATTCATTATTATTAGTCTGTCTACATCTCCAAAGCTCCAAATGCTCTACTGCACCTTGTGATGTCATGAAACAGTACTTTTCATGTTAACATCTACTTTTTGTTCAGTAGATATTGTCAATTCCAGGACTGAAATCTTCCAAATGATAGTGAAGGTGTATGGGGTTTCAAAACAAAGCAAAGCCACATGACATCACAAGGTGGAACAGACTGTTTCCTGTTTGAGAGCATAACTCTAAATATGTAGGATTTGTGCATTAAATATATGAAACACAACTCTGTGTTTTTGATGAGGAAACAGCATAACACAGATGAAAAAATAGTGTGACATGGGCCCTTTAATAGAAATTACATCACACTATTATAACTTTGCATTCGTGACCTTCCCTTCTCTTCCTCCTCCTCATCACTCCATCGTGGTTATTAAACACTTCCTCTCACAAACACCTAAAAGGACCGTGGTGACGTGGGCCCAGTGTTTGTGTTTGGAGCCTGGCAGTGACATCACCAGTGCTCCATCAGAGGAGGAAGAGCCGCATTAAGATCCAGTTACACTCACAGTCATAATAATAGGACACGGCCTGGACACTCGGAACAATGGGTTGAGCCCCGGTGAGGTCATCCACACACACAAACACACACACACACACACACACACACACACACACACGCACACACACACACACACACACACACACACACACACACACACACACACACACACACACACACACACACACACACACACACACAGACAGACTCATTCAGGAAGAAGAGAGGGGCAGTCAATGAGCTGAGCCACAGAAGGTCAGCAGTAATACAGGAGAGGAGGATGAATGAATGAAAGAGAGACACAGAGAGTGAGAGAAAGTGTGTGTGTGTAAGTGGATTTGAATGGATGTGGGCTGAGAGAGAAGAAAAGGACAAACAAATTGTACGCAACATAAAAAACACCTTTATAATACACATCTAATTCATTTGGTGGTATTGCTTTATCTACTTTGTTATTATTACAAAAATACAGACAAGCATTTTTATGTGCGCTGGGTCACCTCTTCACAGATTTGACCTGTTAATTGTCTTCACTGCCAATAAAAACATCTCTATTGAGACAAGAAGGTGGCAAATCTTCCTATAAAAGCAGACCTTTAATAATAGAGACTAGAAGTGTTGCTTTGAATCTTTGCTCAAGTTTGTTTATTTCATAACTATTTGCCTCCAGCTAATGTTGAGCTATAATATCCAAGTAATTTCACTCATGGATTAAGACAAATTGTCTACTTCTACATTTCATCTGGCTAAAAATGTTGTGTTTTAAATGAACTAGATGTACTTTGTATCTGCATGAAAAGGTCATGTGTAGGCTAACTTATTCCAACACACAGTAACAAAGATTAGCCTATGTTTTCCAATGGACGAAAGTCTCTAAGTCATAGAGGGCAATTTTTCATAGGAACTATAATCCCCCAAATAATCCCAAAATCAGAGTAGAGCATGTGAGTGGTTGCTCACCCTGGTACTGGAGGGGTATGTCAATCTTGGGTCCGATGACATAATGTCCCTCCTCCAGGCTGTGGGCGGTCACTGTGGTCCACTGTCGACAGGAGTGAAGAAGAACCAGATCCTCCTCCGCCAAACCCTCCACACACTCACCTGTCAACAACAAAATTATTATTATAACACAGGGTTTTCCAAGCTGTGCAGTGAGTTCAACTGGTGGTACTTCTATTAACAACGGAAAAATTACAAAAACATATAAGACCGTTTTAAAAGTGCATTGTGTAACGTTTCTGGTGGAGGGTCTGTCAGTTGCTTTTCTCCATGGAAGTGCTTTGTTTTGTTTACAATGTTTGACAGTACGATATTAAACTTTTCTATCTTCATGGAGACCAAATCAGTACAAGTTAGAAGACAGATCTGTGGAAAGGCGACCCCGCTGACAGACAAAGGACATGTTTTTGAGCATTAAAACCACCTGTAAATAAATAAATGTAAGGTAGAGGTGTTTAATGTCATACCGTGGAACATTCCAGACAGAGCAATGATATATCCATAGAAACAAGCAGGTGACTGAACCTCATCCAAAAAGTTATGAAGTGCACTTTTATCAGTTCTACAGTGGGATCATACACCCAAATCAGAACACAATAATGTGTAAAATGGCCCATATGAAACCAAGATGGAAATATCATAGTAACTGGGATAACAAGGGCTATTAAATTAATTTTGTTATCCCACACATTACCAAGAAAATAATAACCATGTTTTCTAGTAAGTACATAACTACATTCTTCACATTTGGCTTTTATTTGGTAGGTTAATTAATCATATTATCATGACATAATTTGGACTGACAGATGTGTTTTGTTTCCATCAGTAATTAAAACGTCATAAATACGCTTTTAGCTATGCATGCCTTTTTTATAATTCCATGGAAAATGCAAGTTATAGTGTTAGCAATAATTAGTGGAGTGTGTCACATTACATTTTGGGTATTTTAGATTAACAATGTTAAAGATGTTTCTATGGAAATGTCCTTACTCTGCCTTGAATGTTACACAGTATGACATTAAACAGCTTTACCTTACATTTATTCAGTTACAGGTGGTTTTATAAAAAATACCTAGAAAACAGGAGTGAGTGTAAGTGGGGTTGCTTCTCCATAGATCTGACCTGTAACTTGGCCTGGTTTGGTCTCCATGAAGATTGAAAGGTTTAATACCATACTGTGAAACTTCACACTCAAAGCAATAACATCTACATGGAGAAAAGCAATTAATGGACCCTTCACCACAAATGTTACACAATGTACCTTTAAGAAACATTAACACAGATTCACAGTTCAGTGTCTGTAATTAGTGTGACATTTGACCAGCCCTGTAGTCATCTGGACTTTTGTAGGATCTGGCAACCCACTATTACACTGCCCCCATGCACAGAGCTGAGCCAGGCCACCACATTGATTTATGCTGAGAGCACAATGCTACATCAATGGCAAACCAACTCACATCCACACACAGTTCAAGGCAAGCCAATTTAACTTTAGTGTAGAAGTGATGGGGAAATAAATGTAGGTCCCATATAATTCACTGTTTTATTGGAAGGCATTTACAGTTTGTCCACCTGGAGTTCAATTGCATCTGTAAACAGTATCCTGGAGAGGAGAGCTCAAGGAGTATTGTTGTTGAATAATCTTTTAAAGTAGGTCTACAAGATAAATACTCATCCAAATAGGGACCCCTATTGACTGTATATTTAATTTCTGACAGAATTTGAGAAAAACCATACAAAAGCAAATTGTGCGTGAAACCTTTTTTCAGTAGTACTTTTGACAGTCTCTCACAGATTTGCAGATAGTGACAATGATTGTTTAAATACATAACTCCATTAAATAGTTGTTATAAAACATATATTCAAAAATACTTTTATAAGTTTAATTTAATCAAGTATTGTGTAAAAAAAAAGGAAAAAAGTATAATTTGTTTAAGCGAGAGAGGTTAAGTCGACCACAATGTGCCTTTTGTTGCTCAGTGTATTACACTGTTAGCCTTTTTATGGTTTCGTGGAAAATAATTTGATACTATTTAGTCATGGAATTTCTCTCCTCTTTCTATTAACAGGCCCTTTGCACTCGGCCTCACGCACGCACGTCAAAGGACCAAGTATCACCGGATAAAACGCTGCGGTTTGAAGTAGTTAATGTCCATAGAGCTTTTTGTCAATAGCTAACCTGCTCCTGGTCGGCCTTCGCAAACGTCACAGATTTGAGCAGTGGAGTTAATCAACACCTCTGCCTCGAAAGCCCACGCGCAAACAGAGAAAAAACTTGGTGCGTAATTTGGTGGACATGGCACGGGGGCGCGCATTTGTGCACAATGCCAAAGTTGGTGAACTGAGTTTTTCCCTCGCTCCTTTTTAGTATTCCCCACATTCACCGACAGATTACTACATTTGCATATGAAAAGGAACGGAGCAGCACTCGAGTAGCACAACAGACACTTTGTGGTGCACCGGACACTTTTGGCTGTGACTGACGGGAATCGCGCACAACTGCACCAAATGTGACTTGGTTTGATGAACATGAAGAAAAATAACGCAACCATGATTATTAAAATGAAAGACTCCAGGAAAAATGAACTTTTAACTCAAATCCACGGATTCTGTAAAATTATGTCAATATTTTAGAACTAGACGGAAACCATAGATGTGGATTTCAGAATAAATTATATGCATTATGTTTTAATGATTACTTGAGCACCTGGAATCCTAGAGCATTTGTTTCAAATAATCCAAGCGTGTGTTCTTAATATACTGTTGATAAGTGTAACATAAAATTGCTATATTAAGACCCTGGTATGCCATGAATCAAAATGGGCTTTAAATATTTTGCACGGAAGTCATATATTATGATTCATACGCTACTTGACACTTAAAACTGTAAGAACATAAGTATAGCTTTAAAAGTAAAAGTAGATAGAAATAGCCTACTAAGTGATAGGTGCAATTTAAAGGCTAATAACTTCGCAATAAGATGGCATGTAGCAGTCAGGGAATTTAATGTGTGCTAAAACTTGCTTGCTCTTGTCTGCACAAGCACCTGACTAACGGTCTGAGTGGCTTACCGTGTGCCAGGCGGACCAGAGTGGGCAGGCGGAACTTGCTGACCACCGCGTCCAGAGGCAGCGCCAAGGGGTTCCAAGTGATCTCCGACAGGCTCGCGGACAACTTCTCCATCCTCCCGGGTCATCACGCATCCGGGCGGCACAACGTGGATGGTGAGGGTGGTAGAAGAGATGAACAAGAGAGCGGTGTGGATGAGGGGGGTGGTGGCGGCGGTATAATGGCAAAGAGTTTCGCCATGTTTGAACGCGCGGAGAGGGAGCGAGCGAACGCAGAGCGAGTCGGTGCGCACCAGCGAGCAGCGGCGGTAGGAGAGTGGGAGGGAACACACAAACCCGGTCTGTCATCTGCCCCCCCACCCTCGCGGTACACGTGAATGACACAGTCAAGGCAATTACTTTGAAACACACTTGAGAGATCCGACTTCTAAGGCTCAGATTAGAATTTGTAAATCCTGCCAAAATGTCTATCAAAATTATGACGATTTGATGAAACTGAAGCAGGTGCAACCCTTATTTGGACTCAACTAGATGTACTTAATTGTAGGTTCTTTTAATATAGTTTTGTGTATTTGTGTGTGTTTGTTGGCTTGGTGAAGTTAGATTCAATGTTGTATCTTATATTATTAAGTGTGTTAGAGGTTGTGGAGTAATATTCTGAGCCCACACACCCACCAAAAGCTAAATATAGTCGGGTAATTATTTAATCCAGCTGGTTAAAATGTAAACCTGGAAAATGTAAACTAGTTTTCCTTATAAATAGGTCCACTTTACAACCTGTGCCGTTGTAGTTTGAACAAATCTGAAAAACTCATACACTGATAACTCAATTACTTACCATAACCAACTATTGACTACTAATGGGCATACATTTAAAGTAGTAAATACACCCCGAACAATACCCATTTTAAATATCAACTTTATTGGTTCCATATTAACAAAATTAACACAAATCTGGTCTCTGGTTTATGACAGGGGTATCATAATATGGGATTGGAGGTAGGTCCACACAGCAGACAGCTTAATGGCCAGGTTCTGTAAGAGAGAAATTATACAAATTACAGATATGTCTTCATACTGAGATAACACAAGTGCTCCAGTGGTGCACAATGGATTCATCCATTCACAGTTACGTGATAAAAATATGAATATTATAAAGACAGGACAGCCATCATGTGTATTACTGCATAAGATCTAAAAACATAACAGAGCAAAAATATAGACAACACAAGGGCACTTACTACTGTCCTTCACAGCTTTCTTTCCTATAAAAGAAAACAAAGAATACAGTACGTCAGTTATGTACAGTCAGCGTGTGCATGTATGTGTTTCTGTGTTCTTATTAGATCTATTTCACTTTCACTTACCTCCATAGGATATTTTGTAGTAAAAATATGCCATGATGCCTACACCAACCCACACCTCCTGGTAAGCCTTTGTGTAGTAGGGGGAAACCCTTCCCCACAAAGTTCCTAACCAGCGTCCAGCCATCTGCAATACAGACATAAATATTTACTGATCAACTCAAATGAAAATCTGATCTTCACAATTTAGACTTTTAATTTATTTTATTTTATGGTTAAGTTATTACAATATATGGTCCTTCACTAGTAACACAGACATTATAAATTTGAAAAACCTTTCGACATTATAATTATTATTTAATATTACATAATTCCAATTTAGACTGAAGCAGGCTGGTGCACCGCTATTAGTCATTTAGCATTTATCTATTTTGTCAAATAAACGATCCACGGAATATCTCTCCGAAATACATTATAAAACTTATATAATTAACACTGTGAGGTGTAACGAGTTAATCTAAAATTACAGACTGCCTTTTGAATGACAGAAGAAACTACCATTTGTGATGCTAACTAGGCTAACGTGATTTTAGCAGGGGCACACAGAAAATACAAAATGCACAGCCAATTAAACCAATCAGCAAAGAGCACCAGTCTTATTTGGATCTAAGGAACGTAAGATGCTTAAATAATAAAAGATCAGATAGTTACTTTGTGAGGATTTGCTGTAGAGGAAAGGTCAAATCGCTGCGGCTGCTGCTAACCTCAAAGTCGTGGGACGGGCTGCTTCTTCGGATGTAGTTTCCGTAGATTTGTAGTGCCGGATTTGTGCACAGCGCCCCCACATGGAACCAGACTGTTACATAAACACCTGTGGCTGGTTCTTAGCTCCATCTTGAGGAGACAACGTGGGTAAACTGGACATGGATGTTAAAGGATTATTGGTAACATTTTGTATTTTTAGCTAATTAGTATTTTGTCTGTTGAAATAGATAAGACTGAAGTTCATTGGTGAATGATTTTGAAACGTAACTTTGTTTTTTTAATGGTGAACTTAGTAAGCACTTGTTTCTATTTTAACGTTTGCTGTAAATAATTAGGCATCCTAATTAGTATATTTTATCATCATTAAGCAAGATTTTAGAGTTAAGTTAGAGTGACCAGACGTCCCTATTTACCCGGGACAGTCCCAGTTTTGAGCCCTATGTCCCCTGTCCCTGCAGATTTATCCGAAAACCATTGATTTGTTCCAGTTTTATACAAGAAATGTCCCCGGTGTCCCTATTTTTAACCAATTTAATACCTGCCAACAGTAAAGACAGAAAATGTGATTACTGACTCACATGTTAGTCGTGAATGGGCTGAGTGCAGAACAGTTTTTCTTAATTGCATACTCTTTTTTTATTGCCAACCACCACAAACGGGGTGACCCAGTTTTTGATTTTGAAATTCTGGTCACCCTAAGTTAAGTTCATGGATCATGGTTAAGTTGCAGAAATTGAGGTTCCATTAAAGGTGCATTATGTAACTTTTCTGCCTGGCTGTTTCCATGGAGATGTGATAATTTTGGCTATAATGTTTGATAGTGAGGCATGAAATATGTCAACACTGTAACAAGTAGGTGACACTACCAGCCAGAGTCAAGGATCTGTGGAGAGGCCTGCATTTACGCTCACAGTTCAAAGGTATTTTTGCGCAATAAATACTGTAACTGAATAACTACAAAATAATGTCATTCTCAGGAACATCTCAAGCAAAGAAAAAGCATCATTGGAAAAACAAGGTTGCAAACTCTCCTCCAGAAAAGTTACATAGCGCTCCTTTAAGTGAGGGAGTGTTTTGAATCTTAACTCCACCCCTTGACTCCACCTGCTTCATGTCTGTTCACCTCCGGGTTTAGTTCTGCCTCAAGTACTGTTCTGGTGTGGGTCCATTCACTGTTTTGCCCACTGACTGTGGGTTGTGGGCACAGCACACTGCCTTGGATTCCCTTCATAAAGCATGCTTTAGTGGTCAACAAACCTCCAGGAATGTGAAAGTTGTGAGTAACCAGTTTATCTAGTTTGAATCTCTAGAGTACTTGTTGTGTTTTTGGACTGTGGCTGAGTGAGCGTTTTCATACACCATGGTAACAATTTCTTTTGCAGCTCTTGTGGAAAGTTTTGCATGTGTGAACTTGTTTCTGTCAAAATTATGGTGAAGAAAGGGGTGTGGATGGGCATATCTTAGGATGACTAATCACACTTAAATTAAATTGTTGGTGGAATCATCAGCAACACTTGTCTTTTTCTTTTCATGTCTTGTTAAGATGAGCTCAGTTTGTTGGGACTGATGATGGCTTCAGGTGGAGTAGAGGAGGAGGATGAGGGAATATCACTGGACATTGATGACATGCACATGCTGCTACATGGTAAGACAATTAATTTAACTATATCATCAACATTGTGAGCTTGCATTTCTTTAAACTGATGTATCATAAATAGTAACGTTTTCTATATTACAATGCAGTTTTATTCCAGGACAAGCCCTTGTGCTAAATGGTGTGAATTTAACTACAGACAACAAAAATGTGTTAATTCACTAAATATCATGGAGCACTGAAAGGATCATAGGACAATATAGGTTTGGCTAAAAAAGGAGTGAAAGCTTGAGATAATAAAAGCAGCCATAGTTTAATTATAAAGCAAAACATGTGCTCCTTTTCAGCAAGGTCTATCTTAGTACTATATCTGGTATAGCTTTTATTTTACCAACAGATCCTGTGGAGTGTGTCCCTGTTTTTCCAAAGCTACTTCATTGTTTATATATGTCTTATTTGAGTAATGAATAGCGATCTAGGTTTTCTTTTTTGTCCTGTGTCTAAATATGTCACTGTCTGGGGTTCTCCTGCCTTGCTGCACGTCTTATTTTGACTGGCAGTCCTCCATGTAGGATGTAGGAAGCAAGGCAATAAAAAAGAAGGATATTACACTTTATAACCGTTAAGTTATCAGAGTTTTACACCTGTGTCTTTGACAATATATCATACAAACAAGTGTCACGTCACAAGTTTTGATGAATAGATTTGAACCAGTAAATGTTTTTAGTAACAAATAGCACCATGCATTCCATATCTCCTGGGACAATAATTAAATGTAACTTTCACTTTTACATTCAAAGTAATTCAAAAGTTATTTAAGATGTCTTTTTTTTTTTTTTTTTTACAGTGGAGCAAGAACAAATTCAGAAAAGAACATTTACCAACTGGATGAACGCTCAGCTTGCGAAGGTATGGTTAATTCAAATTGCTGATATAAACAAGGTTAAGTAGAATCACATTTCTTCAATTGTACAACTTGGCTTCATTCAGAACAATTTCAAACCACCCCCCTCCTCATGCGCGCTATCAAAAGTAGGTCAACCGCTCGTCATATATATATAATGCAAATACATCTTCGTAGCATAAAAAGCAGTTAAGAAGTTCCTGTTGACGTAGTGTTCCCTCTGTAAGTGATCTGCTGCAGACTGTCACATGCTGAGTCACAGAGGGGACAGTGGATCTGGTCGCACTGGTCCGAGGAGGCATCAGACCCATGTCCTGCCAGGGTTAGGGGTAAAAATAGAGCCCAAGTAGAGCAAGACTGTGTGTAATTTGAGCTACCAACACAGCGTCATAACCAATTACATCAGTTATACAGCTAATAAACATAAAAAAAACTCAAACTTAGACAATCAACAATCAATGAAAAGTTGCAGAGTGAGTAGTAAAAGAAAAGGCGGTGGTTTCTGTAGTAGGAATAGTGATGTAGTAGTGTAACTTTTTACTAATTTTGTTGTCCTTGTTGGAGAATTTGTCCTCAGCATTTGACAGGCCAGAAGGAGCTGTGACAGGGGTTGTACTAGGTGAATAGAGAAGATATTTGTAGTAGCAATAGTATTTTTAGGTCTTGTTGCAAATACTTTAAAGGGCCCGTATTACGCGATTTTCTGATCTGTTATTGTGTTGTTTCCTCATCACAAAAATACCTGGAGTTGTTTTTGTTTCATTCATCATGTTTAACTCACAAACCCTGCAAATTTAGGCTGAGTTCTTCTCTCAAACAGAAAACAATGTCAAGAATAGAATAATTTTAGGTAATTTCAGTCCTTGAATTGTCCATTTCTCCTGAAACAATGAAAGGTAACTGTAAAATTGAAAACTGACGCTTCAAGGCATCACAAGCTGGAACAGAGAATTCTGAACTTTTGAGATGTAGACAGTCCAAAATTACACAGGATTACTAAAACATGTGTGAACGAAACAAAATACAACTCCAGGTATGCATTTGTGGAGGTAACGACATTCAACATGTCTTAAAGTTCACAAGACCCTTTTTTGTGTCATCTAGGACCTTTCAAAGAATGTAGATTGTGCCTCTAGCTTTTGGTTCTTCACTTATGTAACTTTTTGAATACAGATTTATAATTAATTTTATGTAATCAGCCGCTTTGTTTGGGACTGCTGTAAACCTATAATAAACCTCATGTGATTTTTGTATTATATGTCGTCTAAAAGAGGAGTCCGCCCTCACATGTGTCAGACCTGTTTGTTGACCTCAGAGATGGCTCCATTCTGCTCGACCTTCTAGAGGTGATTACAGGCCAGCCCATGGTAATTTACTTTTCTATTGCTTACCAAATCCAAATTCAAATAGTAATGAATGAGGGATTAAAGACTAACAAAATCTATTTACAGACAAGGCAAAGAATAGATGGAGTCTTCAAGCAGAGAGCAGACATTGAGACCGTGCTGGACTTTCTCAAGAACAAATCTGTATGTTCTGTATGTTTTAAAATCATGTCTGAAAGTGTCCTCAGACCTCAGACGTTTTCTTGTGTTTTTTAACAGGTAAAATTAGTAAATATAAATGTCCCAGATATTATTGATGGAAAACCTGCAATTATCCTTGGCCTAATATGGACCATTATTCTCCATTTTCATGTAAGTACTTCTCTTAAATAGTAAATATAATATAAAAAAAAATTACATCTGTCTTTTTTTACATTTGCATTTTTGCTAATATGATTACATTAATTCCTTTGTAATTATAGATAATGAGAGATGGTCATTATCCAACATCTATGCTTCCAAACCCATAGTCCAAAACAAGTTGCTTACTATTACATTTCTTTTTAGATAGAGGAGATGGCTATCAATCTGTCCAGCATATTTCCTCCTTCCACCCTGGACTCTTTGGACAGAGCTGAATCCTGTTTAAGTACTCAGCCTTCACTACACAAGAGCTTTGGACTCTCAGCTAAACAAGCCCTGCTCACATGGGCTCAAAACCAGTGCCATAGGTGAGCTTGTACAATTATATTATCTAATTATGATCAACCTCTAGAAATATATTACAATTCACAGCTTTAAATAGAATAGAAATTGTCTCATCTTAATATAGCTTGTCAGAATTTTTAACTGCCTTCTACTTGCAGTGATAATACATGTATTATTTTCTACATTTTCTAGGGCTGGTTGCTCTGTCACCATCACAGACTTTACATCGAGCTGGAGGAGTGGGGAGGCATTCTTGGCCGTCCTCTGCTCTCTCAGACCAAAGCTGTTGGATTTGACCCAAGTCCAGACCAGAACCAACCTAGAGAACCTGGAGAGGGCTTTTGAGCTGTCAGAAAGGGAGCTGCACATACCCCGCCTCCTGGAACCACATGGTAAGGTGGAATCAGATTTGATGTTACAGTGTAGTATGTTTCCCTCTTTACAGTTTAATTACATAACTGTTTTTCAGATGTTGATGTCCCTGACCCTGATGAGAAGTCTATTATGACATTTGTGGCGCAATTTCTACAATTCTCAATTGAATCAGTCACTCCTGTTGCCAACACACAGGTTTGAAATTCAGATACAATTTTTTACTGTATGCTACTGGTTATTCATTATGACATGTGAAATGTATACAGTAATTATTCAAAACTCAGTTCACAAGTTATTGTATATGCTTGTAATACATAAATGACAAGAAATTACATAATATTTTTTTTATTTCAGGAGCCTAACCTGTCTACTGATGACTGCAAAAATGATATACACTATAAAAAATCTTCACGACCCCAAGTTGAAAGTTTCCATGAAGGTCCAACAGAATCTCAAAAAGCTAAAAGTCGAGTGGAGAAGACCAGAGTACGAGTCCAGGCTCGGATTCAGCAGGCTATCAAGCTATTCAGCAACAGAGACATTACAGAGGCTGAGGCCAAGAGGAAAGAGGTACTATCAAAACATAAACATAACATGATGTAATGTCTTTGGGCTAAGTTAGAGATTTCACAATGTCAGTTACCACAGCTTTGTACAGCTTGTGAAATCTACAACTATGTACTACGACTACATAATAAATGAATCTCACAGTGACTGCCTTGTGACCTTTTTGGTTGATTCTATGCAGAGGGCATTAAAAGCTCTGCAGCCTGATTTCCTGGAGGACTTTCTGTCTGCTGTGGACACTTTTGGAGCATTCTGTTCTGAACCCCAACTTGAGGATTTAAAGATACTCTCCGATTCAGTGAAAAAGCAATGGGAGGTAAGACTCATATCTGCTGTTGTGTTTGATTAGTATCATCTCCTTACCCCGTACCTAATCAAAAGTACTGTCCCACTTTCAGGACGTGCGTATGGACATGTCAGTTTATATAGACATGTTGTGGAGAAAGATCAGAGAAAGGAAGATGCAAGTGTCTCTAGAACCCTGTAAAAGATTGACCACAAAGCATGAAGAAGAACCACAGAAGGAGGTATTGTTATTTCACTGTATTTTATGTTCCCTTCACTATTAAACAAAACTTTTCTTAAGTTTATTCTTTGTTTCCCCTTCCGATTCAATCACAGTTGTTTCTAAAGTTGCTGATTTATGTTTTAGTAGTCTATTTCCCTTCTTTTATGATGATACACATTCAACAGCAAAACTATAAAATATAAACAAATAATCTGCTGCTTGCCACCTTGAACTGCAGCTATCTACAGTTTTCATCAGAAATCAGCATACTTTTTTAAAATCAATCAATCAATACTGCAATTCTAAATATCCACTGATTTCATAGATTGTAACAATATAGTAGGCATAAACCTAAAGTGAGTCAGTATATATACCGGTAATCCGAGATAATCTTCATTCTTTGTGTTCTGGTAATTTTGATGCACAATTTTCTGTATTTCAGCTAAACTATTGTCAGTTTATGCCCCTCTTTACTGTTGGCAGGTTTCAAATTGGTCAAAAATAAAGACACAAGGGACATGTGAAACTGGAACAAATCAATAGTTTTGGTTAAATCTACTGGGACAAGGGACACAGGACTCAAAACTGCGAACTGGGACACCCTGTTCTAGCCTAATGTGTCTTCTTTACTGTTTACTATTACAGTTACTGATGCAAGAAAAGTAGTAGATAAAATTTTTCACTATTGGAGATAAGCTACAAGTGAAATATGGTTTAAAAATGAAGTTATTTCAATTGTTCAGTTTAAAATTCAACCAAATTGAAGCACACTTAAATTCCAGCCTCCTGCATGTATCCTTATTATCAAAGTTACTAAACAATACCTGCAGTTTGATTGGCTTTCATGCCACTCGCACGCCGTGGCAGCAGCTATAGGCCCTTAATCTGCAGTAATTGGATGTGCTCACGTTGTGTCTTTTTACTTACCGCACTGCTGCCTTGTCTTTTACCAGGAGATGTACTCTGTGAGGAGCAGGGGAAACCAAGATGGGACTGGCACCACAACTAACCTGCAGTCAAAACATCAGCTCACAAGTCAGCAAGAAGTACAAAGGTAATCCTATTCATATATATTAGACATATATATTATTTTGTATTATGGGTTTTAAATGTAATATATGGCCTGTCTATTAATGTATTTATAGCATCTAAACCATATGAGTCAAGCCGTTTCACAAAAGAAAAGTGGTTTAACTAAATATGATACAGGCACACCTGGATTATAGTTACCCTCTCTGGTATCAAGCCTTTAAGACAAAGTATTGTATACTGGGTACAGACTAGACGGTAACTTTCCCTTTAAATTTTACGTATTGAATGAAGTAGTGCACCAAAATGTAATTGTTTTAAAACCAGTGATAGTATGAGCAACTGACAAATGACACATAGAATAAATACGTTTTCTTAGTAATCTGTATACTGTGTGCACATACAACACACATATTTTCAACACACATGGAGATGATCTGAAATGCTGATCTAACCCTTACCTTAACACATTCTTTCCCAAAGACCTCACACAAGAGATTTTTTTTAGGTCGCCTTGTCACAATCTGCATGTAGGTCTGCAATCTACAGTTCTGACACATGAGATTTTCTGTGCTCACAAAAATGAAGACAAAGCACAGAAACACACTCAATGTTACGCCTAATCTGCTGTTGTGCTCTCCTCCTGCACCCCAGACTGGAACGCACTACAAAAACGCAGACAGGCCCACCTATCTCATTAGAATTGTTGAAATGTTAAGACATGTTTTGTATAATTTCTAATTAAATTTTTTAATTATTTTATTGACTGTTTTGTTCCAGTATTGCTGGTTCAATTGAATGCTGAATGGAAAAAGAAATAGGCTACATTTAATGTCCAAATAGGCGACTTATGGTTCCTTTTATTGCTGGTTCAATTACTGTTTTTCATTGTTTAAAACTTGAGTAATACTAATTGTTCAGAGAGATACAATCACTCAGTCAACAATAAAATATTCTCATTAATGTTCAGTAATGGTCAAATCCACCTTTATTTTGTGATTTACAAATAATGTCTTTTGACTTGGTTCACGAAGGTTTGTGACTTTTAAAATATGGGTCCCCGGAAAAAAAAAAAGTTTAGGAAACCCTGATCTAACAGATGATTAGTGATGCATTTTTAGTGTTTGATGTGATACGTAATACCATTGTTTTATTAATAGTTAGTTGAATAGTTTCTCAGTGCTTTACAAGAATAGTTTGAACTCTGGGCCAAACCACATGCATTATGAAACTTTATTCTCAAGTTCCAACCTGCTGAAAGATTTAATAAATAAAGGATATATTTGTTGCACCGTGGGGACTGAACAAAACAGAAAAACACTGTATCTTCAGTTTAATAATTCAATAACCTGTATTTACAGTGGCAAGCATTTAAAATGAGTCAGCAAAACTTTAATTACTTTGTGTTGCATATACAGTATGACAAACATTCTGTGTTTTATATAATGTCACACTGCAAAAATCAATGTCTAGGTAAGTTAAAATTAACTTAAATTAATAACATTTTCGTTTATTGGAGTAGATTCAACTTGGCAAGTAAAATTATCTACCAGTGGAATAAGTGCTTCTTAATTCAAGTAACATTTGATTTAGTTTCTTTATTTTAAGTGCAGAGAGTTGTATTTTTCTTATCTAAGTAAAGCAAGATCTATTTTCATGTTTTAAGTACAAAAAGTCTTGTTCTTTTGGTAGATCATTTTACTCAAATTATGATTAAACTTTTTTAATTCAAGTAATCTTTATTTGGCTAGATTTTAGTTTTTGCAATGTTGCATTATAAGAGAGTATTTATTTTACAGAAATGTTTATTAATGAGCATTGTCCCTGTTAAAAAGAAATGCTTTATGCTACATTTGTGGAGAGTAATTGAGTTTGTGGTGAGCTCAAATTTTTACTGTTCCAAAAATGTAATAAGTATTAAGTTTGTGGGAATTTTGTTTTTAAATTTGTGGCAGGCAAAAGTTATAACGTTTGTGGGAATTTATTACATTTAAAACCGACTTTTATATTACATTAGTGGTTTGTTAGATTCCCAATGATTATTACTTTAGTGGTTGTTACTGTTGCTTGTAAAACAGAATTATTGAATGATATTTGTTATTTATTTTTTGTAAAGACCTTATATTATTATACAAAATTTACTTTTCATCATGTTGGAATGTTGTTACCTCCTCAAAAACATACCCAGAGCTGTGTTATTTTTCATTCACATGTTTGAGTAACCATTTATCATTAGTCTGTGTACATCTACAAAGTTTAAAATACTCTGTTCCACCTTGTGATGGCAAATTAATAGCTGCTTTTCAGTAAAGACTGGCAATTCTAGAGCTAAAATGATCCAAATGATTCAAGTGTAGGAGTATGGAGTTAAAAACACAGTGTTACTATATTACCACATGACATCACAGGGTGGAACAGAGTGTTTTATTTTTGGGAGAAGAACTCATCTTAAATATGTACGGTTTGTGTGTTCAACAAGTGCATTATAACTCCAGGTATGTTTGCGATGAGGAAACGACATTATAACATAGATCCTAAAGTAGCGTAATATGGGCTCTTTAAACTAAATTTACTCAAAAACACAACAATTAACATGTTTGCCACCATAAATTACTATAATCAACTTTGCTGCATGTTACTTGGGGGATCTAAGTGTATGTTTTTCTCTTTTAGTTTTCTGAATCTGTAGTTATCTGAATATCAGCAACACAAAAAAACAACAAAGTACTTCTGTTTATGTTCCAGTGCCAAATGTTTCACTGACACCATTGACAAGATGGAGTCTGCAGATGATAAAACTAAACTGGTCTCAGAAAGCTCCAAGAAGATGGTCTCAAAGTCTTTTAGTAACATCTCCTCTATGACTCGGACTGAACCCAGCAAGATTTTGGACAATAAAGTCGATACACATGCAACAAATATGGAAGTTACACAGGAAGGATCGCAAATTCAAGAAGATGCACAGGCAACATCTACTAAAGTGAATGTATTTCAGTTAGACTTGAAGACAAATGTTTCAGAAAGGATTAAACATTTCAAAACAATGGAGAATGAAAATGCTGTTGAGACCAAAGACAAGAAGATAAGAAAAAGGAGCAGTGAAGTTAAACCTGGAGATAACAGGAACCAAAGACAAATGGCCTTTATGGGGAAACTGATGGAGTTGCAAACAGAAGCAGAGGAACTGAGTCTGCAGGAGGTCACTCTGCCCGCTCTACACCAACGGTAGGCTGATAACTATCTACCAACATCTCCAGATATTAGCAGTACACGAAGAATACATTTATTTTAATTTGGCTCAATAATATTACAAACCCAAAATCTAAACCGGGGGTGTCCAGACTTTTCACCTTTCACATTTCAAGGGCCACAGACTGAAATATATATTACATGGTTTGCATGTAAGGGATTAACTGATCCATCTTTTTCAGTTCCGATATCAATACTTTGACTTTAAGTATCTGCCGATACCCAATTTTAACCAATACCAGTGTAGTGTGTATTTCCTCAAATCACAGTTAACTTATTACACAAGAGATCTGAACGGCTTTGTATGAATAAAAGTTCAAATATTAAAGACGTTCTAGGCGAAAATCAGCATGTTAATAATCTAGTCTAATAGTCTATATCCAATTAAAGGCCCAGTTAGGATACTGACTGAACCAATATCATGGGATCAATACCCAATACAGCAAATTTTTCAGTATCAGTACCAATATTCGATAGCAGTAGTGTTGGTATTGCTGCATTTGTAGAAATAATTTTAGGTGTTTGTCATAACGTATTGTGAATTTATTGAGGTTATAGTGGCAGAATTACTGAAATTTGCCATAAAATTATCATTTGCAGGAGGCTTGAGGGCCAACAAAATAGATCTGAGGGCTGCATTTGGTTCCTGGGCCATAGTTTATACAGGCGAAAGATTTGCGAAAACTTCTTGTGTGATTTTCTTGAAATTCCTGATATGATTCCTAAATTGACAACTGACTAGTTGCAGCCCTCAAGTGATTTGTTTTTAACCAAGTTCAGTGATTCTGTTCTGATATACTATCTAACAAAACATAAACATCATTCATTACAACTTGATGTGCTGTATTGATGTACGCTGGCAATCAGTCTCGATGTATTTATGCATTTTATTGAAGCTTGTTTAACTATTCTTCATGGCATGTCTACAGATCTCGGGCCTTGATGAGATTGGAGAATAGTTTGTCTAGTCTCCACTCTGAGTATGAGCACATTAAAAATAGCTCACAATCAGAAAGTTGTGACATCAGTGTAAACCATGACGTAGAGCATCTTTGGCAAGTGACCACTAAAGCAATTTCAGAACGGTAAATAAAACACCAGCCCCATGTTTGCAGGAGATCAAAATTTCTCAGTGTTCTTTACGATTCAATGTTCTGCTTTTTGTTTAGACTGGAACAGTGTAGTCACTTGGTTGAGCTGCTGAAGAGGTTTCAGAAGACCAGCACAGACATTGGTGAAACTTTACAGAGAGCTGAGAGCACAGTGAAGGAGCAGGCCTCATACATGGGAAGAGAAAACCTGCACAGACTACACACTAAGGTATAACACTATGGCTGCAGTTTATTAATTTTTTAGGAGAAAGAAGAAACATTTTGACAGCTTCATAGTTGAATATATTTTTCTGAATCACTTTTGTATATATTACCACAGGTTACTGAAACTAAATCTGAGGTGAATAATCTTGGGGACAAGGTTGGAGAGCTGAGAAATGTCTCAAAACAACTTCATGGTCATTTACAACAAATCCCACAATGTCCCAGCAACATCCCCTTTGAGTCAGAGGCTCAGAGTCTGATGGACCATTGGATAGATGTAAGTTGAATACCAAGTTAAAAATAGAAATTAATCAGGATACTTTACATGAAACTAACTCTTTTTTTAAATTATTATAACCTAATCCTGCAGATAAATACTACAAACTAATAGAAAACTTGAAAACTACATTTTAGTTCACATAGTTGTTCTCGTGGTTGTAATACATCTGCATGGACACTGTAAACTTGTTGCAGATTTCTGAGAGAGTGGAGTCATACTTTGAAAACCTGCAGTTTGCCCTGAGTCTGTGGGATGGTGCTCTCAAACTGGGGCAGGAGGTTGAACACTGGACCAGCACAAAATTTGCCACTTTTGCACACTCCCCATTTTTCCAGACTGAGGAGGACATACAAGTCTTACAGGTACTAGAATGTTGTAGTGTATTATAACACTGTAAAATGTGACTTTGGACATCACATGGGAAATATAAAGTTGGCTTTGAGCTATGGTCACCTCCCCTCTCTCCCCTGTGTGTAGACTGAAGTTAGAAAGCAGGAGGAGAGTATCAAGTGTTTCAGTCGAATAACAACACAGATTCAGACCCTGCTTCAGACAGCAGAGCCCCCACTGGAACTGCAGGTAAACCTTTTCTATTTTTATTTATTTAAGTTCAGAATATATTCGTAGCTGTCATAGTTAATTTTTACCTATTGATGAAGAGTGGCAGAAGCCTGTAGTCCAGTATCTATTACATGGTGCTTTGATTGAAGGAGTATAAACAAAAACAGCGCTGCACAATGTAGAGCAGTTGAAATCAAATAGCAATTATTAAGTTGCAGCCTATACATTTATTTACATTTATTTATTTTTTTTAATTAGAATGTCCTTGGCAAAGAACACTTAAAAAAAAAAAAATAAGTAGAAAAAAACTTGACCCATCCCATAAAATCAACAACAAACATGTTAGTTTATCTGTTCATATTTCAGTCATCTCTCAAACTTAAATGTTCCTGTACAATACAGAAACATAAGCAATAACAAATAGTTTTCAAAACATTTGCAGTTATGTGTGAAATTAACTATCCCATATATATCTCAGTGACATGTGTTGTTTTATTTGTGTGTGACACAGGTTGGGCAGGCTCAGATGAGGACAAAGATGGATGAATTACAGGAGCTTGTTTCTGAAGTTGAGGAGGTCTTCAGACAGACAGAGGCTGCTAAAACCAATGTGTGTGACAGAATATCTGAGAGTCTGTGCTCCTTACACACTGTTCAGGAGGCCCTGCTCAACCTCAGCGGTCCTGATCCACCAACAGTTCTCTCACAACTTCAGGTAATGTGCATTTCATTCCACATACACTGTTCTGTATTGTCTCTATTCTTAACTTTTAAAATGGTCTGTGTGTTATCTACCTAGGGACGATAGATGGAAATTAGCTTGTTTACGATAACCTGTAACTATACTATTTACGCTGAAATTACAGATTTCAATAATATGCATTGCCCTATAAAATGAAATAAAGTATTAAGCATAAAAGACAAAAAACTAATTGGACAAGATGTTTAAAACTGGTTGCAAACAACTGTATAAATCACATCTCTATTAATCTAATGCAAATAAGTAAATACACAACAACAACATTGCTATGGTCACCAAGAGGTCCTAAATTATGTCTCACTTTTGTAATTAATTTGTTGCTATTTACTATTACTACTACTACTTTTGTGATTATGATTAATTAGTTCATCAGTTAATCACCATTATGGGCTAAATAAATGATCACAAAATGCATACATGTACGTATCTTTAAGCTCTACACTGCATCATTCGAGAACCTACAGAAGTAAGGGCAAATTAAAAAGGTTGTGTGTTTTTGCCATTGTCTGCAGGACCTGTATTTGCAGCTGCAGGTTCAGGATGAGCAGGTCCTGACTCTCCATGAAGACCTGCGGGTCCTGCTTTCAGTGGGACGTCCCGATGGTTTGGAGAGTGTGTTTGAGAATGGAGATAAACTACAGGAGACTCTGGCACAGGTGCACCAGCTCTTCTGTGAGGTGGAGGAGCAAACCCACAGGCACATACAGCTCTATGACAGGTAAGAGGTCACACCCAATTACTGTATGCTGTCACTGAAAAATAGTGTTGGATTTTATCGGGAGATCCATCATTGTTGAAATTCTCTTTTATCTAATAACACCTTGTAAGCCCTCACTCCCTGAGTTCACATGGTCTAATGTAAAATGTCATAAGAATGCAAAAGAGGGGGAGAGCCAATTGGGCACATTTTCTCTCTCTATGTTCCATTATAAAAGAATGTAAAATGCTTACTTGGCCAAAATAAATACATAAATGAATGAAATGAACCGTAAAATTGTCATCCTATCCTCACCATATTTCTTAATAAAGCACAAATCTAAATCATAATGAACAAATAATGGAATGATTCAGGCATATATTAAGTTACTACTTACTACTTAAAGGACAGTCTGGAATTTTGGACATAGGACCTCATTTCCTAGTTAGACAGAGTGTTGGAGACGTGTGGAGACACTTTTTAAAATATTCCATCCATCCTTTTATTTGCAGAGGTCGCTGGTGCTAGGCTAGCGCATGTCAATGGCCATAGTTATCCTGCCACAAAAAACAGTCTTACCCACTCCACAAAACACCCGAAGCAAATCTGTTATTACGCCAGACTGTCAATGTGAATGTTTGTGTTAATAGAATAGTTTTAGAAGTAAAACCAACCAACACTAAGGATTTATCTCTGAGCAGCAGCAGCGAGTTGTACTTCGTGATAGAAAGTTTGGCAGCGTCGGACTGATATATGAGAAAATAGTCCCTTAACATGCGACGATTCATGTGATGCAAGATTAGTTTTATTTCAAACATTATTCTATCAACACAAACATTTACATCGACAGTCTGGCCTCAGGTGCTTTGTGGAGTGGGTAAGACTGTTTTTAGTGACAGGGTAACTATGCCCATTGACATGCGCTAGCCTAGCACCAGCGACCTCTGCAAATACAAGGACTGGAATATCTAAGGAATATCTAGGAAAAGTGTCTCACACGTCTCCAACACTCTGGCTAACTTGAAAATGAGGTCCTATGTTCAAAATTCCAGACTGTCCCTTTAATACTTAATACTTATCATACCTTGCTTTTGACCACAGAGATGCCATTACTTTGCTTGTAATGTTTCACACTGTGGCATTAAACTTATCTATTTCCATGGAGAAAAGCAGATAATGTAACCTGGACAAGTTACAGGTCAGGTTTGTGGAGAGAGGACTCCACCCACAGTAAGAGTCATTATTTTTGAGCCACAAACACCTATGAATGATTACTTTCTTGATAGACAAGTTAATGCTCTCCTGTGGACCATCCATGCAAAGAAATAACATCTCCATGGACACAAGCAGGTGACAGACCCTTCCACCTGAAAAGTTGCATAGTGTGACAAACATGTGCGATGGCAGAACAATATGCTGTCCTTCTTCTTGTCCACAAAGCAAAGCATGATGGTCTACGTAGTGCTCGTCCTTTTTCCCATGCAGTTGAGAGGAGCCGCACTGACACAGCAGAGCCAGTTTAACTTGTTTGAGGTGTGCATGCGTCCTTCTACCGGTGTGGACTCTTATTGTAGTAACATACATGTATTTCAGGCTCCAAACACAAGTGGATCATTTCAAACAATGGCTGAACACTGATGAGCTTACCCAGGATCCCAGGGTTCTGCAGGAGGAAGTGGTTCAACACAGGTACAATACTTTTTTTTATGTGATCCAATCCAATTTCATTTATTTATTTTTACTTGTACCTATATATTTATATAACTATGCCTTATTTGACACCAGTCTCTTGCATTTTTTTCCTGCTTATTTAGGATGTATTATTACCATTTATATTTTCTCTCTTTGTTATTATAATATACTGTGATGTCTGAGCTACTGTGTCAAAGTAATTTCCCTTGTGGATCAACAAAGTTTGTCTAAGTCTAAATGAAAGGAATAAAATAGCAGACACTGAATGAATGAAGTATATTTTGTTAACAGTTTACTAGCCATCTATTGAAAGTATTATGAGTGTATATTTGCTTTTGTAAGCTTGAGTTGTTTGGGGTCAAGAATGGTGACTAACTGTGCCCTAACGGCTACAAAACAAGACACAATTTGTAACACTTTATTATGACCGTACACTTCTCCCTTCACACTTGCACTCACATAACTATAACTACAATAAGAAATTACAAGTGCTAGAATATTAGTCAACATTAGTCAAATATTAGGCTATTTTCTCATCTGTTATAATGTTGTTTCCTCATCACAAACATATCTGGAGTTGTGTTTTGTTTGCATTCACACATATTTAACATACAAACCCTGCATATTTAGCCTGAGTGTGAATGAAACAAAACAAATCTCCAGTTGTGTTTTTGAGGTAACATTATAACACGGCTTAAAGCTCACATTAGTCAATTTTGTGTAATATAGGACCCTTCTGACGAAACTTGATGCAAACCAGGTCAAATCTGAATGCAACCTAAAAGTATTCTTACCCATTAAAAACATAAAAAAAATAATTGTGTGAACAGAAACTTAATCTGGTGTCTTCATTCATTCATTGCTTTTTATTGTGTGGGTGGTTTCATAGCCTATCCCAGCACCTCTAGGTCTCTGAGGGTGTAACCTAGTTTTAGACAATGGTCATTTGTTATAAAAATTATTGTAAAATTGTATCCACCATTTACATTTATCATCCCAGTAGCATGGATTTTGGTGAGTCCCATTTGACTAAGCAAATGAACCGGCTTTGTGTTGTGTTTTGTGGCCTGCAGGGTGAAGGATCTCTCTCAGCTCGTGTTGTTCTTAAGAAACTCCACATTTCAGAAGTCAGTGCTGATTGAAGAGAGCGAGAAACTGCTAGAGCAATATTACAAGCGTGAAAGCAGCACACGAGGTGGACCCAGGGAGCTGCATGAATCACTACACTCCCAGTCCTGTGTCAAAGCAGTGAACCAACCACAAGCTCAAGTAACTGAAGTCGGTGGAGTCCAGAGAGGCCCAAGTGCAGTAAGAAGTCTCAATTTATTCAAATCTTATTCGACTCTGGTGTAGTTCTGTAGTTCTTGTAGACTGTGGTTAAGTATTACTTCCAGTATAGTTGTTGTTTGAATGTTTATGGTATTAAAATTGGCATAAAAGTTTGATTTTGTGATACAGTATTTTCCAGGTTGTTTTTAGACATTTTTTAAAAGTCCTATATTGCACAAAATTGATTGTTGTGAGCTGCAAACCATGTTTTAATATTGTTACCTCCTCAAAAACGTAACTTGGGGTTGCCTTTTATTTTTAGTCTGTCTACAAAATCTATCTTCAAAGTTTCAAATGCTTTGTTGCACCTTGTGATGTCATTAAGGGATAGTTTTCAAGTTAGCAGCTACTTTTTACCTTTAGGTCAGTAGAGATTGGCAATTCCAGGTCTGAAATTATCCAAATTGTTCTAGTAAAGATGTATGGAGTTTAAAAACACAGTGGAACACTTCCTGCATTACGACATGACATCACAAGGTGGAAAAGAGTGTTTTACGTTTGAGGGAAAAAATGTGTGAATGAAACAAAACACAAATCTAGGTATATTTCTGAAGAGGAAACAACATTATAACACACATCAAAATATAGCATATGGGCCCTTTAAATAATAAATTATTGTTACTGTTAAGGCAAAAATAATTATTCTACTTATTTATTTCTTTACTTTAAATACATAGATGTATTTTTGTAAACATATTAGTAGCAACTAAGCTTATTCGGAACTATCTTAGCCGGAGGATTTTACCTATTGTGCATGTTTTGAATTGATGGGAAGTTGTAGCACTTGTACTACACTAATGGCAGTAAAGTTTCTTGACAAAAGTACTTTTCTAGTTATTCTTTTTTTATTGTTAGTTGGTCACTTAATCTTCTGCTTTATGGTCTTAAGTTCTACCAGTGTAACATTAATAATATGATTAAAAGATTTTATCCATCAATGCCTTTCTTGACACATTTCACAAAGATTAAAAGACAACATATTCACAGGCTGTATTGTAAATTGAAAAACAGCTTATCTAAACACACAGTATTTTATTTTGCATTGATTTTTGTTGCTATGACATAATACAGTTTAAGCTTGTTTGGTGTTTGGTACAGGCGTGGTTGCACTAATCTTCTGTTGTGTGTCTGAACTTGTCCGAAGAGGAGTGTCCATGTTTTGTACAATGATGTGAGTTTTGTGATATCCGTGTGTGTCCATGTCAGGTGTGTCTCTGGTTTAATTGCCTTCCAGGAAAGCTCAGCAGGAGACAGGATGACATGTGTCAGAGGAAGTGTAGTTGACATGAAAGATGGAGTCCAGGAAACCGACGATAATCTCCGGTCAGTTCAGCAATGTCATTTGTATTCAAAATCTAATGATGACTTATTTAATAAGTAACAATGAGAGATGCAGGACTGCATTCATACTGTACTCTATGCAACTGCACAACAAATCACCTTTATGTAACAGATAATACTCCCTACAACTGTACAACAATTCATCCTTATATAAGAGATAACCCTATGTCCTGTCAATCATCATATCATGTATTATTATTATTAACCTCTTTTTTCTTTATTATATTATAATGTGATGTGTGAGCTACTGTGTCTAAGTAATTTCGCTTGTGGTTCAAAGAAGTTTGTCTAAATCTAAGTCTACAGTACAGTACAACACACACAATACTTTAGTTACAACACAGTTTGTGCTCATCTATCACTACAAAGTACTTCCCATTTTTGGAAAAGCTGCTTTTCATTTGTATAAACCACACTTAATGATAAAAAGGAAGAAAAAAGGAGGAGAGGAATGGCTTTGATAAACATTTTTAAGATGATAAAGCATGATGGATGAGGGATGGTAAAGGAAAATCTGTTGTAAAAGCAGAACTTTCTGAATTAAACTTGTACTAAAGACCATGCAACTATCACAATATGACTATTAGGGATAAGAGCTGATTGGATGTGCAAGGATGGTCCTCCTTGCTTCTCCTTTCTATGTGAAGAAGAAGAAGAAAAAAAACAGTCCTAAATCTATTCTAATGGTCAAAAATGTTTACATGTGAATATAAGCAATGTGCCAAAGAATTTGTGAGAGCTAGCTATGAGTTAACATAATAATAATAATACGTTTATTCGGATATTTGACAAATCATAAATTGCCTTATATTCCAGAAGTAATCAACAATATGTAAAGGCAATTATTTTATGTTACTAATCACAGATATCTGTATATGTCTACAAAAATGAATAATTCTGAAAAGGAGTGGGGAGAAGCAAACATTTATTTACCTCCACCCCCTGTTTAAATTGATTTAAATACCTGCTTGTTTCTTCCGCAGATTGAAAATCATGTACTCAAGCGTTAAATAACGTGCTTTCATGTTGTCTTTTCCATTAGGTTCAACAGTGGTTTACAGGTTGCCCCGAAACTGAACAACAACATGAGGGAGGACTACATTCTTCATGACTCATCCTGGTTTGAACTGGAGCGCTGCCTGTCACGGCTCAAGGCCCGGCTGGATGTAAAGTTGTCCACTGTTCTTCTACATTTTGTTTTAGTTTAGTTTGCTGACTCAGGGCTCATTTGTGTCTGGTTTGTCCATAGGATGTGTCCATTGCCGGGGAAGAAATGTGTGATGATGAGGGCCTTGTCCGACTGCTCCAGGACTGCTGCCACAAACTGACATCTCTGCAGGGAAAGATGTCCATAATTACAGCAGACTCTGAACGAGAGGTGATACTTATAAATACTGCCGTATATTTTATTATGCATGTCAATCAGAGGTGGGGACTTGCAAGTTGTGACTTGGACTCGAGTCCGACTTGAATCACTATTTTTAAGACTTGAAACTTGACTTTATAAAATGGACTAAGACTTTAGACTCAACTTGGACTTGAAGGTCAATGACTTGGGACTTGACTTAGATTTGAGCCCTGAGACTTGAGAAGACATGATGCTTTTTCTAAAAAATATGTTTTTTCAAAATACTTCTCTCTTTTCAGTTGATAAATGTGGCACTTCATTTTACAGGAACAAACTGGAACATGTCTGTCCCACTTCTGTTTGTTACTTTGGAAGTACTAACTGAAGTACTGTGATGAAAAATGTACTACAGCAATATACAGAACAATACAGTAAAACAGAAGGAACTAGAACATGATCCTTCATGACAAAATAACTGTTATTTAGCACTTTTAAATCTGAATTCTTTCTATTCTGAATGTAATGATTCACACTAAGATCTTATCAAGACCTTTAAAAAGGAAAAATTTGCATTTCTACTACTCTTATATAAATACTCATATATAAATATACCATGACTTTTTAAGTACAATTTTGTTTAAAAATCATATAAATAGCAAAAATCTACACTATATTTGGTACTTCGGTTTAAAGACATGAAATGACTTGAAGCTCAAAGCAGATGACTTGGACTTGACTTGGACTTATGGGCCAGTGACTCGAGACTTGACTTGGACTTGCCTGTATTTGACTTGGAACTTGACTCGGACTTGAGGTCAAAGACTTGAGACTTTCTTGAGACGTGCAAAACAACGACTTGGTCCCACCTCTGATGTCAATACAGAGTCATGTTAAAGTTTTCTAGTAGTTAAAGCTGAAATGCATATACTTCAGACTAACTTTCAAAGGTATACATGACATATTGATCTGTTTTGTACTTAAAAATTTTGTTTATGTCAGATGCTTTTCCTAATAAATTTATATATGAATTTATTCTGTGTCCACCACTGAAAATAGGTAAAACAAAACATTTTGGCTTGTCACAAATTTTGAAACTAGACATTTCTATTAATATGAGTGCTGTTGTGCAAGTTTGACTATGAATTAAACATCTAAATATTTAACCTTTTCCATATTTAAGTTTTGTAACATGTGTTTGTATATTTTAGTAACCACTGGATTTTTTTTCTAGGTCATGCTACAGCAACTTGCAGCTATCGAGAAAGTCCTTTGTCAGCACGTTGCACTCATGGACCCAAATAACAGCCTTTCTCAAGAAATCCATAACCTCCTACACCTCAAGAGGGCGCTAGACGACAGCATCAAAGACAGGACTGGTCAGGAGCAGAAACAGCAGAGTGATCAACACAGGGAAGAGCACCCAATTTCAAATGAAGACAGGTAAAGAACTGTGTGAAATTAAAACTACTGTATTACTTGTTTAATTAAATGTTTAAATAGGCACATTGCACATATATATTTGTAGATAGTAGATAGTTGTAAATATTGTATAACATGTGCTTGTTTTCATATTTGTTCTGTTTTTAATGTAATGTTTTGTGCAGGAAAATACCATTAATATATAGTCTTTTCATATTAAGACTCATATCGCTGTATTTTTGCAGTTTTAAAACGATTCTTAAGTCCGTTGGAGCAGGAAACTTGGTGAAAGAAAAAGGAGTGACAAATGGCACAGGACACATGCAGGAAAGCAGCCAAACAGAGCAAAATGAACCACCAACTTCCAACCAGGTACATGCATTAAAGAAAATAGCATATGATTTCTTATTGTGTTGTGTGGTTTTGTACATTTTAACTCTCTGTGTTTGTTTCAAATTTGTATAATAGGAACAAATAGCAGGAAAAGAATCTGATATAAAATGCGAAATGAATTTAAACATACTAGAGATCGCTTAAAGGTCCTATATTACACAAAATTGAATGTTGTGAGTTTTAAGCCATGTAATAATGCTGTTACCTGATCAAAAACAGTCACATCAATCATTAATTCTGCATTATTGACATGACTACATCTCCAAAGCTCAAACTGCTCTGTTCCACCTTGTGATGTACCTTTTGCCTTTAGTTAAAGGGACAGTTTGGAATTTTGAACATAGGACATAATTTCCTAGTTAGCTAGAGTGTTGGAGACATGTGGAGACACTTTTTAAATATTCCATCCAGTCCTTGTATTTGCAGAGGTCATAGTTATTCTGCCACTAAAAACAGTCTTACCCACTCCACAAAACACCCAAAGCAAATCTATTATTACACCAGACTATCAATGTAAATGTTTGTGTTGATAGAATAATGTTTGAAATAAAACTAACCTTACATCGCATGAATAGTCAACATGTTAAGGGACTATTTTCTCATGTATCAGTCCGCCGCTGTCAAGCTTTCTATCAAGAAGTACAACTCACTGCTGCTGCTCAGACATAAATCCTTCAAATACAAGGTTGGTTTTACTTCAAAAATTATTCTGTTGACACAAACATTCACATCAACAGACTGGTGTAATAAAAGATTTGCTTCGGGTGCATTGTGGAGTGGGTAAGACTGTTTTTAGTGGCAGGATAACTATGGCCATTGACATGCACTATTCTTGCACCAGTGACCTCTGCAAATACAAGGACTGGATAAAATATTTTAAAAAGTGTCTCCACATGTCTCCAACACTCTGGTTCACTAGGAAATGAGGCCCTATATCCAAAATTCTGAACTGTCCCTTTAAGTAGAGATTGGTCATTCTAAATTATGGATTTGTTTTCGATAAGGAAACAACATTTAACATAGATCAGAAAATAATGTTATTTGGACCCTTTAATAATTAAAAATAATGTAATGTGTAACTAACTAGATAAATAATTTTAGAACGCTACTCTCAAATGAGCTCAGTTTGAAACTTTTGTAATGAAAACTAATCCAAACATATGTTACCAAAAAACACAAAAAAAAATTAAAATAAATCACTCACATTTAACAACCCATTTGAGCCAGCACTTAGCGGTAATATCAAGACCTTTGTGCAATTTTAAAACATTTATAATTTTATTCGCAGCATGGTTTTCTAAATTTTGGAGTTTTCCTTTTTCTAAATGTCACAAGTACAGTACATCCCCTGTCCTTTAATAATACTAGGGCTTTACCTTTGCTTCTTTGTGCCACATAGTTAGCATAATAAAGAGTTGTGTGCTTTTAGTGGAAGGCTCTGGCTAATCTTTTTAAAGGTTTATACTTGACTTTTTAAAACCAGGAACAGTGCCAGACAATTTTAGCACTTACATGCAAAAAGTTATCCAAAAAAAATCTGACTTTACATCATGAATGCTATCGAACATCATGGACCTTTTTAGGACTATTTACTCCATGATTAGATCTCAAGCAATGCTATTGGTGCTACAAGAGGTTTTTTCTGGTGGTGTCTTCTGCTACTGTTTTAAAGGTGCACTAAGTAACTTTTCTTGTGGAAGATGGAGATGTTAATGCATTGCCTGGAATGTTCCACAGTATGACATTACAAAGCTCATATTACGCTGTTATGTTAAAGTGTTATTTCCTCATCAAAAACATAAATTGAGTTGTGTTTTGTTTCATTCACACATGTTTAACACACAAACCCTGCATATTCAGGCTGAGTTTTTCTCTCAAACAGAAAGCACTCTGTTCCACCTTGTGATAATACAGGAAGTGCTCCACTGTGTGTCATTTGTATAATTTTTACCCTGGAATTGCCAATCTTCACTAAGCAAAGGGTAAGCATTTAACTTTTGCTTCATGACATCACAATGAGGAAAAGAGCATATTGAGCTTTAGAGATGCAGACAAACTAATAATAAAGGATTACTCAAACATTTATGAATGAAATAAAATACATCTCCAGGTATGTTTTTGATGAGGGAACAACATGATAACATGGCTTAAAGCTCACAAGAGTCAATTTTGCGTAATATAGGACCTTTAAACTTATCTATCTTTTGTCACTTAAATTACTGTGAGCAATTTGCCTCTCCACAGATCTGAGCTAGATCATAGGCTATTATCACGCTGATATGTAGTACTTACGCATTCAGTGACATTTGTGCATGCCTACTTCTGGTGGATTGTCACTCTGGTGATTGAACTCATGGATGAACCGAAGTTGTTTACATGTACTACATCTCTTATAAATTTACTGACAATATCCTTTTCCGTACATAGTCTCATTGACCAACTTTCAATCACAGCCCGCTCCAAAGTGCAAAAGGGAAAGCTTAAATATGATTTTCGTTGTTTATTTGAAAAACAGAGAGGAACAGAGCAGTGACATCTAGCTGTCGTTTGAGCCATTGTTGTTGTTGCGCGGGAAGTGGAAGTGCACAAAATCGACAAATCCCGCCCACAAAACCCGGAAGCGTGATAATCCTCTATTGTAATACTGTGGAACATTCCAGGCAAAACAAACATTTAAAGTGAAGTTACTGTAAAGTTAGCATACACTGGCATACACTTAGTTTAGTGATTTTCGACCTGGTAGTACTTTTTTTTATGTGATAATAATTATGAGGTATTCTTAAGTATCAGAGCTATCAGAGCTATATTATTGCTTGACCCATCCAACATCAGTCAATCACAGCACTATCATGGCTACTAATAGTCCTGTTTTCATGTTTTTCGCAGCGGTCTCCAGGCTTGGAAGAATTCATTTCAGTCGACAAAGAAGACCACGCTGCCTCACACTCCCAACAATCGCATCCTCTTCAAAATGAGAAGAAAATTGAAATCAAAGAACTATTGAGCTCAGAAGAAAACGCAATTTCAGCTGCTCCTGGAAATGACCCAAAGCGGAAACCACAAACACAGAATCTGGTCACTTGTCCTGCAGATGTCCTACAAAACCACACCATTGTCCAGGAAAGAGAAATACATGGAAAATTGAATTCTGGATTCAATGCTAGTATTGAAGAAATTGACAACATTTTCAAACAAGATAATACAGATTTTTGTAATACTGAAGATGCTGAAGTGGGAACTGTTTTGCGTACAGTGGATATCAAAGGCCTTACAAAGAATACAATACCAGTAGATACAGTGGGTATAGAGCATGTAAACGAAGATGAAAGACTGTACTTTGATAGCATTGGCAGACTGCTGAAAGAAGTGTGCAGACTGGAGCTTCCTGGGTCATCTGAGGACACAAACCAGGTACCTACACTAACATATTATGCTGAAATACATGGAAAAAAATTAGGTACAAGTTAGTGTTGTCACAATACTAAAATTCAAACTCGATTTTAAGACTAGGAATAGACTCGATGCTCAATACTAATTCTGATACCACAATTATAGTAAAAAACACAATTTATTTAAACAATACAATGTGAATTTTCAACATTAAGTCACAGTTTTTTTATATATTAAAACATGGCCTTTTATCTGTGTAATCCCTCAGTCGTCCAGGTTGTCTCGTCTAGTCTATGTGCTCTTATACTTGTTCAGATACAGTTCAGTTCAGATACAGCTCAAGATCATTCTAACGCTATTCAGGAAAGGTTCATTCCTGTCTTGTGAATGTGACTCTTTTAATATCTTGTTTAGTAAATGAGTATGTGTATTGTAATATAATGTTGACAGTTTCATATTGTATTATAATTTGTGATTCAAATTTCAGCACGATCGGATTAAGCATATGTGTGTAAGATTTTTTTTTTTTATATTTTTTGTGGGGAGTCTTTGTGCCCCTGCTGGCTAACGGAGAAAAATTCCTAATGTCCATAATATTTTTTTTGATTGTAGTCATAGACTGTAATCCCCAAATTTCATACAAATCCGATAATGTTGACAATTCATGTCTGTGGTAGGGGGCGCTACAGTGTTCAGTTGAATTAGACGTCATAGTCCATTACATTCAGGCCAGAAACACACAATTGTGATTTGAATGTAATCTCTCTAGACCAAAGCCTATGGCCGTGAGAAGTCATCAAAAAACAGAAAATGAAGCTGTTTTTTGCTGGCGTACTATGGACAAACCGTGAGGAGTATCCCAGAAAACGGATAATTTTATGAGCCTGTCTCTAGATGTGACATGCCAAATCTGAGCTCATTTGGACCAAAAACCAGGGACTAGTAGCGTTTTACAAACACCTAGTCAAAACGGTGGCAAATTTTTGATCTAATAAGGCCGACTTTCTGTTCATCATAGGGGTATGCGCCAATTCAACATTTGGCTTGTCTTATTGTTCACTATGACTGTTCTGAATTCTGTTTGCCTACGCCAAACTTTGTCTTCACTCCCATAGGGGTCCACTTCTAGGTGGCACTGTTGAGTCAGGTCACATTGGGCATTATCAAGATGCCCGTTTTATCACATTTTTCACCAGAACCAGTCATTCCCATGTCCAGTTTGGGAACTTCTCATCAATGTTTAGGCCCTCAAAATTGCGTTTGTTTGCAAGAAAAAATAATAGAGAAGAGAAACAGGCAAAAAACAATAGCAATTTGGAAAAATATGTATCTGATTTGTTTCAAAAATATGGTTCTATTCAAAGTTAAAATTTTAAACATATCCTGAAGAATTGTGGAGTAAATAATGTCACTTCAAAATTGCTAATTGCTTCCATTAAAATTTCTATTTGCTTGTGCTTAATCTTGCGACCCTGAGTAAAATACTGTTATTAATTTATAAGAAACATCTTAATATTTCTTTACTACAGCACACCCTTTTTACGCTGAAGGCAAGACAAGATACTTTTTTTATACATAGTTTTGTTTGACATTTCCAGTGACTGTCTCTCCTCGCCCTATCAGTGTGTGATCGCCCTAACTTGTCTTTTGGCATTTTACAACTTTCATTTCAGTGCCAAATCAACCCTGGCAGAGCAGTCACTTTGATGTGTTTTCATTGTAAAAGTCTGGCATTTGTAACTTGTGATTTATAACTTCTTTATAGAGCACTCATCACTCCTTTTGGTTTTCATACTTGTACTATTTCAGTTGAAGCATGTACAGTACTATTCTCACACATATATAGTATTGTCAAGTAGAGATACACCGATTATATGATATATTGGTTGGCCAAAATTGGGACGATATTTGCATTTTTTACGGTATCCACTATGCTATCAGCCTTGAATCTCCAACACAGGCCAATATTCAGGTTTGCTCGACCCGCTGCCTAAAGTTTTATATTAATACTTTAGTATGAAGAGACAACTGCGCACAACGTGACTACACTGCTTTCTTATGGGTTTGTGGTTAAAAAAAAAGTGCTGTGGGTGAGTTTGTAGTAAATGTAAATGAGAGAATTTGTGGAAAATAATCAAAATCAGCCCTACATATCAGCCTAAAAATATCGACTGAGCTTATCGGCCATCATTTTCTTTGGATTCTAAGCTATCGGCAACAGCAACAGCCATGAAAGAACCTGTATCGGTCAGTCTCTATTGTCAAGAAAGCCTACATAATCATATCAATTTATTAGCAGTGATGAGAAGAGTACAAAAAAATTGAGATTAAGTAAAAGTACAGTTATGTGACTAAAATTTACTTTAAATTTACAAGTACTGCTGCCAAATACTAGTCAGTTTTGCAACAAAATGAATTTAACAATCTAAACCAGAATTAAGTTATTTTTAACATTTTATTTTTCTCCGAGCTCTGACCAATCTTCCGTTAGTTCTGTATGTGGGTTTGGATATTTGGGATTTGTACTACTGTATTATACTTTAAATGCAGTTAATTACAATTACATGGATACAATTATACAGTTATACAATTATATTATATTATAAGTACATGTTTGAAATTATACTCAATTACAGTAACATGTCTCTTGTTAGCTGTTTACATTTTTTTACATGCATTGGTATTTCATTGAAACGTTTACACTGTCAAACCAATTACTACGTGAACTATATTTGTATTTGATAGTATCTTCACAGACAGTGCCGGTGGAAAACACGCCAAGAATTGAAGCTATGCCGACTGGACAGCCTGTCATTAGCAGTTTGACACGCTTCGTCCATGTGCTCTCTGCTCTCTGCTGCTGTTTACTTGTGCTAAAATTCATAGGAAGAAATGGCTTTATAGGAAACAAGTTAGTTTATTCTTACTGAAGAAAAAGTAAACAATGATAAAAGGGTTAAAAACATGGCTTATGGCTTATGCACATATTATATTATAATTAAGGGTCTGTATTACACAAAATTGACTAATGTTACGTCATCAGAAGCATGCCAAGGAGTTGTTTTGTTTCCTTCACATGTGTTTGAACAATCCTTTATTATTAGTCTGTCTACATCTTCAATGTTCTTTTCCACCTTGTGAAGCAGTAGTTTTCAAGTTAACAGCGAGCTTTTACCTTTAGTTTAATTACAGATTGGCAATTCCAGGGCTGAAATGATCAATATGATTCTAGTGAATGTGTATGGATCTTAAAAATACACAGTGGAGCACTTCCTATATTATCATATGATGTCACAAGGTGGAACCAAGTGTTTTTTGTTTGCCAGAAGAACTCAGCCCAAATATGCAGGACTTGTTGGAATGTTAAGCATGTGTGAATGAAACACAACTCCTGGTATGTTTGTGATAAGGAAACAACATTACAACAACAGAGATCAGAAAATAGCATAAAATGGGCACGCAAATCTTCAATCAAATCAGTTTGAATTCTAAAGGTCTTGAAATGATATTGTTGCTTGAGCCAAATTTCTAAACAGATTTGAGTAATTTTGCTCACCAGTTTTTAAAAGAATGATTACTCTTATTGCTAGACATTCTACTTTTGTGTTTGTAGCTTGCTTCAGTTTCAAAGTAAGCTGAAGATTTCCCTATCCGTCATCTTCTTTGTTGTCAGCTCTGGGCGCCAACATTTACAGTAACCCTCCTCACACTTACAGTATATGCAAATGTGCCGCCCTTAGCGTATTCCTGTCAAGTTAAGAGGACTGGCCCGTCTAAACAGATGAGCTATATCTTTAAACAGGAGCTCAGAGGCAGTGGTTTCCCCTTTCCCCCTGGCTTCGTCCCTTCATGCACATTCCTGCTCCAACTGCTCCGACACTCATACTTACCTCACTCTGGGCTGGGACAGCACAGGAAGCCTTGTTATTATCTATGGACACACAAGGGAGACGATAGGGTTGAAATCTAAAACCAGCCAACGTCCTGTGTCTTTCAGATGGCCTTAGAAATGGAACCGGAGAAGATGAACGGACAGGGGGATTGCTGCATGACAGGTGAAGAGGCGACAGGTGAAGTGGTGGCAGGTGAATCGTCCAAGCACAAGTTCACCATGAGGGATGTTTTAGAAGGTGTCCAGAGTTTGGTGGAAAGCAGTTGCATAATAAATGTGAGTATCAGCTTTCACATCTTCTTTTGTTGTTTGAGTTTCCATGTTCATTTATGTTCATATTGATATTGATAAGTCGTACATCAGATGCCCTTAACTTACTTTATTATTCAGACTTGTGTAGCCTTGTGGTTGCTAGATTATATCAACAGAAAATGCATTATCTACATATTAAAGTCAAAAATTTGGGTTTGTGATATGTTATGTTATTAGGTTCTTTTTTCAGACCAAGAGTTTGTTTTTCATTTCTGACAGTTTCGACTGCTCACTACATGTGATGGTGCTATGACGTGTCCAGTCAGCTGATTTAAACAGGTTTTGGCACTGTTTTCCTACCGGTGGAGGCAGGACGACAGCACCATCTGCAGTCCAACTTCCTCAGGACAGTATCCCAGGTGTGTGGGAGTAAAAAAGCCCCCTTGTCTTGGTTTATAGGCCGTGGGTGCATTTCCGTATTTACTCGTCCACCCTAAAGACAAAGTAGAACCGGAGCATAAATGTAATGTCATATACGAATTACCCTGCATGTCCTGCAATAAAACATACATTGCGGAAACAAGGAGGGCATTCAGTACACGAAAAAGGAACATAGAACAGAATGCGAGAAGAAAACAGCAAAGGCGTGCACACGAGCAACAAAACACAAAGCTGAACAGTAACAACTCAAATCGGCCATTTCTGACCACTGTAAAAGAGAGAACTACATTATGGACTGGGACGGAGCAAACATCATTGGGACAGAAGAAAACAAACACCGTCTCTGGATTAAAGAGGCAATCGAAATACGGAAATGTGCCCAGAGGACTAAACCGGGACGAGGGGGCTTTTTTACTCTCACACACCTGGGATACTGTCCTGAGGAAATCGGACTGCAGATGGCACTGTCATCCTACCTCCACTGGTAGGAAGACAGCGCCAAAACCTGTTAAATCAGTTGACCAGGCACGTCACCGCAACATCACATGACCATTCTGAGGAATACTAGTGAGCAGTCAAAACTGTCAAGTATGAAAACAAACTCTTGGTCTAAAAAAGAACCTATAACATAAATTATCGGAAGACCAAATTAACCTCATTGGACTATTGGAATATACAGTTTGGTAAAAAAAAAAAATCTAAAAATAAATTAACTATTAAAATAAAATCTATACAAGACTAAGGCAGGAAATAAAACAAGGCTGTATTAGAGCTAAGCAATGTGGTGTGCTACCCAATAAGGAAAAACTGGGACTTTCTTCTTAAAGGAAGTGTCACTACAGTTAACAGATAAGGCCTGGGTGTGATGTTTGTGTATTCCCATGATGCATCACCATTTCCACAGGAAGCACTAGCATCCAAGTGATTTCCTGAATAGGCTAATTATCTCCAAATAGGCCAATGTACTGTAAAAAGTCAGTTCTATAGTGACTGTATTTTATCCATTTAAAACGTCTGGATAAATAGATTGCTGTAGTAATTATTAAAGATGCAACATGTGACCTCAAATCTGTCCTTAAGCTTTGCCTTTTTGCCTTAACTGCTTGTCTAGAAATAGATCAGTTTAATGCCAAACTGTGGAACATTCCAGGCAAACAATAATATATTCATAGACACAAGCAGGTGGAGGACCATCCCATCCAAACAGTTACACAGTTCACCTTTAAACAAAAAAGAACGATAAAAGGGAGAAAGTAAAGGAAAATGTTATTCTTAATTAACTGTTGTGCAATTGTAAGTAAGTATTGAAATATCACATTTCATCTATACTTATACTCTTTCATCATTGATTTTGTTTACAGAGGGAACCACGGCTTGATCTAAAGTGGTTCCTGAATTCCTTGTCCGGTGAAGCTGAAATCCAATTGATGCAAACTGTTCAAAGAGTTTTTGTTTGTCACTATCACTCTGCACAGTCCAACCTGACAGCCATGAGTACACAACTACGGGAGGCAGAGGTATTGTACTTATATTACTTTCAGCTGGCATTTATTCATTACTGTTTCATTTCACACATATATTAATAATAATATAGAAATTGTATTATTAAAAGTGTGTTTCATTGTATTGCATTGTTTTGTTTTTCATTTTTTTTTCTTGCAGAAGCTCAAATGCTGTGTCCAGGAGAAAGTAGATGCAATAAAACATACCGGGGAATCTGATGTCCCTAACGGTCTTGAAAGGCTGTGTAGCGCCGCCCTAGTGGATGCTTCTGCCACAGTGCAAGTGAAAGCTGCACAATTAGATCAGGTCAAACAATATCTCCGACAACTAAAGATGACCAAGGCGCTCCTGGAAGTTGTGACAACCCAGAAAGAGAAAATGAACTTGTAAGTGTATTTTGATTTATTTTTTTGTCGACTCGTGAGCTGTAAGCCATGTTATAATGTTGTCATAAAAAACATAACTGGAGTTGTGTTTTGGTTTATTCACACATGTCTGAGTAACCCTTTATTATGAGTCTTCATCTCCAAAGCTCAAAATGCTCTGTTCCATCTTGTGATGTCATGACGTGGTAGTTTACCACTGTAAGTCTTTATGATAGTTCGGGTCTACTGGTTTAAAAAAAAAAAATAATAATTGCTGTCTGTGTCGTCTCTGCACGCACTCTTCTCAAGTTTAGAATGTTTTTTTTTTTTCCCTTGGTTTTTATTGAAATGTTGGTAAGTCCATTGACCTGAAGGTTGCCAGTTCAAATCCAGCTCTCACATAACCATGATTGGTTGTGACTGTCGTGGTGTTCTTGGGCAAGACACTTAACCAAGACAAAAACAGGACTTAACCAGGACTGAACCAGTACTGAGTGTTGGGACGGGCCCGGAGGTGCGCCCGCGTACACTGTTGGGTGATCAGGCCTCAGACCGGGACCAGACCGGGACTGAGACCAGGGCTGAGACCGGGACCAGACCTTTTACTTTTAATTCAGTAGAGATTGACAATTCCTGTGCTTGAAATGATCCAAATGATTCTAGTGAAGGTGTATAGAGATTAGAAACACAGCGGAGTACTTCTTGTAATTCCACATGACATCACAAGGTGGAACAGAGTGTTTTCTGTTTGAGAGAAGAACTCAGTCTAAATCCTGTTTGCAGGGTTTGTGTATTAAACATGAGTGAATGAAACAAAACACAACTCCAGGTATGTTTGTGATGAGGAAACACCATTGTAACATAGATCAGAAAATAGCCTAATATGGGCTCTTTAAATTATGTGAAAATTATATCTATGATATTTTTTTATTAGGGATACTTTGGGAAGCAGTGAACTTCTAGCAGAACAACTCAACGCCCTATTTAAGACTCTGGACTATAAAAAGTGCCTCATTGAAGGTTTGGCCAAGTTAAGCCGGCAAGTGGCCGTTCACTTAAGCTTCAGTGAAAGATTTGGAGTTCTTGGAGCCCAAATAGCTGACATGCAGAGAGAATGGACACTACTGGAGCTAAATATTAAAACAGCACTATCTCATGCTTCAAACTTTGCCTCTCAACTTTCTGCCTTCAGACAAGAAACCAAAGATCTTAAAAACAAACTTGAAGAATTGTTCATTTCATTGGACTCATTTGTGAGATTACCCAACTTAAAAAATACTTGGTACTTGCTTACGTGGACCGCAGACTTGAAAAAATACATGCAACAATATGAACATTTGAGCTTACGATTTGACGATATCGCTCAGTATATTGGACAGAGAGACACAGATGTTTTGAAGAGGGATCTTGAAAACTTGGGAATGGTCCTCAATGAAACCAAAATGAAACACATACTTGTCACTGGGAATTGTGTAGGGATTTTGTCCAATAATGTTAACATGCAACTCCAGGAATTTATTGTATGGGCCAAACAAGTGGAATGCCATGTTATTACAGGTGAAAAATTGGCTTTATTTCCTGAAGAGGCACATATTCAGATTGCAGAGATGGAAAAATTTGAAACTAATATTTTATGTAGGCAAGCCCAGATTCAAAAAATTCAATTTCAAGAAATAAAAGCAATAACTAGGGAAGGAAATGACCGAGTCTGTGAATCATTAGTAGAGCTGTATCAGACTATTTTTAGCAGCATGTGTAAATGCATTGGAACTATGAAAGACAACTTAAAAGAAAGGGAAGCATTGTTCAATCAGCTGGCAGATATAGATACATGGCTCGCTGAAATTCATAATGAAACAGACTCTTTCAGCCAGGTTGAAAATATCCATCAAGTTGATTTAGAAAATCTGGAAAAGCAATGCAAGATTCATATAAAAAATGTGATACAAATTGAGGGTAAATGTAAAGAAGTTGATGCATTGGAGGAAAGTTGTAAGAAGATTTTGGTTGGGTTGAGTCCTGGAGAGGGCTGCTATCTGGTGAATAGACTGGCAGGAATCCGAACGAAGATTTGTGGTGTTTTAACTCAAGAAAAAGCAGTTATTTCAGAATTGGAGGAGCTTATGAGCCTATGGACTATACATGACAATGATTTGTCCAAAATCGAAACAAGCTTACAGAACATTTGCATTGCCCTGAACCAGCAAAGATTCCCGCTAACTTTAGAATCTATTTCCGAAATTAGAACTTTGAAATACAAGCTAACCCAACATCAGTGCCAAGTACAGGCGATGCAACATTGCAAGGAAGCGAAGCGTACTTCAATATTTAATACTATTGGACAACTTCTCGACAGGTGCAGTGTTTTGAGCCTTTGTGCCATTGAGCAAGACAAATATGTGCAACTGAGGAGGCAAATGGAGCAGTCAAAGGGCAAATTAAATGAACAAATACTGAACGCCAAAGATAATGCGACAAATTTGGGTGAAAATTTTAAACTAAGCCAACATCTGCTGGTTGAACTGCCTTTATTGAAGACGCAATGCCAAGAAGTTGCTGATCAATTAGAAGCCATAGCTCAAGAGTTATACCCCTCGGAGTTGAATGCAGAACGGCAGATGATTCAGAATACAGTGGAAATCTTAGTCACATGGGAGAATACCATCATAGAAGATATCAAAAATCTGGAGAACCAACTTAAGCTAGGACTGTGCTATGAAAAAGAATTAGTAGCGACAATGGAGCTGATGCAAAAGATGAAACAAGAACTAGAGGAGGCGAAACCAGTGGATCCAGACGAGAAGGTCATAGATGTGAGGCTTCAGGAGTACTGGGTGCGCTGGAGGAATATGGAGTCCACGATGAGGGTGTGGGAAGATCTCGCAAGAAAAGAGAAGAAGAACCTGAGGCATCATAAGGAGCTCTATGCAGCGAGGGATGCAGCAATGAAGGAGTGTCTGGTGCAAATGGTGAGTTAGAAGTTGAACCATTTGGTTTGTGGGTGAATGCATGACACACTGCACCACTGTCACCTCGAATTTATATTTTAACTCATAAATAAGTTAAATCACTACAAATTATTATTAATGAATTTAGGATAGGTTAAGTTAGGTTAGGTTATTCATAAACACAGGTATATTTGTTTTACAGATTTGAGAGGCAGGTCCCACATTTTACATTTCATTCATCCACATTATGTGCAATAAACACATAAAAACACAATTACAAAAGAAACAGTTACAGTGCTCCAGTGCAGAGTAGGTTTGTTCCATAAACAATTAGTTAAATTCATCCATCACGTTTGACTAAAAACACAATAAATATTAAATATATATATAAAAACACATGATTTTTCCAAGACAACCATACTAAAATTGATAGATAATTAGATTACAATTAATTTATAAGTATAATAGCAGAACAAAGCTCCTTTTAAAATGATTTGTTCTAGATCTTGGAACTAAAAGTCTCTGACCAGAGGGAAGCAGCTGAAACTCTGAGTTTAGTGGATGTTGCTCATCTAGTATTACTAATACTACTACTACTGCTACTATTTTATACTACTATGGCTTGAAAGTTTACTACATGAACTAAAATATTAACCATATTAAAAGCTGTTCCCTCATTAAAACAGAATTGCCTTGCTTCATGCTGACATGCTTAAATAATCTGGCATAGTCCTACTTCTACCCAAGAACTGAAAATCCCATTTGCTGATGTCATGAGGTGGTACTCTCCTTTATTAATTGCGTCACTGGGTTGACAACAATGCTGATAAGGTCTAATTGTATTTTCTAGATATTATCATTCAAATCAAGTCCTATTTAACTTGAAAAATACTAACATAGAAAAATACTGACTAATGCCTGAAATAGCATCTTTAACTTTCTTATCTAACATTGTTTATTCCACAGGAGAGTCTAGCCCAGGCGCGTGAATCCCTGAAAGATTACCAGTGGGCTGCACAGGGGGCTGCAGTCTTCCTCCATAACGCTGAGACCACGTTTCTCTCATCGTCCGGAGGGTTTATGGACTGCACAGAGGAACAGAGGCAGACCCAGCAGGCTCTAGATGCTCTTCAGAATGGGTTTAAAGCTCATGTGGACCATCTGACCAAAGTCATACCCCAGCAGCCATGCCTGTCCCGTATAAAGATGGAGGCAGTGCACAGTGAGATACTCGGTCAGTTAGTGGTGAAGCGGGCGGTGCTGGAGGCCCAGGCACAACTACAACTGGAGGCGTTGCAGAGGTACTGGATTTTAACACTTGGATGAATTATTTGTAAGAATAATAAAATACAGAGACTGCTACTGTATGTCTGTATGTACTGATATGAAATATTGTATGTAGTATAGTAATATTCTTAATATGGCTGGGCTATTAATCAAATTTGAATCAAGACTGAGATTCAGCCATGATATGCAAGGGGTGTTTTAGCCAATCCTCTGTCAGTAAAAGTGTGGGGTTTGGAGCAGAGTTCAGGCTTTCGAGGAATTAATTCAACTTTTCTGTGTTAAATAGCACTGATTAAATCTGTCTTGTCCATGAAATCAGCACTGAAGGTCATTTTTATGTAGTTTTTGAAAAAGAATTAGAGATTGATTAACATAGGGATCTTTTTGGCCATATCACCCTTAATTTTTGCTATCAAACAGCCCAAAAAAATATGAAAGTCACAGTTGTTCTCGACATACAACAAATATGAAATGATGAACTCTCTCTTTATGTAGGTGTTCAGAAATGCACCAACAGCACATGGATAAACATGGACAGGTACAGGAGATTATCTGTGGACTTGAAGACAATTTGTCAAAGTGCGCAACAGAGCATATTTCCTCTTATGAAACATGTCTTGCCCAACTAAAAAGGACCAAGGTATGCCTCTCATTTGTACTGTTTATTGACAAGTACAGTACAACACATCTTTTTATTCATGTTGACTTGAATGTTGATGTCCTGTGTTCGTAGCTGTTACTGGAGGATCTTCAGGGGCTTGCTGTGCAGATAAAGGAGTTGGGAGCTGGATGTCCGATGCACGGCTGTGGGACAGGGAGGGCTGGTGAAGTGAGCGCCCTCTGGAACAAGTGGACAACATTACGGCGTAGGGTTGGCCTCCTGCAGGCACACACTGAACTGAAGGCAGACGAATGGAAGAATATAACCGCTAGTGTAAGTTTCATTTTAAGTTTTTTGAAAAAATAACTTCAATGGCGTTTTATAGTTTGCAGTAGTAATTATAAAATCCTAAATTTACAGTCTATAATTGTTTTGATTATATCTAGTTGTACTTTAGTGAGTACTTTAATATTTTAAAGGTCCATTATTGTGCAAAACTGACTCCTCTGAGCTTTAAGCCATGCTAGAATGCTGTTAAATCCTCAAAAACATACCTGGAGTTGGGTTTTGTTTCATTCACACATCTTGGATTATTAGTATGTCTACATCCCCAACTCTTAAAATGCTCTGTTCCACCTTGTGATGTCATGAAGCTGTAGTTTTCAAGTTAACAGCTACCATTTACCATTAGTTCAGAAGAGACTGGCAATTCTATGGTTAAAATGAAGGCGTACGGAGTTTAAAACACAGCAGAGAACTTCCTTTATCCATTTGAGAGAAGAAAACGGTCTAAATATGTTTGTATGTTGATGAGGAAACAACATTATAACATAGATTAGAAAATAACACAATATAGGACCTTTAATAGATAAACAAGATCAAAACTAGAAAAGCACTCAGAGAGCGCAGACCTCCGCCAAGGACTACCCCCATTTTTTATATAAATTCAATAAAATCAGTCTTCTGGATCAGATCCGGATCAGCCTTTGGAATATGAAAGAGGATCCCATTGTCCATCCCTGAGTCAAATTTCATGGGGTTTGGTCAATAATTAACCGAGATATTGAGAAACAAAATTTTTGGCCCCATTTACCACAATGTTAACTAAAATTTCAAAGTGATCCAGAATCCAGGATTTCTTCCGGATCACCCCCAAAATGAAATCAGTTCTTCCTTTTCACATTTCCAACAAATCCTGAAAATTTCATCAAAATCAGTCCATAACTTTTTGAGTTATGTTGCTAACAGACAAACAAACAAACAAACAAACAGACAAACACCGGCAAAAACATAACCTCCTTGGCGGAGGTAATAACATCATAACATCATTTGACTTTGTTTAGGTTGAGCAGTGCAGCACCCACGTGGCCTCTCTTCAGACTGACCTCCCTCTCTGCTCTCCTGATGGTGTCTCTGAGGGGGGCTCTCTGACGCTCTTGGCCCAGGCCGAGCTGCACCAGGCCGGGCTGGAGATGGAGCGGCGGGCCCTAGCATCCCTGGAGCAGCGCCTGGAGCACGCCCTGAGCCCTTCCCACTCCCAGGCTCTCGTCAGTCCTGGGCCCCTCGGCAAAACACTGCTAGACATTAAAGACAGTGTCAGGAGGTAAGATAATGCATACATATGTTGCATGATTTATTTTAAAGATATGTGTAAATGTGCGTTGTCTTTAGTTTGATAGAGAGGAATCGGAAGGTGGTAGAAACAGAGCAGCTAAAGGAGAAGGAGAAACAGCAAGTTATTCAAGAATTAACAGAATTGGAGAATCACGTTTTATGCCTGTCTTCTACACTGGAGAGCTCCTCTAGTCAAAGTCAACAACAGGTAAGGTTTCGTTTCAAAGTCAGGTCCATATTTATGTTTTAAAGATAAGATAGAAAAAGTCTTGTTTATGGAATGTTATAAAGTATGTTTGGTTTATGTTGTATGTATGTATGCATATATATTACATTATTTTCATATGTCTACGGAAGGCAGTTTACTACAAGCCTACTTTGTATTTATAGTAATTGTATCTGTAAATAAATTAAAGAAACAATCACTAATGACGAAACAAGAAATATTTTATTATACTATACTATACTATACATCAAAAGGCCCATATTGCACTATTTTTTTATCTATGTTATGTTGTTTCCTCAACACAAACACACCTGGAGTTGTGTTTTGTTTCATTCAGACATATTTAACACACAAACCCTGCATATTTAGACTGAATTAATCTGTCAAACTGAAAACACTCTGTTCCACCTTGTGATGTCTTATGGTAATACATGTGCTCCATTTGCTCCATGCGCATTTTTTAAAATTCACCTTCACTACTCTTTTAAGCTAGAATCATTGGGATAATTTCAGTCCTTGAATGTCTAATCCCTACTGACCAAAGGTAAAAGTTACGGCTTCATGACATCAGAAGGTGGAACAGAGCAGTTTGAGTTTTCGAGACTTAGACAGACTAATAATAAAGGGTTACTCAAACATGTGAATGAAACCAAACCGAACAGGCTTAGTACTTAATTAAGGGTTTACGACATTAATTAGGTAGTTAGTAAGCATGATTCTTGATAAACTATTTGTACATTATGAATTAAGTCTTTGTTCATATTTATGAGTAGGGATGTAACGATAGCCAAATCTCTAGGTACGATATTAACACCATATGCATTTCACGGTACGATATTTATTGCAATATTTTGGAGAGGCTGATTTAATTATAGATAGGACACTTTTTTTCTTTTAAAATACCTTGACAAGATTTTGGTGTGAATTATTTCTGTCATAATTCCAAGAATTCAAGTAAAAACCATATTTCTTCAGGTTTTCAGCGCTGAAATGAATCATGGGATATGTAGTTCCCTATGTTTATAAGCTGTTGCTACTATAAAACCATGCATTTAAGCAAAGGAACTTGTGGTTTGATATATTGTGACAGTTCACGATATTATTCTGAGACTTCTGACGATACGATATCACAACATTTTGGTTATTGTTACATTTCTCTTTATGAGCCGTTTAAAAGTGTACTTAAAGTATCACCAGTATTTAATATACATTCGGACAAAGTGACTTGAATTGTTTTTTTTTCTTACATTTTTGCTGAAAGGAGTACATGGAGCAACTGTCCTCACAAAACACCAGATTACAACACATCTTGGACAGACTGGACAATTGCTACAGTGAGATTCCTTTCGACTTATACAGACTTTTGCAAGACGTTCAACTTTCCCTACAAAGAGCAGAGGACAAGGTGAGAAATAAGACTTTGTATTATCTTCTACCAGAATCTGTAATGTCATATGACTAAAATGTGACTGATTTGTTTTTGTTAGGTGACGGAGAGGAGTGCACATGTCGAGAGATTGTCCAGTCGTGTGGAAGAGCTGAGGTCAGGACTGGAGAGAGTGAGAGAGCTACTGAAGTACAGGAGTACAAGTGTCACCGAGGCTCAAAATGCTCTGAAGGTGTGGGGCATTTTTTTTGTACAGTATATAATTCTGTAAAAATGTAATATTATGTCTTCTTTTGTGCAATGTTTAGTAAAGCAGGCAGAGCAAAAACAAATTTCCACTATGTATGTAGCACATTAAAAAAACATATTAGGCTACTAGTCCTAAAACAGTTAAATAAAATATAAGCGACTGTAAAACCAAGATAGCAATGAATAAACAAAATACATTAAAAAACACAAAATAACAGAACTGAAAAATGTTTACAAAATTTTATGTTGCAATTTGGTGTTCTCATTGTTAGTCAGTACTGTGTGAGGCTAAAACAATTTCTAATGTTTAAAAAAATCTTAATTTGAAACAGTGGGTTCAGCTATATGGGTGATCTGGACTGCAGCAGGCATTTAAATTTATTTAAAGGCAATTTTTTTACGCTTTGGATCATTTACCGGTAATTGGACTGTGTGTGTTTTATTATTCTTGATTCGATGTATTGCAAAAGTCTTGGCCACTTTTATAATATCTTAACTTTTAACTCTTTGGACATGTCTAATGCAGATTAAACAGCAGCCTAAAGATCTCTCTCTTAAATCTACAGTCTTTGGTATCTTTCCTTTTGCAGCATGTGTGGGATGAGCTGGACCTGTGGCACGGCCGTCTGATGCTGCTGGAGAGTGAGGTCCAGGATCTGGCTGAGGACCTCCCTGACCAGGCCCACGACCTCATGGACCAGCTGACCGAGCCTCTGCAGTGCTACCAGGACACGGCCCAGATGGTGGAGCAGCACACAGCCTTCGTCAGCAAGGTCAGCATTACTGTTCACACACGTTACCTGAAAAGCACATGTAACAGTATTTTATGATTCTCTAATTTGTACTTAATTTGGTGGGATAATAGGAGTTGTAAATAAAAAAGGTAATTTGTGAAGAAATTTTGTGGAGAGTAGTACGATTTACTGGTCAATCTAAGTTCCTGCCCTCACCCGTGGTCATGGGCTTTGGGTAATGACCAAAAGGACAAGATAATGGATACAAGCGATCCCCAGATAAGCGGAAGAAAATGGATGGATGGATGGTGGAAGTAGAGACTTCTAAACATATTGTTGGTATCACAGTCATCACAATTTAACACACTATTTTGATGGTTTAAACATAATTTAAACAAAATAAAGACTTTCTTATATTTTCATTTGGCCCAGTATACAATATGATTGCTAGATAAGAGTGTAGAATTCCACAGTTTCCAATCAGGAAGTAAAATTTTAAACCTAGAAAATTAAAAACTGGGGAAAAAGTGTGAGTGTGTGTTTTTTGTTTTGTTTTGTTTTTTAGCAAAATCTTTAAAATACTGATCTTAACTGTGTTTCAGTAAAATGGGTAGTTTAACCTGTCATAGGCACTTTAATGCTCCAATATTGTGTTAAGTAAACTTTTTATTGATCTTTTCTGTATTTGAGTTCCCTTTTCTGTGAAGCATTTATCTGTTGGTATCATGTTGCTAATTACTGTGCTGTTAATTTGTTTTGTCAACATCATTCCCTAGTTCATAAAGTATAATATGGAAGTTTTCATAAACAGTTTGGGTCCTAGCAACTGTTGCAGCGTATCTACATTTCATCTCCTTTTTCAGATTCCGGCCTGTATGCGGGAGTTTGAAAACATCTTGTACAGAGCCACCTGCTGGTTGGAAGAGGCAGAGTCCTGGCTCTGTGCTTCGTGTTCTTTCACAACAGCCAAAAGTCTCCAAAACCATGCGAGTTCACTGCAGGTTAGTGGCTTCATCTTACTTTTTTCAGCTACTTGTATGTATTAGGAATTTGACTGGCCAAAGCTCCCCACCTCTCCTGTTATAAAAAAAATTACAATATTTGAAAGAAAATTATGAAATTAGTATAGAAATTCATTCTTCTCCATTGGGAAGGTTTCCTGTTCGTAGCATTCACTGAACATTTAACAAAACACTGATTTTCATGTTTTCTAGCTGCTGTTGGAGGACTCAGAGAGGATCAGAGTTCTTCTTCAGGAGTTCAGGCCGGTCCTGTGTGACGTCAGTGCTGTGTGCGACATCACTTTTCAGGAGCTGAGACTGGAGGACACAGACAGACATGTGCTCAGCATGCAGCAACCCATCCTACAGCCACTAGGGGCACTGCTACAGGCTGCCACAGTAAATACTTCACTGGTTTTATAAGAACTTGTTTTATGCTCACTTTATGTTTGTCTACTGCACTGTTTTATATGTGTAAATCCCATAACTCAGTTGGTTGGCACTGGTAAATTATTGGTGTTATATTTAGTTTTTTCACTCACTCACTTTTACGTTAATTATCCACATTCGGTGATGGAAAGCTACTGTAACTACAGCTGCCCTGGGGCTGATTGAAAGAGACATGGCTGCCTCTCTCCAACCAGCTTCAGTCACAGACAACATTTGTGCACTGATGGTTTTCTTTATTTGAAGGGACAGTCTGGAATTTTGGACGTAAGACCTCATTTCCTAGTGAGCCAGAGTGTTTGAGACGTGTGGAGACACTTTTTAATATATTCCATCCAATCCCTGTATTTGCAGAGATCCTTGATGCTAGGCGAGTGCACGTCAATGGCCATAGTTAGCCTGCCACTAAAAACAGTGTTGCCCACTCCACAAAACACCCAAAGCAAATCTATTATTGCACCAGACTGTCGATGTAAATGTCTGTGTCTATAGAATAATGTTTGAAATAAAACTAAACTTGTATCGCATGAATCGTTGCATGTTGAGGGACTATTTTCTCATATATCAGTCCGCCGGTGCCGTGCTTTCTATCAGGAAGTACAACTCGCTGCTGCTGCTCAGACATAAATCCTTCAAATGCAAGGTTGGTTTTACTTATAAAATGATTCTATTGACACAGACATTCACATCAACAGTCTGGCGTTATAATAGATTTGCTTCGGGTGTTTTGTGGAGTGGGTAAGACTGCTTTTAGTGGCAGGATAACTATGGCCATTGACATGCACTAGCCTAGCACCAGTGACCTCTGCAAATACAAGGACTGGATGGATTATTTAAAAAAGTGTCTCCACACGTGTCCAACACTCTGGCTCAGTAGGAAATGAGGCCCTGTGTCCAAAATTCCAGACTGTCCCTTCAAATTAAAGTAATAGTATGTTATGTAATAGTTACAGTATATCGGACTTTCAGGTGGTGGAGAATTTGGAGGCGGAATTGAAGACCATCGAGAGAAACGTGTTCAAGATGGAAGCAATCTTATCCTTGGAGGAAAATGAATGTACCTCCATTGAGCATCTTCACAACAGACAGGTAAGATAATAGTATATTCATTTATTTACTTATTGAAAAGTAGAACAGCTAATGATGTTGATGGAGACACAGATGTTAGTGACCATTATTTTGCTATTACCACATCACAAAAATCTGATTATCTGCCCATTGCTGATTTAAACACAGCAGGCCTTTCAGCACTAAACACTGATTAATAACATATAACTGAAGTATCCCATGTGACCTTGTTGTTTCATAGCTTTTATTGTATTCCCAGGCCATTGTGTCCAGTGCACAGTCAGCTAAGCAGGTGTTGCTAGACATGCAGAGGGTTAAAGAGGAGCTGGACCTGCCCTGGCACTCCAAGGACAAACTGCTGGTCTGGTCCAAAGCCTCTTCACTGTTACAGCAAATACAAGAGCTGGAGCTACTGTCGCAGAAACAGGCCAACGCACTGGAGGTAAAGTGTAATATCTGATTACTGTAATGAGACCTCTGTTTAGGTTTTAAGATTTCATGAGTTGGGGCCCTGTAAACCATGTGTTAAAGAAAGTAATAGTGTAAGAAGCACTTCTAAGAGAAAATAGTACCACGATTGATTGAGTTATTATGTTTTTGTTAGAACAACAAAAGAAAAAAGGAAATCATCCCAAAGCCCAAGACTTCCGCAGACAGGAAGCAGGTCAAATATTATTGTGTATTGTCTGGGAAATTAAATGTCTCTGTGTCCAGAACTCCAAAATAAATATATTGTGAAACATGCATTAAAACCTTCTAGAAAAATGTATGATTTGTTGCACAATCATAGTATGTACGCTACCGGTCAAAAGTTTTATAACACCACACTTTTTCCAGTTGTTTACTGTTTATTGTGTCATTGCACTCTAAAATGAAAGCATAGAATAAATAAGCAATTTGAGCTGAAAAATAAATCATAGAATCAATGACTAAAACATATTTTAAACTTTTGACTTATCAAAGTAGCTACCATTGGCAGATTTGACAACTGAACACACTCATGGCATTCTTTCTACAATAGAAATATTCTTCAGAAAGTTCTTCCCAAGTCTGTTGCTGAAGTTCCCATAAATGTGTGGCACTTGTAGGTCGCTTCACTCTTCTGTCCAGTTCATCTCAAAACCATCTCGATGGGGCTTAAGTCTGGAGACTGTGCTGGACACTCCATGTTTTCAAGCTTACCATCTTGTTATGTTTTCCTGAGGTAGTTTTGGCAGAACCTGGACTTGCAATTGCAATAAATAATTGGAAAAATTAGGGTGTTTTAAAACTTTTGACCAGTAGTGTATATAGTATGTAGTAGTAGTATGTTAATTACAGACATTGGTATTGTTATGTTGCTTTTAAACATTAACAAATATGAAATGGAAAAATAGAAATTGCATTATACTATATTTTCAACAGCAACATGTGAGAGATGTTTTATTTCCTGCTGCCGTATTTGATCAGTTTCTATTTCATTGTTATTGACTAAAAGTGGGGAGCTTGTTCAGAGGAGGACGAGGATGACGGGCTGTCCTCCTCTGACACACTAACAAACAGCTTGACAGAGGTAAAAATAATCATCATTAATCATGCATGTTACTGGATAGAACAACATCCAATTACAAAACAATTTCCTATGATCTTTGCATGTTGTACCAGATCTCCACAGATGCTACAGCATGTTGTAAGCTTTTCCTCTGTGCCCTCACTCTGTCAGAGGCAGCTGCTAGAAATCTGTTACACCGCAGGACACTGCTCTATTCAGTCTATTCAATCACAGTTCACTTTCTGCATGTTTTTTATATTACATGTTTAATGTGAATGTGCATTTGAGTATTTACACAATCTCTTTTTTAGGATCCAGATGAGATCAGAGCTACAGACCGACCGGCAATGGATGAAGAGAAACAACTAGCAAATTTTGAGGTAATGTTGAGGCCTTTTTTAAACTTTCTTTTACAATTCTGTCTTAAAAGTATAACATTTGCCATAAGCTGTTTATATTAGTGATTGTCTTGAGTAATTAGGTCTGTTTCTTTAGTGATTAACAATATAAAACTAAATGTTATATCTATTGAATTGTAAAAAAAAATAAATAAATAAGTAAAGTCCTCAATAGGATCTGGAACTCATGAATTTATCTGCATGTAATTACAGACTAACTGGAGCCAACTCTTATCAAAACCATTAAAACAACTATATTTTATGTGTATTTTATTAAAATTTTTAGGTGGTGGATGGTTTGCCATTTGAACAAGACACAAGTTTGGACACCACCGAGTCTTGGCTGTTATCCGTCAGGCCTTGGCTTGACACCAGTGCTTCTGAACACATGGAGAGTGATTTAAACTTTGAAAATGCAACGTGTGAGCCGCCAATATCTGCAGACCTTCCTAGGGTTGGAAATCAAACATCTGTTGTCATGGAAACATCTGGGTCTCCGAAACAGGAAGTCCGTGTCTTCGCTTCGACTCAGGCCAGATCTGGGCTCGAAGACACCAGACTGGTCCCCGTGAGACCCATAACTCCTTTTGCTGCCGCCGCTGTCTTTGAGGAGGAGGAAGACGGCCGTCCATCTTCGTCTACAAGTCCCACTAAAGAGCTGGTCAGTAAAAACACTACTGTGGTTGTGTCCTTGAGCAAGAAGCTTCAACCATTTTGTGGGTATATGAAAGAATGTATTAGTTGATAAACAGTGGTGGCCAGAAAGATTGTGTGCCGTAAATGCATTATTTAATTTCACTGTTTATCAACACATAATAAAACAGACACACATAATTGTTAATTTGTTCATTTATTATCAGGGATGCCATTAGCTGCTGCAAGTACAATAAAATAATGCTAATGTTCTTATCATTTGCATATATAGACTACCGGTCAAAAGTTTTAGAACACCCTAATTTTTCTAGTTATTTTTTGCAATTAAAGTCGTGCAAGTCCAATGAATAGCTGAAATGGTACAAATGTAAGTACTGAACAGCCAGAGGTAAAAAAAAAGGTAAAAGATAACAAAACACAAGTCCAAGCTCTGTCAAAACTACCTCAGGAAAAAAGAACAAGATAAGTAAGTTTAAAAACATGGAGTGTCCAACACAGTCTCCAGACTTAAACCCTATTGATTTGGTTTACAGATGAACGGGACAGAAGAGTGATGTTCAGCTGTTATATCTGCCAAAGGTGGACACTTTGATGAGTCAAAAGTTTAGAATACATTTTGGTCTATATGTTGATTCCATGATTTATTTTTCAACTTTAATCGCTTATTTGTTATAGTAAAAAACTGTAAAAAGTGTGGTGTTCTAAAACTTTTGACCAGTAGTGTGAAATATGTATTTTAAAATGTCTTCACTACAAAATGGATTGACTTTCTTTCATTTCAAAATTGAGATTCTTTATGAGGAGGAAATGCAAAAACTTTTTGAATAAATATAATGTTATTTGTGTTACCCAGGACACATCCATTCAGCTGAAACAAACTGCTGCCAGAGAAATACCCTTGAATGAAAGATGCAAAGAAGCCAGTTCTCCAAAGGACATGAGCCGGTAATACTAAAATCTAAATTTCTTTAGGTTTAAGTTCATGTATCAGTTTTCTTGCAGTACACAAATTCACTTGACCATGTGGGGTTTGTAGGTCAAACCTTCGGGAAGAAAATGGCATAGAACAATCATCATGGACTCAGCTGACTGACGAGATCTCCCAGATGCTGTCCAGCCTTGATAAACAGGATTTTCAGGTAACAACAGCATCACATTAATTAAAAAAACAAATATACTGCAAATGTTTTTGGTTTTTTTTTCAACACTGAAACCTAAAAAGTTAATTTTATTTGCTTATTAAGATTTCAGAAGGAGAAAATGTGTCAAGTGTTTCCTGCCTTCAATCAACTCAACAGGCTGTGCTCATGCTCAGACCAATAGTGCGTACAAGATCATAAATTGACATAGCGTAATTCATTTTTAATATTATTCACACATTTTTGTTGTATTTCCAGGTGAATTCGAGTGGTCCTTGTGAGCATGGAGAATTATTTAAGGCTTTGAAACAGGTTTTACTTTCTTTAGACACTCTTAGTAAACTTATGTCAAACTCAATTCAAGATAAAAATGATCCTGAGCTAAAGCTGCTACAGAATGAGGTATGTCTTCCATTTTAAGCTAATAAAATCTTACGTTCCCTATTTTCATTCATGGGACCTTTCTTGATTTTGATGCAGTGTTTAAGAGGAGAACTTGTGACTTTGTATGAATTGTTGAATCAAATTGAAAGAGTGGATAAACAAGAGGTTTCTCAGTGCGTCACCTCCGTCCAACAATGTGTGAGAATGGTCAGTGAGCAGATGCAGACACAAACAGGCCTCACTCAACAACAGCAGGTGACAGTATGATTTTCAATACTTTTTTATATCTAAATTGCGTTATCAGAGTACTAATTATTACATTTATTTACAGGTGTTGTCGAACCATGTTGCCTTTACGGATTACCTTGATCTAAAACAGAATAGCATCTTCAAGAATTCAAAGGAAACTCCAAATTTGCTGGTAAAAAATTGTAATCTATTGACATAACATACACTTTTATTTTAAGCAGGTTGTATTATTAGATTTGATTTAATATAGTCTTTGTTGTTTAACTAACTAAATATATTTCTATATTCTTCAATTTTCCATAGCAGTTTTTAAAGGTCAAAAATATGAAATAAGTAAAACTGGAAATTGTCATACTAGAATGATGCTGTGAGTGACTACAATTTGAATACAATCCAATTCAGTCACACATTTTTTTTTTTTATCATTTATTTTATTTTCACACATTTTATAAACATGACAGTTTCCAAAGTGCTGCACAGACAAATTAATACAATAAAAAAACTGTAAATCATGAATAAAAACAATAAATAAAATCTGTTAAAATGCATAAAGCTAAAAATTATTTTCCAGAGCATGGGGCCGACCACAGAGAAGGCCTTGTCCTTCCTGGTCTATTTACTATAAACTAAAAATATTTAATAAACTTCACTAATCTAGGTTAAATTACAGCGTGTTGAAGTTCTCTCTAGCTATACCTCAGCCCCATAGTTATTGTGAAAAATTGCAGCTGTCATAATATAAAGTATACACTGAATTGGACATTGTTCAAGTGAAATGTTTGAAATTATCTAGTTTACCTATGCCATCTCAGCATCTATAAGGAGACACATCACTTTTTATCTTTACAGGTTATACATTACACGCTAGAAGTTTAATCAAAAAGTAAAAATACATGAGATATCTTCACAAAAAACAACAAAAAAAGACTTGTGTTCTTGACTGTCTCTTTCTGTGGGCAGTGTGTGCTGGTCGGACATCTGAGGCGGTCTCCGGGGGCAGGAGCCGAGCTGAGGCAGGCTTCCCAGTCGATGCTGCAGGGGATGAGAGCTCTGGTGGAAGTGGGTGAGGAGGGCACCACGGAGGGGCAAAAGCTCACCATTCACAGCCAAACTGAACTTCAAGCCGCCCTCCAGAGACTCAAGGTATCTGCTATGACTTTAAAACAGGACTGTGTAGTTATTATTCTTCTAATGTCATTACAAATAACTGACATTTTAGATCATATGGACAATGTAATATTATTGCAGTATCAATTAAGTTTTTCATCTTTATTAATTTCATATTTAGACTTTTTTTCACTGCCTAGAATTAAAATGTGTTTAAAATTTTTGTTTATCCAGTCAGGTTTTGTTCTAAATTGAGAAGATGATGGCAAAAGTTTCTGTATTGGTTTCATATTTATCATAGTTTTTATTTATTTATTTAATTACTTTTTGACACAGTTTGAATATTAAATGAGTAATGATTGATTGAGTATGAATAAAATGATTGTGAACTGGACAATTATGTAAAATTATATTCAAATATTACAATCTTCTTGAGATAAGTAAGCAAGTTAAAGTCTGTCTGTATAGCGCTTTTGACTCTTTTTCTTTTAAATAAATGAAGCCAAAATCTTCTGCCAGGTGCAAATCTGGAAAAAAAAAAAGATGAATTAATTAAAACTGTAACATTTACATAATATGCAAATTACTGCCCTTAATTACACTTAATGCACTTAATGACACTTAATAGAAGACAAATCATTGTTTTTGTTAGAAATTTAAAAAGAGAAATGTCAGAGCAACACAACACCAAGATAATAACAATTAATTTTATGAATTTTCCTTTCAGTTAATTTCAAAAACCATTCATATATCCTCTCATTTTTTTATATTGCTCTATATTGTGTGTTATGTTGATTTAGAAGCTCCAGGAGGTCCTTGTGTCCCAGTTGACTTTCACACAACATCTTTTCCAACAAGAAGCCCTGAAGTGTCATGAGGATGAGTGGGCACAGCTGCAAGTCAGGGCCAGAGCTCTGCAGCAACAGGCTTTGGACCAACTTGTAACTTTTCAGTGGAATCTGCAGGTTTGTAACATTGTGCCATAGCTGAAGGCCATTGGAATCTTACATGTAAATATTTCTGGTTTAGTTTTGGTCAGTGCGGGTATCAAAAGACTGTTTTTTTGTTGTGCCGCAGGAGTGGACACAGTGGGAGGATAATTGTGGTCAGCTGGGAAGGCTTCTGGATGAGAGTGAGGACTTTCTGAGCAGAGAGGAGCTGAATGGGAGCGATGCAGAGGAGATGATACAACAGTGGATGCAACAGTGCCAGGTACGTGAATTCAAATGTATGCAAATATGGCCTTTTGGTTTTAAATGGTACTGACTAAACATCTTGGTGCATGGTAAATTCTGTGGTTGTATTTTTTGCAATGGAGTTGCTGATAATTTATATACTGTCTACAAAGCTGCTTTAAAACCTCTCATAGAATTGCATTGTTGACTTGTTGACGCATTGCTGCACGTGAACATTAAAAATTTTACACATATCAGCCTACTTTCTATGTTCTATTTCTTAATTCTCCATTGAAATGAATGGGATTCCCGCTTAACCAGTAGTGCCACTGCAATAAAAGAGCAAATTTGTAGCATTTAAAGCCAAAAGAGAGCAGGATGAAATAAGATCAATAGCAAAATACAACCATGTCTAGAATTTGACTCATCATTTTCATAATGGCTGGCATGGTGACTGAAGGATGAGCCAACTGTATGAGTTCATGGGAGTAATTGTACGCCAATGGTTAATTATGTTAAATTATAATACTTATTCAAGAGATTAATGTCTATTTTATTATTGCAAAATTAATAACTGAACTCATGTCTTTATTACAATTAAAATATAATAATAACATGGTTGAAGGGACTTTTCATAAATGACTCACTCAAATAAAACTATTACCAATTGTCGTAGTAGTAGTTTCCACTTCTTTATCATATTCTGTCTAATAATAAACTTTTTGACATATTAAATCATTCCTTTGACTTTGGTTAATATATTGTTGCCCCTTTTATATCTTTTCAGGAAATGTTGTCCAAGCTGGATAAGAGCAGAGCCACACTGGGCCTGTTCCTAGATCAAGGTGAAAACTTGCAGATTGCCTCGGTCCGACAGAAAGGGGGCGCTCTGGAGCTGCAGTGGAGAGACGTCTACAGACGAACTGAAGGAGCCATCAATCGCTGCAGAGACATGCAGGAGCACTGGGCCAGGTGGGACAGGCCTTGGAATGTCTTCATAAAACCAAAGAAATCCCTGACAACTGATTTACAGTCAGATCTGGCAACACTTATTTTTGATGAATTACAATGTACTGTTGAAAAGTCTTGGATAACCGGTAATGATTCTAGTCTTGTTATTAAGGGAATTGCCAAAGGTTTAATATATTTGGGTTGTCATGTGTTTAATAATGTTACATAATCTTTCCTGAATTTACTCAATAGACCAAATTATTAATCATTTTGAAGTCATACTGGTTTCTAGTGTAGATTTGATATTCTTCATGACAGAATAGCTGTGTTTTATTCTACAGTTTCCAGACAGACGTGGCATCACTTAACAAGTGGCTGCATGGTGCCAAGGAACAAGTCCAGACATTTACAGACCTCGCTGCGACCTCTGACCTCAAACTAGAGTGTGTTCACAACAGTTTGATCACGATGTTGGTAAGCGCCTCTTGCTATAAAACATCAGCACATAACAAAAAATACCCATGTTACCTTGTCGATGCTTGATCTTGTTTGATACAAGATAAGTTACGTAGGTTTGGGCTTGGTTAGTGCATGGATAGGAGAGGCTTGGTGCCACTGTAGGGCAGTAGTGAGTTGTAATTTTGTTCTTAGGCAAGACACTTCACCCTAGTGTGATAAACAGTGTGAGAGTGAGTGTTGGTTGTTGGGGGGGGGCATGGTGCAGATTGACAGACTTGATTCCATCAGTCTACCCAATGACAGCTTTGGCTACAGTACGAGCTGACCACCACCAAGTATGGAGTGAATGAATAATGCACCAACTGTAAAGCGACATTAAGGGAATAGACAAGCTCTATAAGACAAAATAATTATTATTCTTATTAAAAGTGAGTTTGGTAGAAATGTCAAATGTGTTTGCCATGTAATACAATATCAGATTTAACTGTAAGATAGGAACTTGACTAACTCTGACTTAATAACAAAAAATTATGATTTTCTCTCAGGACCTCTCTATTGAGGTTGGCTCCATGTCTGCCCTGAAAGCGTCTGTCTGCAGAAGGTCCTGCCCCAGCCCCAGACAGAGAGAGCAACTCACCAACCTGGAGACCCAGTGGAGCCAGCTCACCTCTGCCCTCTGCAAGACCCAAGAGCAACTGCAACAGGTCTCATATACACCACACTATATCATATTTTTACACAAACACACACACTGTATATGTATCCTAGTATTACTCGCTTTTCTGCCTGAAAATACATTTTTATGGATGGTCATATTAACTTTTATAATGCTGTCTTTCTCATGGTTCTTCAACTTTTTATAGACATAGACAGATCACACCAGAAGTCTCATTTTAAAAACAAATTGTTGATTTTTATTACCACTTAAAACAATGCTATAAATAATGCCTTCTCAATTTATTACTCTAATTACTGTTCATTTCTTGTGCATTAGCATCTGCTGAAAAGATGGCCACCTGATGACATGCTGTCTGCCCTTGAGGACTGGCTTGAGAAGAAACAAACACATTTTAATGAGGCGAAAGAAAAGAACTGTCTGCACAAACTCAAGGTCACTGCCATCAACAATGTTATCTGGTTTGAGTTTAATACAGTATCTGTTACAAGGGAGAGATTTATAGACTCACAAAAATTCATACGCACTGCAGATGAATAGGACTGTTTTTGAAGTTACCTACTGGTATATTGCATGTTTTTAATCTTGTAAAATCACCAAATGATAAAATTTAAGGGTTGCACATAAAACTTGCGCATAAAATGTATTCAATCATTTTCAAAACAATATCTTAACATTAATTAAAGCCAGGTATATTTTTGTTTTAAGTTGCAATGAAATAACTATTATTAAGTTTATCCATAACTTGACATAAACACCTAATAAAAAAAATTTCAGCTACATAATGTAAAAAATGGTGACTCAAATAATTACTCTAGTAAAAAAAACAAAAAAAAACATTTGGAATAACTACTTATTGATTAACGGTTTGGTCATAAAATGTATTTAAAATGTGATTTCAGATTTATTTAAAGTCAATGAGGTCAGACAGACCAAAACTTCCAGAAATATACTCAAGTAAAGTAGAAGTAACCCAAGTAAAGTAGAAGTATACTATGGTGTCAGAAGACTAGTCTGAAAAGTATAATTTTGTTTTGTTTTTTTTCAAAAAGTTACTCAAGTAAATGTAACTGAGTATTACCCACCTCTGATGAGCAATATATATCAAACATTTCCAACAGTGGATATATGCAGCTTAATTTAACACTGTAGTATATAACTGATTAGCCTCTTTGTTGCTCCTTCCTTATCTTTCAGGGGTTAAAGAGCGGACTGGAACAAGGGCAGCTGCTCCTGGACGTTCTGTGCCAGTCGGGGCCTCCTCTTCTGGGAGATGAAGCCATAACTCTCCGCTCTGAAAGGACAATGCTGGCAGAGAAACTAGGTGCCCTCAGACTTCACTGGGTCGAGCTAAAGGGGGAGCTAGAGATCCAGGTCTGTGACTCATCTTGAAATTGTACAGTGCAGTTAAAGGTGCTGTGCCTGATTGATTTTTACTGGTTTAAAAAATGTAAAAAAAACAAAAAAGAAAAACTGAACTTTTAAATGGTTTGCAGCAGTTCAGAGTTTTTCCTCACTTACCTCGTGCATTCTAAGCTTCCTAATTATTCACCTTGATGAGTTTATAAGCGCTTTTGATAACTTTCATTGACCAGAGGGGGGTTTGCTGGTAGTTATAACAACAACTAGCATGCTAACCACACATTTCCTGATTATCAGACAATGAAATGCTTTATAATTAGAGGGAGAGGATACACAGTGGACTTTAAGAGCTTTTTATACAGTATATCTGTACTGGTGCAAGATGAATTTTGCTGAAATACATGGGAAAATGGGTACTGACCTTTAAGCCCATTTTCATATTATTTATAAGTACTTGAAAAATTACATGTAAATAGTAGGTTCTAAATTTTAGCTATCATTAAGCACCAATTGATATGCACTTATTTCTTTGTATGCCCACCACAGCTCTTTGTATAGTGTTTGACGTACTATTTTCCACTTGTGATTTGTATTTCTTTTCTTTTTGGCTTGCTTTTTTTTAGATTAATGGGGCAGAGCACATGCATCAAATTCAGGCTCAAAAACAAAGGAAGTTGCAGCATCTTCAAAATTTTATTAACCAAAAGAAGACGAAACTAGATCATTTAAGGCAACTTTGCGGTGAGGTTTTGGCTCGGAGGATACCGCTGGAGTGGGAGGTGAAGTAATGAGTCACAGGTGGTTGTTTGTACAGTTTTTTTCTTTTGTTCTAAAATCTGAAATTTGTTTCAGGGTCATGTGGAAAATGTGAAGGACATTACAGCAGATGTGGAGAAACTGAAAGACACATGTTTGAATGTAGAAAATGAAATGAAAGATAATACTGGAGATGCGGTGTTTTTGGAGCAAGTAGAGGTGCTGAGGTGCAACTGTGAAGACATTATTCAACAGGTATTTTTTTTATTTTTATTTTTTTAATTTTTACTAAGCATCTATTCATTTTTATTTTAAGATTTTGTGAAAAATAGATACAAATTACTATAATATATTTTGTATATAAGACCCATTGCTCATTGTATCCATCAGTACAATTATTTTTAATAAATTATTCTAGCACTGTTTTATTCAAATTTTACATATGATTTTAACTCATATCCCACTATTTTCTGTTTAGATTATACAGAATTAGAAACATCCAACAAGACAATGCACTTTTGTCAAACTTGTATTAGTAATCAAGCAAATCAAGAAGTCATACTCCAATGTTATTTATTTGAATACAGGATGAGAATAGGACACATTTTGATCAAATCATGATAAAAAATGTTTACAAATCACATTTTAAATTCTACTATATAGTGTCTATATAGTCTATATTCATGAACCTTATTAAGTAAGTTTTTATTTATATAGCACTTTTCACAGACATGTCACAAAGACGCTTTACAGAGCATTATTCAGTATTGTTCACTCACTCCTTGCCCGGTGATGGTAAGCTACCATTGTAGCCACAGCTGCCCTGGGGCACACTGACAGAAGTGTGGCTGCCATGCCAATCAGCGCCATCGGTCCCTCCGACCACCACCATCACTCACACACACACCAATTTAATACAAGGCAATGTGGGTGAAGTGCCTTGCCTAAGGACACAACGACAGTTATTGTGACTGGCGCCCCACTGTGGCACCTGATTTTCCCAGTGGTCTCCCATCCAAGTACTAACCAGGCCCAGTCCTGCTTAGCTTCTGAGATCTGATCAGGCTTTTACAAACCAGCATGGCCACTATAATCAAAGAATACACAATTTTAAGATGAAAATAAGAAATTGGATTAATATTTTTGCCCTATCACCCAGCCTTACTCAAATATTGTGAATTCACTAAATACAGTTTTCTGTTTTGCAGATGGAAACTTTACATCCCTCCATACAGCAAACCGTAGACAAGTGGAGTTATTTCAGAAAACGCTTGAATGAAATTTCCCTTTACACCGTGAGACTACACTGCTCCCTACAACAGCTCCACGCTCCAGTCTTCTCCTTACAAGGGACAGAAAAGAAGCTTCTTCTCCTCCAGGTACAGCAAAAACTAAAGAAAGTCCCTCTAAAGATCCCCTTGTCACCACCACCCACTCCAATATTTCCAGCAGAGGGTATAAAGCTTTTAAGCCCAGTGTGACAAAAAGCTGATATTTGGCACTTGACACTTAACATTGACAGGTTGAGTAAAGCTGTGTGGGGCTTTTTCAAGTACTCAGTCAGCGTTAAAATCAAACGCCAAAAGTGTACTTGTGAAATTTCAATTTTTTTTTTTTTTTTTTTACTATTCTTTGCTTTTAGGAATTCCAATTGACAACAAATAAGTACGAAGACCTATGGAATGAGCTGGAAAAATCTTGCCAGGATCTTGTGAAGAGTGATCTAGTAGCAGCTGATGTTTTAAAGGAAGAAATGGAAAGAGAACATCGGAGGTCAGTAATCATCACATAAAAATTATCATTTCTAAAAAGTGTTTTTTCCCCACCAAACACCACTTATATATTTGGCTTTTGAAGTGTCACCAGATCTAAACAATGCCTCTAAAATGAATTGGGAAAATATATAGGATGACATGATTTAAGTATTTCTATAAGGACCAACCCAAAAAATTGCATAAATGTGGATTAAATTCAGTACATACTCCTTGGCCTGTCACGATAACAAATTTCAAAGCACGATATATTGTTACAGTGAAATATTGTGATAAACAATAATACTGAAAACACTTCATGCCACTGTCATAAAGGAGGACAATCCCAATAAATGCATTTTTAAATAGACAGTATAATTAAAAAGCCTGAGCTACATCCAATAAATGTCAGAATGAACTAATAATTAGCCATGGCAGTTATTTATTCTACTCAAATCTTACGTTATTACATAAAAATGACAGAAATCTCCCTATTTTTGCAAAGAAAAAGTACCCACGATAAATATTGAGCCCCAAAATACAGTATATTGTTCCATGGTAAGTCGGTATCATAATTATCATGACAGGCCTACACACTACAAACTAGATTTGCGGAGAGAGCACATGTACCACAGTTTGAGTACTTTTTGCCCTTATAAATGAATGTGACTTATATGTCTGTCTATGTATATCTATATTTTCAGTTCTATTTCTAATAATATAAGAGCTGTTTGCTTTCCTATACTGAATTAACTGGTGTTGCTTGTGTATAACAGGTGGAAAGGAGTCCTGCAGAATTTGAAAAACGAGACTGAGAAAACACAAAAGAGCCTTTCAATATGGCAAGAGTTCTCCAACCAGTCCAAAAACTGCTCGCATCAACTGCAGCAAGCCTGGAGTCAGTGGGAAGAGCTACACCTCCATCAAGACACTCAGGCCCGACCTCAGTCAACACAAGTACAGGTGATTTTATTAATTTCGTTTTGCAGTGGTCCAAACTTATTCCTCAATTTCTTAACATGTTCCTTGCATCCTAAGCATTCACTGTGATATAAATTAACTTCTTAGAGTGAGGAGGGGAAAAAAGCTTTAGATTTAGATCCAACAGCAGTCTTACTTTGACCCTAAGAGATGTTTTTTCATTATACTGTATTGGGGTCAAGTGTTTTTTGTAAAGCTCCTTTAAAGCTGTTGATTAAAGCTACTGTTATGATTTTTGTTGCTTTACAGTTGGTAACATTTTCAGGAATATTGTGTTTCAAGGTAGGTTTGCTTGGTAGCTTTATTTGACTAATTTAATCATTAATTTATTTACATTAGGGATGTAACGATATCCAAATCTCACAGTATGATATTATCACGATATGCCTCTAATGGTACAATAATTATCACAATATTTTGGAGAGGTTAACAGAATTGTACATATGCTATTTTTTCCTTTTTAAATACCTTGAGCAGTCTTCAGTGTGAATAATTACTGCCATATTCCAAAGAAATGAAATATAAAAGTGCTTAATAACAGTTACTTTTATTATGTAGTAAAGTAAGTAACGGATCATGGCCTATGCAGTTCCCTCTTTTTTAATACTTTTAAATGAAAAAATCTTGCAATGCGATATATTGTGATGGACCATGATATTATTGTGAGAGTTCTGACGATACGATATCACGATATTTCAGTTATTGTTACATCTCTAATTTACATATAACATATTTCTTCAATTTAATGTTCAGATCAGAATTTTAACTGCTGTTCCTGAACTTAGTCATGGCCAGCTTTTAGAGAGTATGCGTTAGGTTCAGGATATAATGAAATACTTTGGTTGTCTTTTTGTGGAGTAGAACAGGATGCTGCACTCATGGCCACAAATATCCTTTCATTTCTCTGATCACCTGTACTTAACAGGACACAGATTTCATTACATGTTGTTTAGGAGATTGATGCAGCAAAGAAAGAGCTCCATTTTTTTTTTTTTACTTTCTCTGCCCAATGAACGCTATACTTTGTTAGTATATGAGTCATAGATAAGGTGTAACAGGGAATGGGAGAAAGAGGACACAAGCTCATATTGCTAAAATGGACGGGTTTCCTGCATATGTACTGAAGCTCTAACCACTAAGCCACAATGCCTTTTTTAATATATGTTTTATATTTTTCTTATATACATTACATTAAAGTTTTAGAACTTCACGCTTTTTCTAGTTTTTGTTGACCAAAACTTATTCTAAACCTTTGATTCATGAGAGTGTCCACCTTTGGCAGATATAACAGCTCAACACATTCGTGGCTCATTCTTTTTACAAAAGGAATCAAATATTGTTCAAAACGTTCTTCCCAAGTCTGTCGCAGAAGTTCCCGTAAATGTGTGGCATTTGTAGGTTGCTTGGCTTTCACTCTTCTGTCCAGTTCATCCAAAAAAAAACTCGATAGGGCTTAAGTCTGGAGACTGTGCTGGACACTCCATGTTTTCAAGCTTTACCATCTTGTTCTTTTTTTCCTGAGGTAGTTTTGGCAGAGCTTGGACTTGTGTTTTGTTATATTTTATCTTTTTTTTTTTTACCTCTGGATGTTCAGTACTTACATTTGTACCATTTCAAGCTCTTCATTGGACTTGCATGACTTTAATTGCAATAAATAACTGGAAAAATTTGGGTGTTCTCAAGCTTTTGACCGGCAGTGTATTTGTTTACCATCACCAGAAATTGCAAGAAAAAGCTGAGAGCGTGGAAAGCACCTTGGAGCGTGTTCTTGCAGCATCCAAGCTTTTGATTGAAAAACTGGGCCCAATTGCTTCTAACATTGTCCAATCACAAACCAGTCAGCTGTCACATGATGTTTGGATTTTGAGCCAAGCCTTGCAGGTGTATAAGAAGAATACCCAGGTATTATTTATTTTACATTATGTATTATTTCTGTACTTTATATGTATTTATACTAATTTATATTTTCACTTAAGGATGATATAGACCAACTGAATGTTTTCCTTAATCATTTGGAAAGACTTGAAAACCATATGAAGGAAAAAGAAGACCAAGTTAACAAAGTAAAGGATGTTAATGCTGCAGAGGTTGGTATCCATTTATATAGAAGTTTACAAGTTTAATTCAAACTCCAGACACTTTAATGGCTTAAAAATCTGTTATGATATATTTTTTGGTTTGAACATGTGCAGCAGGTTTTCCAGGAACTCTCCAAACTGTTTTCGTCCATGTTTGACGTCACTGAGATGAGTGCCCACGTGAACCTTAGCAACCAGGAGGCACAGAGGCTGCACCAGCTCCAGGGGAGATATGTGGACAGTCAAACACGTGGCCTAGAGCTGTGCAAGTAAGACAATGTTAAAGTTTAAATCTCAAAATATATTATACTAATAAATACTTAAAGGTCCTATATTATGCTGAATTAACTCTTGTGAGCTTTAAGTTATTAAGTTAGAATGTTGTTGCCTTCTCAAAAACATACCTGGAGTTGTGTTTGCTTCATTTGTTGGAGTAATCCTTTATTATTAATCTGTCTATATCTATATCTTGTGATGTCATGAAACAGTAGATTTCAAGTTTCTTTTTATTCAGCAGAGATTGGACATTCTAGGCTAAAATCACCCAAATGATTCTAGTGAAATTTAAAAACACAGTGGAGCACTTCCTGTATAACCACTTGACATCACAAGGTGGAACTGAGTGTTTTCCCTTTGACAGAAGAGCTCATCCTAAATATGCAGGGTTTGTGTGTTGAACATGTGTGAATGGAACAAAACACAACTCCATTTATGTTTGTGATGAGGAAACAACATCAGAAATCAGCAGCTTTAGGATTCATTTGCTCGACAGTAGGGGGGTACTTTTTTTATTTATCCAATTGCTGCTATTTGGTTGTGACGTATGTAATGCACCAAATCCCGTAGGAAGAAGGGAAATAACGTCTTTCCTCTTGATAAAATTCACCAAACAATGTCTTTGTTCTGGCTTTAAATCCTCGATCTCAAGAATTGTTGCCAACACAGAATGTATGGCTTCGTCTACATCCATCTCGATCGCTTTGTTTACTGTTGTGCTGTTCCACAAAAGGATCCAGGCAGGCGCTTGAGTTCTTACAAACCTCGATTGTATTTTTATTCCTGACCTAGTCGCTGGAGAGAAATGAAACTGAGCAGAGGCACTAGGTGGCACCAGCCTGGCTACCTTTAACCATCTAAAAACCAGAAATAAAACTGGACAAAATATCACAGTATCACAATATATTACAGTCACAATATGTTATAGTACTTTTGCATTATACTGATTGGTGATGTTTTGTTTTGTTGCATATTACAGATAAATTTGAATATTGTTCCCTGTATAAACCAAAACTAAACTCAGACTAAACGCAACATAATTTACACTAAACTGGCATCAAAGGCAATATCCTATGTCATGTTAATCACTATTTCATTTTTGCATCGTTTTTCCTTACAACCTCTTGTATATAGCTGAGAGATATATTTGTATTACTGTATTTCGATATATTATGTTTTATTTTTGCATGTACATTTATATAATTATGTCTTATTTAACGGTCTCATTATTTTTGCTTATTTATATTTATATAATTTATTATTATATTTTTGCTCTTTTTTATTATAATATTGTCATGTGTGAGCTACTGTGTCAGAATAATTTCCCTTGTGGATTGAGAGTCTAAGAAAACTACTGAACCAGGATTAAAATTGTCTCTTTAATTTCATCTGAATAAAGTTAATCTTTAATTGCGTGTTGTTTGTTTTTTTATGATACAGGTGGCTGAGCTCCCAACACCATTATTCTCTGGGGTTTGATGAAAAATACAAGGCCCTAACAGAAATTCACGATAAACTGGAGCAAGAATCAACGCTGAGAAATCCACAGAATTACAACAATCTTAAAAACATGGCAACTGTCCACCAGGTAATATAAACCTTTGGAGCTGAAGAGGATGTAGATTCTTTCAATACAACAAAATATTTAATCTGCATTTTTGTTAAACCTGCTATTTCCATGTTTTTATTATTTTCCTGTCATTTCTTGTTGGTAGAAGCTTCAAGGTGACATCGTGGTAGGGCATCAGTTACTGCATGGACTCATGTGTGACGCTGTAAAAATAATGAAAAATGGAACAGAAACACAGAGGTAGGATTTTTGGAGTAACTGAAACAACAAAAAAAATTCTTGTCTGCACTACTCCTGTCTGATTATTGAGCCAGTAACAAACTAGGGAGGGCTATTGTTCTTTGCCCATTTCCTCTTCCCTATTATTATTTTTCCGTGCAAACCGTTGTGATTTTGAGGTCCTAAACGCCAATGAAAAGTTCCGAAACCAGGTATGGAATTGGTCCTGTGAAAAATTTGATAAAACAGGCATCGCAACAATAATAATGCCCAAAGTGACCTGACTCAACAGTGCTGCCTAGAAGTGGACCCGTATGGGAGTGAAGACAAGCAAAGTTTGGTGTAGGCAAATTTAAAAAAAAAATAAAATAGAATTTCAGAACAGTAATATGATGAACAGCAAATTGCGATATTGGACATAGGTTCACAAAATTAACTGTTTTTTTGGGATACTACTTACGGTTTGCCCGTAGCACTGGGGCAAATGACACCTTCATTTCCTGTTTTTTGATGACTTCTCACAGCCACAGGTTTTGGTCTAGAGAGAGATTTAAATCACACTTGCGTAATCCTTGGTTGAGGATTACTCAAATATGTGTGAATGAAACAGAACACTACTGCTGGTATGTTTTTGAGGAAGTAACATTCTCACGTGACTTAAAGCTCATAAGAGTCAGTTTTATGAAATCTAAGGCCTTTTAACTCAAGAGTTTTTTTATTTGAATATGGTCATTGTTTTAGTTTAGTTCATTGTTTTAGTTTAGTTCAATAAGTTGGTGGTATCCTTCACAATGACGTCTCTTTGAATCTTTAGAAATTAAACTTTGCAAGCAGTCTGATTTTGATTTTTATTTAACACTTGAACAAAAGTATTTTTTAAATTTCTTTTCAGGTCGGAAAGCTTTGCCAAGGTTTCTTACATAAGGCAGAAATGGACTGATATGCTGAATCTGATTAACCAGCGCCAATCTTCGGTCAAACACCAGCTGAGCCAATACTCCGCGTACCAGAGCGGCCTGAAACATCTTTACGATGTTATAAGAGAAATCGATTCTCTACTGCCCCCTACAGGACAAGACATATCTGTGTCACGAATCGAGATGCAGGATTATGAGGTTAGTGTGTGTTGATTATTTTTGATTTTCATGCTTTTACTGTAAGTATTATTTCTAAAGCCAAAGATAAGTCTTTAATCCCGATATTAGGCTTTGCTCTGTTTTCCATAGCTGTCACAGATCTCTTTCACTGGTGGATGGTTGCTCACATGTCAGTAGTTCTTATTTTAGATATATAAACAATATATTTCATTTGTTTTAGCTTTTAGATCCACATTTCTACATTGCCCAAATTTTCCACTTGAAGTTATAGTTATAGTAATTAAAAAAACAACTTAATTTTGGTCACTTTTGTGGGGTTAGGCAATATAATCACTACAATATAACTCACCCTTATTAAAACAAGTAAAAAATATCTTAATCTTAATATCATAAACATAAAAAACTAAAGCTGATCATGGACGAATTGAAATAAACAGATTTCCATTCAAAGAAAACGCATTTAATTGTGCAATTTTGTCTTGTATTTTCCAGGCTGTAGAAAAGGCACTCCAGCCTCACTCTGCCATCTACACCAGGACTGTGGACAGTGGGAGAAGTTTGTGTAAAAGTATGACAGATGCTGAGAGTCAAATGAAGCTGCAAACAGAAGTAGAGGCTTTAGAGAAGGAATGGGAACGCGCAACATCACAGCTGGAAAGGCACAAAGCAGAGATTAAGAATACTGTCCAGGTAACATACACAAATACACACATGGGCTACTTTATTTTTGTAGTTATAATGCTTCAGATGTTGGTTAAAAGTAAAGTGTGTATTAGCCAGTCACATGATAGCAGCTCAGAGCTTTCAGATAATTACTTTTAATTTAGCTTGGACTATAGCAAAGTGTCTAAAGTTAATATTGTTTTTTTGTAATTGATTAGTATAAAATATTATATAAACTAAATAATACAAATTTGGTACAGTGGTTTATTTTCAGTTAGGAAATTCTATTGAAAACACCATATTTCATATTAACCAGGCCTTTTGTGTGGGTTGCAGATTATTAGTGCTGAGGAATAAAGAGTTTGGACTTTAAATGTGTTGATCAACATTGTTTAGTAATAGTTTTGTTAATCGTATTTAGTGGCAGTGGCAAAAATGTCATCTTTATTTCATTCATCACTTGAGAGATAGAATTTATCAAGAACTTTCAACAAGAACTTAATATAGTGAGCTGCTCTTTCTGACCCTGATTTTCATTTGCAAAGTACATAGGCACATCTTTATTATTCTGGCTCTAAAAAAATCCACACAACAAACCAACAAAAGAGCATGCGTTGGTTTTCATATCAACACAACTGAAGGGTGGGGGCGTCAGCAGCTTTGACATGACCCATATACAGAGCCTGATCCAGCATGCACGCAGTCTGGTGCCCCGCTAAAGCTCATCTGCCAAGAGGATCAAACTCCAACTGAGAAACTGTCCATTATCCCAGCCATTTTTCCAACTGTGGTGGCACTGGGCCTATTGGTGGTATGCAGAGCTCTGGAATCTGTCTGTTTGGAATCGTTTTAATTTAGTAAATGCATATTTTAGTACTTCTCAATTCATGCCTGGTCTCCTGCTTTGAAATTCTATTTTACACTCAAATCATGAGGTAGTCTATCTGGTCATCTGCTCAAGACAAATTTTTTGTTTGAATTTAAAGTCCAATTTTGGTCTTGCTTATTGATGCTTATACTGTACACATTTTCGTCTAGCAATTTTTGAAGTATCATAATTTCGTCCTCAAACAACTAAATATTCAGTTTTATTCTGCATAAAAATTGCTAACCCTAAAGTTTAGATCTGTACAAATGTGATTCTTGTATTAGTTTGTCAATTCTTCTTGGTTTAAAATGTGAACTTTGAAGAAAATTTCATAAAATCGCAATGCTTGTCACAAAAATGTCACTTAGATATTTTTCACATATTCTTCAGTCCTATTTTAGTCTTAATCTGGTTTTAGTCTCACTTCTAAAAGGTGGAACTTTGTGTGTTTGTAAAGTTTGTATGACTTTATCACCACTATCACACACACTGAACCGAGAGCTTCAGTTTTATTTTTATACTGTAGAAAGCATTTGATTCACTTGAGTGCATATGACAGGTTTTCATGTTTTTCTAATTATGATTTGGTTTGGTGGGATAGTACCTGTGGTCAATACTTAAATACTTATCATAGCTTTTCAGTCAAGTGACAGTTTGAGAGATGAGACGAAAAGTACAGAAATACAAGAAGATGCAGTTAGTCTTAAAACCGAGTCCTTCTACCTATTTCATTGACACACAAAATTCCTTCCAAATTATACAGAGAATTTACGTGCAAAGAACACTTTTTCTGCTAGTTTAAGCATTCATTTAACAAAATAAAGCTGTTATAATGTATTTTTATTTGTCTAAATTACACAATAGTTAGGATTAAGGGGCTCATATTATGTTATTTTCTGATTTATGTTATCATGTTGTTTCCTCAACCAAAACTTGCCTGGAATTGTGTTTTATTTCATTCACTCATGTTCAACACACAAATCCTTCTCTCAAACACCTTCACTAGAATCATATGGATAATTTCAGCTCTGGAACTGCCAAATCACTACTTAAAAAAAAAAAAAAGGTTGCTGTTAACTTGAAAACTATCACTGAACAGACGAAATAATGACGAATGAAACAAAAAAACAACTCCAAAAAACATTATATCATGACTTAAAACTCACAAGAGTCCGTTTTGCATAATACAGGACCTTTAAAGTATCAGAAATACTTAAATTACATAAAAGTAATAACATAAATTAAGAGTAAAATAAAACACAGCCTTTTTCTAACATGGCTTAAAGCTCACAAGGGTCAGTTTTGCGTAATATAGGACCGTTAACAAGAAAATAGACAGTTTTAGTTACATCTTTAGTCTAATTATGCTATGTTTCAGTGAAATTAATCTAAACTGTATGCACTAAATTTCTGTAAATAATTGTACAAGAGAAATGAGCATACTCTGTAGCTGTGTGCTTTCTGACATGTGTGTTTGGGTGCTCCAGGGGTCAGGCAAAGTTGTGTTAACCCGTTAAGCTCAACAGGACACGGCCAGAGAGGGGAAATCCCTCTGAGCAACATGTCAGAGATCACACCCCCCGATACACTAATCCAACACAGAGCTGCCACACAGGCCTCTAATCAACACAACAAACTCTCAAGCAGTTCATTTCATGTTACAAAGCATGATATAGAGAGCTGTTTAAAATATCAGATATATTTAAATAGCAAGATTATGAGTGATTATTATGGAGCATGGGAATTGAATTCATGTGTGAATGAAACAAAACACAACTCCAGGTTTGTTTTGATGAGGAAACATTACAACATAGATCAGAAAACAGCGTGATATGGACCCTTTAAGAGTAAATTCATGTTGTAACAATAAATATTTCTGTTACTAAGCTTTGTAAAGCTAAGGTCTTGATTTTTAATCAGTGTGCTGCCAAACACTGGTACTATCGAGCCTTGAGGGACTGCCTGGTGTGCCAATCCAATTTGAGTTTAACCAATTCACAAAATGTAATAAATGGTCTTTTTGGAGAGCCCTGAACCGTACAACAGTTGGAGCCATTTGATATTGTTTTAGTAGCTGGTGACACAGCATCTTTTAACAAAAAATAAGTGTTGTTGCAAAACAGTGGATTATGGTAAGGTTAAGGAACACTTTATTGCTCCTTAGGAAAAATGTGTCCCCTGTATTCGACCCATTGTTTAATTCTGCTGAGGCAACTTGTCAGATCAATACTTCAGTTTACAATGTGCAAAGTATAAGATCAAGATCTACATTCATTTTTTATTTTAGTTGTTTATTTTATTCATAAAATATAAAAAGACATTAACAGTGTCACAACATCAAGCATACAAGAAATGAAAGAAAAGGAACAGAAAGAAGAGTAATCTTATGTTATCTGTCCCCTTTTTCCTTTTCCAGACAAAACCTCAACACTGATAGTTACTTTAAAACATTTCATTCAATATTTCATTTCAGTCACAATTATGAATCGATCGCAAACAGAAATCTTCACTATTATGCATTACAACTTAGTTTCCTTTTTCATACATACACATTGCAGTGGATTTTATGTGTTTTTTTAAATGCCATCATTGTACTTGATCCTACATATTTAAGACATAGACTAGACAAGAAGACAAGAAGTGGACTAAGGGAGTGTGACATCACTCAAAGCATTCAGCTCCAGTCAGATGAAGCTCACGATGCTCGCAGTTATAGAGGCGAATTTGGACCCGAGGTCCATATTAGGAGTAGGAATTTCTTTACTGAAAATAGTGAAATAAAAAATGACGAGGCTCACTGAAGCAGTTAGAGAGAGATGACAACTTTTCAATGTAAAGTCATTTGGAGCCAGAGTCGATGGAACTGGAAGTGCCCTCTACCTAATGGAATAATAGATTTTCTCAGGGGCTGTGATTACATGCACTTTAAAATCTGATTAATGAATAATTAGAAGCTACCAACATGTCCAACAATATTTTCCAGTAATTTTACATTCCCAGGCAGCATAAAGAAATATCTCAGCAAATGTTTGTTTATGCATAGACCAGACCGTAAAAACACTAGTAACTCAATATGCCAGAGGTGACGTAAGACACTTCAGAAACACTTGACCACACTAGACAACTCTATTCCTCTTAATGCCCTTAACTGTGTCTGTTTTTCTGAAACTAATGGAGCATCTATGGAAGCTATTTAACTCCAAGAAGTTTACTTTCACCATGTCTAAATTAAAATGTAGACATACCGGATTGCAAACAGTCTGTGAAACTGATGTTAAGTCTTACGTAAGCCTGTGTATTTTTGTTGTGTCCGGGCAGATGTGGAGGCTGTGTCAGGAGAAGATCACAGAGGTGAGATCTGAACTGGACCAGTGTGGACTTAAGCTGAAGAAAGCAGCATCAGCCAAAACCAAGGACACAGAGCAGATAATCCAGGTACTTCTGTCAACTAACTGTAATATTAATCACAGGATAATAATTACTGCATTTTATAATATAATGTATTCTACAATAGTGACAATTTTAGTGAGAAAATTCATCCTTTCCAAATGAGCATTCACTAATTTGACAAATAAAAAGGAACTTCACGATTTCTGACTTCTGATTTTTCTGAAAGCAGTAGTAAAAGTGGTGGGAGTGGAATTTGTGGTGGCAGTACTGAAAGCTGCTATTGCAGGAGTAACTATTATTTGTACTAGTATAACTGTAGCCCTTTAAGATTTTAATACATAATCATTAGTACTGTAATACAATACTTTGTCCAAACTTTGATTGCAAACTAGTTAACATTGGCTGTAATTTGTAACAGATTAGTTGAAGTTGTAGTACTTGTAGTAGTAGTAGTAGTAGTAGTAGTAGTAGCAGTAGCAGTAGCAATAGCAGCAGCAGCAGCAGCAGCAGTAGTAGTAGTAGTAGTAGTAATAGCAGCAGTAGTAGTAGTAGTAGTAATAGCAGCAGTAGTAGTAGTAGTAGTAGTAGTAGCAGTAGTAGCAGCAGCAGCAGCAGCAACGGTAGTAGTAGTGGTAGTAGTAATAGTGGTAGTAGTAGTAGTAGTAGTCGTAGTAGTAGTAGTCGTAGTAGTAGCAGCAGCAGGAGTAGTAGTAGTAGTATTAGTAGTAGTAGTAGCAGTAGCAGTAGCAGTAGTAGCAGTAGCAGTAGCAGTAGCAGTAGTAGTAGTAGTAGTAGTAGTAGTAGTAATATTGATATTGGTTGTAATATTAGTAGTAGTAGTAGACGTAGTAGTATTGAAAGCATAAATAGTTGATAATTGTACATTTGGATTGATTTAATTAATGATTTCATGTAATCTACTAGTGTGACTGCATTTAGCCCTTAAATATTTTAATACATAATCAGCTGGAATAAAACTCATTATTCAAATAGTAAGTATTTTACAATACTCCACTGTGCACAAGGAGGATACTTCCTATTTGTTGCAACACATGACAAAGTTTCCACGCTCCAACTCTACGTGAAGCCTTTCCCTCCTATCTATACCCCCATCCCAGCAGCAGCTCGCCCCCCTTTCCCTTATTTAATACCCCCATGCTTTCACTCCCCTCCCCCTTTTACCCGTATACCCTCCCCCTGCCCTGTCCCATCCAGAGCTCTTTAATCAGGACAGCGGAGTGGACCAAAGTAGCGCAGTAGCAGTATCAAGTGTTGGTAGTTCTGTATGGCTTTCTGACTCGTCCTATCACTGCGTTTGAATGTACTATGCAGGAGACAGAGTTCTCCTTGCATCTTCTGAAGACAGGAGGACTCCAAGACGTGGGCACCATGAAGACGGACTTGTCCCACTATCTGCCGCTCGGGGACTCTGCACTGTTGGAACAGCAGCTAGAGCAACTGCACAGCCAATGGGAAGAGCTGTGCGCCAAGGTAAAGCTGACAGAAGTAAATAAATCAATAAATAACATTGCTCAGTTTAGAGAGGAGTTGTAGTTGGAAGTTGGATGGGGCAGGTGCAGCAGTGCAGGCGGGGTGGGGGCGAAGGGGTGGGGGCAGATGGAGGGAAACCAGTGGTGGGCAGACGCACAAAGACCAAGCACAACTGGCCAAGTGAAAGACACAAGTTTTGGAAAGGAAATAATCATTCTTCAGATTTGTTGTGTATTTTAATTTGAGGAAAGAAGAGAATGCTACTGCTATTAACCTGATTTTGTGGTGTGCTTGGATAAATATAACGGGTTAATAGATTTTCTCAGTGGCTGTGATCACATTTTTGGAGTTATACGATGATTTAAATGACGTGTAGAAAGCAAAATCATCAAATTTCTTTCTGATTTCTTTCCTTTCATTTCAGATTTTGTAGTTTACATGTCATTTAAATAATATTGAAATTCCAGAAATTAGATTATAATCAGATTTTGATGTGTATGTAAGCAATGGCGCTGATCTAAATGATTAGGTTCAACAATAGATATTTTTTGTGTTTATTTCTTACAAAAATACAGCATAATTGATAAAGTACTGCATGCTTATACACCCATCTGACAGCAATCTAGTATCATAACATATTTATTTATTTATAGATTATATTGTATTATTATAAACTGATTGCATTGTACCAAAGTCACTTTAGTCAGAGGCTAGTGGTATGAGCGTGTACTAAAGCCACAAGCATGTTTATGAAGAGAACAATTTGTATCTTCTTGATTAATACAATACAGTACAATTAATATACAGTACATTTTTAGTGTAATAGTTGTGGATTCAGTTCAGATTATATAGACCATAGTTTAATAGTCATGGTCCCACATGTGTGTACATTGGTTTAAGTTTAGTCCCGTTTTGTAGCTATTCTGTTTTGTATTCTAAAAGAGTACTGTGTGTATTTTTTTTTACATTTTCGTTCAAATCAATCACAATCTTTTTGCATAATCAGATCTTTCATAGCCTTACTAACTCCCTGTACAAACATCAATGGTGTAATAGCATTATTACATTAGAGGGGCTCTTTGTAAACACGCATTCCTACACTTAAGTCTCTGGCCTTTACACAAATACGCTGTTGTTCTTTAGCATAAACGGCTACTGCATTCTGGGACATTTTTCTATCGGTTACCTCATTGCTGTATTATTATGGGTCCAACAACAATTTGTACTGCCGCTAATTGGACCCGCACTTGAATACAGCTGCCTCCACCTGCCCCTGTTTTGGCCCAAATCTGCTGTCTGGCAATCCATTTTGATTTTTTTTTTTTTGTTTCATTCAATTCTAACAACATTTTAGCCTTGCCAAAATAAGAAATTGCTGGTTTAGTTTGATTATTGTGTACTAGATTTGTTGATTTTCTATATTCTGTGCTTGTGTCTAGTCTGCATAGCTAACAGGTTGCAGGAGAGGGGGTAGGTGCTGGAATGGGTCCGGCGAGCAGATGGTCCTAGGGCGCATGGGACAGCCTCTATTGTTAAAGGGAATCACAAAGTCTTCATAGGGTGACAGCGGCGTACAAAGCAGCCTCAATAGTCCACTAAGTAAAAAAGCCCCCAAAACATCGTTAGTACATAAAAACAATAAAAGGCTTAATGAAATACAACTAAATGCCAATCAGAAGTAATTTATAGCTGAGTAGTCCCTAAGGCTGGTACTAAGCAGTTTAACCTCCAAAAGATCATCGGCCGGTCGCCCCCTCCCAGCCTGTGTAATGGGGCGTTGTCATGGCGTTAAGTTGTCGTTAGGAAAATGGACCTTGTTAATTTTACTACATAAAATCTCTGGGGAATTCATTTTGTCTGATTTATGATGTGATAGTTCATTTCACAGTCATTCTACATAGTAATAAATCTATTACCATAAACGTAAATGTTAAACAGGATATTATTCGCTTGTCTCTTTACAATTGAAATATTAGACTTTTTTTTTTCTAAAATTGAGGATGCACAATTTAGGGAAAAAAAGTCACACAATAAAGGCTTATAGTTAAAGTGGGACAGTATTTTAATTGATTGATTGTATTTAATTGACCTCCATTAGGTATCAGCTGTTCTTCCTGGAGACCTGTGTAGCATGTTTTGGGTTATTTTATCTAATTGTATGTATATTTTTTTGTTGTTGTTGTTGTTTTTTTTGACAAGTATTGCAATTGTTTTTATATTTGAGATGTATGTTTGAAAAGTAGGAGTTGAGGTGGGGTGTGGGAGGGTTATGATTTGTTTTTGTTTTGTGTTTGTTATTTAAAACTTCGAAATTAGGGAAAAAAGTAGGATTCTGATTAAAGTAAACATATGACAGGAGACTGAAAAATTAACTGATTAAGTAATATTTAATAATTCCATGTATTTCATGACATGTTTATAGAGGTTGAAGCTACAGATTCAACAGGATTTTCTTTAAAACCACTATTTTATTCTTTGGCAGTGGACATTCTGTTGTTTCAATCATTGCAGCCTTTGCGAATTGATAATTGTACAAACTCAAATTGCTCTTCTGTTTTGTTTGCGGTATATTATACAGCCCTAACTAAAATATAATTGTTAATTTGTCACTAGATGTGTATACAGTATCGGGTGCATGAGACAAAATTTCAACTCCTTTCCACTGTCATTGAAAAAAAACCCCTCTGAAAATAGAAAATTTATTTAAATTCAAAGTGATTTTTTTAAACCCATAGTGACTTATTCCCTAATGATGCTGAATGTTACTGAATTATTGCATGTATGTTTACTTTCTCAGGTATCCTTACGTAAACAGGAAATTGCAGACCGCCTGAACGCCTGGACCATCTTCAATGACAAGAATAAGGAGTTCTGTGATTGGCTGACGCAGATGGAGAACAAAGTGTGCCACAGCGCCGACCTGAGCTTTGAGGAAATGGTTGAAAAACTCAAGAAGGTACACTGCATTATTCCATAAAAATATAATGCAATTTCATATTACGTAATAATGTTCCCTTAGTTTATTTGTTGAAGCACTTACATAAGAAGATTATAGTTTCCATTTTAAAATGTACTGGTAATATAATGTTTTTCTTCTTATTTTTAAAGGTTCACTGTGTAATCTTTCTGTGTCTATGGAGATTAGGGCTGGGTATCATTAAGAAGTTGCAGATACAATACATACCTTAATACATAGGCCACAAAATGATACATATCTCGATACATAGGCCACAAAACAATACCTATCTTGATACACAGGCCACTATACGGTACATATCTCAATACAGTGCTCTTTTGATTTGATACAATATATTTCAAAATTATTCAATACAGTTCAATAAAAAATAAAGGCAAAATCATGATTGTGATACTAAAAGTCTTTGTTAAACCACTTCTTGTGCAAAGTTCATATGAAAAACGCCAATTTTAATCATCAAAACAGTGAAAATGTCAAATGTGTCACATAAATAAGTTTCCTTCCTCTAAACAAGCAACAAAACTATAGCAGTGTTACAAAATAATTTTGTAAAATACACCAAAAAATACTTTTGGCGATATATCGATACAGAAGTCCATGATATTAATACTGTATCATCACATTAAACAATACGATATATTGATAAATAGAAAAATGATGGCAGAGGTCTTCATCGGGGCTAATTGGGCCTGATGAAGACCAAGTAGTCGAAACGCGTTGGCGTGACTTTTAATAAATTCACCGCAAATCATAGTGTCTCTGCCATCATTTTTCTATTTTATGAGAATCCAGCCCTCCGGTTTGATGAGCACCTGTATGTGTAATTTTTTTTATCCAGTGTAGCGCTCCAATTTTGTTATTTCCACGATATATTGATATTTCAATATTTTTGCATGCCCCTAATGGAGATGTTGTTTGTTGATGTAATCCTTCATGCATAAAAAATCTTGAAAAACTCTTGCTTGTCTTGGAAATAGATACATTTAATGCCTTTATATCTGTGTAATCCCTCAGTCATCCAGGCATATACTAGTCTAAAATTATTCAGGAAAAGTTCATTTTTGCCGTGTGAATGGGAGTTTTTTGGTATTGATACTTGTTCGAATAAGTATCCAGTTTCAATTCTGCTTTAAGTATAGATTCATATATGATTTTTGATATTTTTGACAACTCTCCACCAGAAAAATTACATTGTGCACCTTAAACATGCTGTACAAGTTGCTTCGTAAATTAAATATATCAGCAAAGTTAATAGTAATAGAATAGTCATAAAGAAATACTAGCCAATATTTTTTTTACCCTCTTCCTTAAAGGCATTCAGGTTTAACAGATGGTATCCCTGGGTTAAATAGCAGCCCACTCTTTGTCCACACACAGTTGTCTTTAGAGGGACTGGGAGCCTTTTGTGGCCTCCCTGTCTCATCTTGGAGCAGGCTCGTGTTGTGAATGAGATAATAATTGGTTGGTCGGAGCGGCCCTGAATTGCTGTTTTGGTCTGTTGAGTTGGGATGTGAAAGCTGTTATGTTTAATGGTAGGCTTTTGTTACACGGACAACAGAGGATAACAGATACAGTTAAAAAGGTGAATGTTGTTAAAAGGATCTAACAGGTGGCCTCAGAGTTACAAGTATTAGAACACAAATGTCAGTAAACAAATAATAAAGCTTGTGTTCAGTTGATTCAAAAGATGTAATTGTGTCAATGTCAATCATCTTAAAGGAAATTAAAACAAACAAACTCCATCATAAACATGGCAATTGTTTAAAAAAAATAAGTAAATACATGAGTTTGTCTACATCATTTTGTACTGTGTTAAAATGCATATACTGTTTTATAAGTGAGAACATACTGTACCTATATAACATCTGCACACAACATTTCTGTCATTTAGAATTATGAAAACCTTTTTGCATTTTAATAAGGTTGAGGAAAGAACATCATATTATTTCCCACCAATGTGCTCGTACTGACTATTAATTTCTCCATACTAAATTTTATAACAAACAGTATTGGTGAACTTATGCAAACACTGAATTTATAGCCAAATTAGATTAGATTTAAAGGTCCTACGTTACATACAATTGTGAGTTTTAAGCCATGTTATAATGTTTTTACCTTGTCAAATACGTACGTGGAGTTGTGTTTTGTTTCATTCACATGTGTATCACTAATCCTGTATGATCAATCTGTCTACATCTCCAAAGCTCAAAATGCTCTGTTCCACCTTGTGAAGTCATGCAATAAAATTTTACAAGTTAACAGTTACCTTTTACCTTAAGTTCAGTAAAGATTGGCAAATGCAGGGCTGAAATTATCAAAATGATTACAGTGTATGGAGTTTAAAAATACAGTAAAGCATGTTTTCAGTCTGAGAAAAGAACTGAGGAAGCAACATTTTAACATAGATCATAGAATAGCATAGTATAGGTCCGTTAAATAAAAATGTTTCTGTACACTCAATTCCCATGAAAGAGCTCACTCTCCAGTGCATCTGAAGCACAATGATCTCTCTGACCGTCTCTGTCCACCCACAGGACTGCATGGAGGAAATTAATTTGTTCAGCGAGAACAAGAGGCACCTGAAGCAGCTGGGGGAGCAGCTGCTGTGGGCCAGCGATGAAGCCAAGCACAGCCAAGTGCACGGCTCTCTGCAGGAGGCCAACCAGCGCTGGCAAGGCCTCTTCCACCACATCCAGGACAGGTGAGACTATACCTAGAAAATACTGTTCACACATCATCGATCATGTTTTTGATTTGATTGAAAATATACCAGTACACCACCTATATAATATAAATTCTAGTTTTACACCAATCAAAAGGCAATTTGTTAGGAAAAGTTGAAAAATTTGTTAAAAATTACAGGATGTAGAGAGTTCTAAAACATATTGAGAACATCACACTAGACATAATTCTCTCCAAAAGTCACAATTTACACCTTAAACATTAATTCAACAAATAAAGGTGTTTTCTTATATTTTTATTTGTCAAATAATAACTTCTTTGTACAATAGAGGAGTTTTGGCACAGTGTACTTTTGCTAGATAACATTTATAGAATTCCTTAGTTTGATGTTATAATTTCCAACCAGTAAGTATAGTAAGTAAAATATGAATTTAAATATAACAATCTTAGCTGTATTTTAGATCAATGAGTAGTCAAACCTGTCATAGGCACTTTAACTAGAATTTGATCAGTAATGTAGCAAATTTTGTGTCTGCGTTCTTAAATTTTTATTTAATTTTTTTATTTTTTGCATATTATTTTCGACTCAGAGCACTGTAAATGCCAAATTATTCAATTAAATCCAAGTGTGAATCTGTTGACTCAAATAGGACCATTTTTCACGACGCACCTGCGCTCCCCGGCACGCTGAAAATCAAGGGTCGTACTAACCGAACCAACCAGCTGCAAGCCTGCTCAATAGTGGGGAAATTGTTTCACTTACAAAGCCCTTTTCAAAGCATGAAGTGTCTTGCTCATGGACACAACCACTCAAAAATCAACAAAGCGAAAATAAAGCATCAACTAAGGTCTTTGTTGATGAAAAGACAATTGCAATTTTGTACACATATCAGAAGATCTAATATCTAAACTCGTCAAAAATCCTTATGTGATATTAACCTTAATCTTTATTTACAATGTTTTAAGGGAATAGTGTTTTAATCTGGCAAAACATGGACTTGAATGGCTGCCAGTTTCTTTATCATCCATAATTTGTTGCTTGAATAACTAATGCAAATTTCTTTATTGAAAAACCTATTGCGTTTAGCTCACGACACAATTCTTTATAGCACAGCTGAATTGTTTCCACACACTAAAAGAGGTCTCTACAGTATATCTTCAGCGCTGTATTAAGCCTGCACAGTGGGCCCTTTCTCAGCCAAAACACATTAAATAAATTAACGACCCACAAATCTTCAAACGAGCCCTGATAATTAAAACAGAAGTAGGCCTATCTTCCTGCTGTTACCTCGCTCTAGCCCACAGCTGTTCAAACACACATGCTTTAATATACAGTAGTGTAGGTTAAGCCCCCAGACCCCTATTAGACATATGGGACGTCCTACGAAAGTCCCACCCCCCCGCCAGATATCGAGGACTCAGACAGGACCATATGTCGTCATGGTCACAGTGTCCCTCCTCCTCCTCCTCCTCTTTGCTCTCTCTGTGGTGACGTGATGGGCAGTGGGGTGAGATGGGGAGGGGACAGGAGGGTTCAGGACAAGGGGGATTTGTCAGTGTGCATTACAACAGGGCTCGTCAAAGCGGGGTCAGCCCACAGAGAGAGCCCTCACGAAAATGCAACCCCACAATTCTGTTACGTAATATGGGATAATGGGGATGTTTGGAGAAGGTTTCATTAGTCTACTAGAAAATGTTTAAGGTTTGATTATACATTTAAAACAGGACACAATGAATACAAATCACTTAGTTGAAAATTAGAAAAGAAAGAGAAAGAAAATAAATGTATATAGGAAGGTATACACTTTTAATCATACATTCAAAAGCAACACACAAAATACAATCAAAATATGATCACCAATCCGTGTATCATTCGTTCGTTCGTTTTTCAAAATAAAATCAAAAATAATAAAATGAAGAAAACAACTATTTTCTTCATTATTTGTCTCCAAAACCAAAATGACAAAACGATTTGTTTTTTCATTTTTTCGTCACAGCAGTTTGAGTCACATACGGACTGAACCAGGACTGAACTAGGACTAAAACAAGCAGGACTAAAACAGGTCTTAAACCAAGACTAAACCAGGACTAAACCAGGACAGTATGTTCGTACAGACTGTCACGTGATTAGGACTGAAACTGGGACCAGACCAGGATTAGACCGGGACTGAGACCAAGACTGAAAGAAGAACAAGACCAGAACCAGAACCAGGTTGGGACTGAGACCAGTCCTGGTTCAGTCCGTATGTGACGCAGAAGTCCAGCATTGCAGCTTAAGTCACGGAAACGGGAAACGACCGTTATCCATTTTTTCCATTATTCATTTAAATACAAAATCTTTTTTTCATTTTGGAGACAAATAATGAAGAAAACTGTTGTTTTTTTTCTTATTTTTTGTTTTATTTTGAAAAAACAATGAGCGAATGATACACAAATTATCACCATAAGTCATGATCACTACCACATTTAATGATTTGCACATTGGTGTAGGATTTCTTTTTATATTTCTTTCTGACATTATTTGCTTTAGATTACTTAATAGATGTAAAATGGCTATTCAGCTTTCAATATAAAATGTTTTTAGGCTTTGGTGCACATAAGCACAAGCTGCAAGTCTCAGTATGTACCTTTTAGACAAAAAAAAGACTCTAGAAAAGACTTTAGACTCTGCAAACCTTATATTTGGCCTGTCGGACAGCCTCCACCTGCTTGTTTCCATGGAAATGTTGTTCCTTTGGCTCAAATCGTCCACAATATGGCAAAAAAAAAAAAAAGCATCTGTCTCCATGGAGAATATATGCTGTGATTCTAACTTCATATTTCCATTTAATCATGTAGGTGAGGTGCCACCTTTGAAAGTTACAGTTAAAAGTTGTATTCAACATTGATCTTAATTTAATAGTTGTATGTAAAGATAAGTCTAAGCATATAAATGTTAACTTAATTCCATGCTTATATAGTGACCATTTGTCCTGTGAGAAAAAGCACACGTGGAACAAAAGCCACAAAATTACGGTGTTAAAGAAATGTCAGTTGTATTTCAGTCTTTAGCCTGTGCCCTCCTGTGGTCCATTGCACTGTTAACTCTCACCCTCCACCACCTCTATCACAACTCTGCACTGTACATAGCCTGATCCCTTTCTCTCCTGTTACCTTGGCCCGGACCCCTGAAGTCTTTTGTGCCTTTGTGGGCCCTCAGTGTGAAACCCCTGTCCCATTGTCGGTGCTGTCAGGAGCAGGGCCAGGGTACAGGGGGAGATATAATTTGTTTGACTGTAGAGATCGTATTTGTAATGCGGAGGAGTGCTTCAAAGCTGATTTACTCACTGTATACTGTTACACGGTAATAAATAAAGTGATACAAGACAATGAAGTTGTATTAGTAGACTGGGGGAAGCTTGGTGAGGTCATTCTATTACTTTAGCAATCTGTAATTTAAAAGGCTTTCACTGTGGTGCAGTTAATCTGACAGAGGCCAATAGTTTCAAGTTTATAGGCTAAAAGTAGATGGTAGTTTTGCTGTCCCAAGCTAGGATAAGAGCAGAAAGACTGTGCATCCAGCATTAAAGCTATAGTATGTCATTGAATATATACACTAATACAAACAACAAGTAGATTTCAAATATTCTGGTAACAAATCTGTGGCCTCAGTCCTCAGTGGCCACTTAAAGCCACAGTAATCTTTTTTGCCAAACAATTTACTAAAATAAAAGACAAACATAAAGGGTGAAAAATGAATTTCCATAATTATTATTATGCACTTTGTTTTGACTTTGGAAGACTTTTAGTAGAACGGCCAATACTACATCTCTGGGCTCGAGCAGGTAGCCTGATTCACTTCGTGGAAACCGTCTGACCTCGCAGCATTAGAATTCATTCACTTGACTGTAGGCAGGTACTTTTTTAATTTAACCTATTGCTGCTATTTGGTCGTGACATATGTAACAGGGCTAACCCCGTAGGAAAGAAGGACAATAACGTCTTTCCCTTTGATAAAATTCCCTGAACATTCTCTTTGTTCCGGCTTTAAATCCTCGATCTCAGGAATCGTGCCAACACAGAATTTATGGTTCTTCACTGCTGGTGCCTGAACTCACACTTCCGGGGTTTTCTGATTCCTGACCTAGTCGCTGGAGAGAAATGAAATTGAGCGGAGACACTAGGTGGTGCCAGCCTGGCTACCGAGCAGGCACGGACACTCCTCTGTCTGCTCAAAGAGTCTGAAAACTCCTGAGCCAGGCAAAGGATCTTTAAGTCACTGGGAGACAAAGTCAAATGAGCTGAACATTCATTTCAAAACAGACTTGATAAGGAACAGAAAGCTCTCAGGGATATCTTCAGGACACATGAGGAGCCACCTCGTCTCAAACATGGTGTCTCTCATTTTGAGCTGGTTCAGAACATCTCGAGTTTGAGACAAAGAGAAGAATCAGCATTAGTGCGCAGGACTGTCACAGGACTGATTTAAAGGCTTCAGAAAGGATTCAAATTCAGAAGAGGTCTGGCCTTCCTCTTTCTTCTCCTGCTCAAAGTCCAGTGTATTTTGTTTAAAGCAGAGTGTCATGAATAAAGCAGGAGTTAATGCAAAGAAAAAAAAAACTAAAAAAACTAAAAATCAACCAACACTTCCACAGATCTGACTACTAAAGTTGGCTCAGTTGCACCCACTTATCTCCCTGGAGTAGATGAGTTTAATGTCATACTGTGGAACATTCCAGGCGTAACAATAGCATTTCCATGGAGACAAGCAGGTGGCAGACCCTTGACAAGAAAAGCTAGCTCTCCTTTAACAAACACACAAACCACTTCTATACTGGCCGTCTTTAGCTCCACCACCAACCACTTTTATACAACAACATCTGTGTTTTTCTGTACATTATTTACACTGAGAGCCTGCCCTTTCAAACGCTCCTTTAAAGCAGAGTAAAGATCAAATGGGGAAATGAAGTAGGACTCCTGAAAGGGGCACACTTCAGGCTTTTAGCTGCACCGGAGATCTTATATTGTCCCCACCGTTGCTATGGCTCCAGTCTGTGTGGACCTCTGCGGGTCTTCTGGGCGGAGGGGGGTGGTTTCCATGGAGACCGGTGAAGTTTGAGATACCTGGGTCCTATTACTGTTTTCTTTGTTTGACTATGCTGTTCGTCTTAATTGTTTTTCTCAGCAGGTTTTTTCTTATCCTGTTGTTTATTTATTTATTTATTTTATTTATTCAGAACAAGCAAGAGCATATTTTTATTTTTTTATATATATATTATTTATTTCAATATTTGATTACTTTGTTGTTAATTCACTTTGAAACTATTTTTTAATATTTTGCTACATCCATTGATATCGATCTTACAGTATAAATTATGGATTTCAAACCAGGTTAAACTAAACTAATTATGCACAAGTTTAACATCAGTATTGTTGTGTAGATTGCGATCTTGTTCATATTGTAAAAACCCAAACTCTTTGTAACTGCAGTGAGTTTCAATGAAGTTTGCCTGGGTTCTGTTGATGTTTTGTTGCTATTGATACTTTAAGCTGATATTATTAACATTCTGTGGGTATTTAATGCTAATGTAGCCATTACTCTGTCTAAATCTCTGTTTGACTTTAATATGAGCTTTGTTTTACCCAAATCTGACCATAAAACTGACTGAACTACAACAGGAAAGCTGATTTGTGCTGTTAAACTCTTTAAATTACAGTCACAAGCCAACTAGCATTAGTCAGTCTCACTTTTTTATTGAATATCAAGACCATGAATGTTCGTGTTGATCACAGGATCCTGAAAATGTGTTGTTGAAATCCATTTTGTATTTTTTTTCTTGACTTTTAGATTTTTCTTTGGTAGTGTTTGACGTGTACATTGTGTCACCTTGATAAGTGCTGAACATTCAGCCATAAAAATACATGTAGAACCCCCCAGCTTGTTATCACTGCATAGTATCAACTGATAACATATTATTCTCAAAATGTAAATTCATAAATGTTGTACCTGCTCAGTTCAATTTGTGATTTGGCTGCTATATTACAACAAAAATGAGCATTCTAATAAAAGCCTGTAGATTTCTGCGATGTTACCTGAAAATGGATAAAGTGTGTATTTTCTCTGACTCTGTGGTTATGTGTGCAGGGTGAAGAAGCTGAAGGAGACCCTGGCGGCGGTGCAGCAGCTGGATAAGAACATGAGTAACCTGCGCTCGTGGCTGTGTCGCATCGAGGCCGAACTGTCCCGACCCATCACCTACAGCGTGCTCCACCAAAAGGAGATCCACAAGAGGCTGGCCGAGCACCAGGTCTGTGACAACACTTGGAGATCTTACTGGGAAATCTGCTAGGAGCTAAATATACAGAAAATAATGAATCCAGTCCCCTTTATTTCTATAGAACATTTCATAAACAAAGTCTGTTTCCAAAGTGCTGCACACACAGAAATAGAAAAGCTACTATTTAATACAATAAAAATAAAAACTAATAAATTAGACAGTAAAATAGTTCCATTGGAATACATATATAAAATCAATAAAACAAAACATGAGTCATACATACACACACACACATCTTATCGATAAGCTGCTCAGGCTGGTGAACATCTGACTCATGCCTTACAGCAGGTCTCAAAATGGCTTAGAGTGTCACAAAACAGTTTCTCTTTGTTTTTCAGTGCGTATAAAAACAAAAAACTGTGACTTTGAGCTGACACAATGTGAAAATTGAAATAGTCAGTGAAGTTAAATACCTTAGCCTCAGTCTGGACAAAAATCTCAAATTTATCGGTCACACAAAATATTTAGCGAAGAAGATTAAAACAAGTCTCAGTTGTTTTCGTTTTATACATAAAGATCTAACGCTCCATACTTCTAAACTATTCATGAACACAATGATCTTCTCTCATCTATCTTATTGTATCACCTCATGGTCACAGGCCTCTTCAACCACATTGAAACCGCTCTGTTCATTATACAAACTAACCCTAACATAAACTTTTTAACTTTGAAAATTTTACCAATTTTAACTATCTTAAAGTGTCTTAACTGTGATACATCACTATTCTGAAAAAAAAAAAGCTAATGTTGTCAGAATTCACTCTCACCCTAGCCTGCATAGGGTTTGAACAAAGCTGATCCACTATATATAAGCTACAATTTCTGAATTAACATGAAAATTATTTATTACCTACTTACCCAACTATGACTATCCAAATATTTTCACATCAGCATTTGTTTTCTTTTTGTTTCAGCGCAAATTACTATAGTGTACTGTTTTACCTAAGAGCATTTGTTCTTCACTCTCCCCTAATTACACTCTAGTTTCTGTGAGGCCATGTTAATAATTAATGCACAATTGTTTAAATTTGGGAGTGGTTGTGTGTCTGTACGCCCCCTGCTCATGTGCTGCCTGTATCTGTATAGTCCCTGTGTATTCTGTGTATGTTCACGGTCTGATGTCTGTGTATGCGCGTGTACAGGAGCTGCAGAGGGACATAGAGCAGCACACAGAGGGGGTGGTGTCCGTGCTCTCCCTCTGTGATGTTCTGCTCCAGGACCAGGATGCCTCACACGGGACAGGGGCAGACACTGACTCTCTGCAGGAGACCAGCCGCAGCCTGGACCAGCGCTGGAGGACCATCTGTGCCATGGCCTTGGACCGCAGGCTCAGGTACAGGACACATGTCAACCACAAATAAAGGCCTTTGTTTGTTGGATACAATAGAGCAGAAACAGAAAAAGAAACATCATGATTCTCTATGCTAGGCCAAGAAGAGTACAAAGTTTGATAACACTTTATTTTAGGGTTCACTTATTAACATCTAACTACCTGCTACTTAGCATAGTTGTAGATTGTTAATTTATTATTAATTAGTATTTATTCAGCCCTTATTAATGTCTAATTCCCCATAAGCTTATTCTGCTATTAATACACTCATTATTACTGCTTATTAGTATGATACTAGGCCATTTTTGTCCATGAATTGTTTTGTACAACTATTCATACATGAACTATTAATATGCATGTCACAATACATGAATTAAGTGTGAAGTAGAGACCGCTTTAGAAAAGGGACCATATTTCATTTTAATTTGTGTCAAAGTCATAATTTATTAACTACGATCAAAACATCACTTTAGAATGGGGAACATATTTAGAGCTTAATGACTTAATCCATGGCTAGTTGGACTCTATTAACACTTAATAGAGAGTGTTTCATTACACAAGAGTAAGCAAAATGTATTAAGTGCAAATAAGTCAAAACTACATTTACTGTGCTACTAGTCCTTAAAAAACTTATTGGAATCATAATTCATGGACAAAAATGGCCTAGAATCATACTAATAAGCAGTAATAATGAGTGTATTAATAGGAAAGTGTTTGTAAATATCTAACTAATAGCAGAATAAGCTTACGGGGAATTAAACATTAATAAGGGCTGAATAAATACTAATTAATGACACATTAACCATCTACAACTATGCTGATTAGCAGGTAGTTAGATGTTAATAAGTGTACCCTAAAATAAAGTGTTACTAAAAGTTTAAGAATTTAGCTTCTTTAAAAAATGCAATAATTTATCTGGATTAATTTGTAGGTTTCAAAGTAATGAAAAAACATCACTGTTGCCATAGCTGTATAAATATATCTTTGGAAAGGTTAAAAGTGCTCAAAATTATGCCTTCTGGCAACAATCCATTTGTGTTTGAGCAGTGATTATCTTTTTTGATAAATCTTACATTTGAATAAAGAGTCTACATTATAGCAGTTTATAGTTCATAACTGTATTCTTATTTTGTTCATAATAGTATTCTTAGCTTTTCAAACTATTCCAAAAAGAGATCAGTGTTGTGACTTTACACCTCACAGAATTTAAATTAAGCCTAATGTTAAACCAGTGCAGGTTTTAAGATGCTAAAAACATTCAAAAGTATTCTGAAACACTATGTAATTTGATTTAAGTATTTAACAGTGACCCAGCAGCTTTTCCATTGCTCTTTTGTCTTTTGTTTATACTGTTTTTGCCAATTAATCTCTATGGAAATGTTTGACATTTGGGCCAGAGTTCTATTCAAAATCTTTTCTTTTTATTTTAGATTTGAGAGCCTCTTTGTTTGTTGTAATTAGCAGAGTGCCCTTTCGAATCATATTCCATTTGTTCAGACTCGGTGTGTGCAATGAATAGTGTTTCAGGTTTTATGATATCAGTATTCTTTCTTTTTTTATGATGTTTTTTTTGGAGTAAATAAAAAAATTACAATGTAAACTTATGTTGTGTGTGTAGAATTGAGGAGACTTGGAGACTGTGGTGTAAATTTCTTGATGACTACTCGCGTTTTGAAGACTGGCTGAAGATGGCTGAGAGGACCGCTGCCAACCCCAACACCGGAGACGTCCTGTACACCGAGGCCAAGGAGGAGCTCAAGAAGTTCGAGGTCCGTTTGAAACATATGGAGTGGACAGTGTGATTTCAGCCTGTTTCCAATCACACAAATACTCACACCCTCAAAATATACGAGCCTCTGATGAACAGAAAGTATTTTTATGCTCCATGGTTTTTTATTTTTGTGATTTATTTGTTTTTTACTGTGAACCTGAAAATATTTAAACCAAACTTTCCCAAATCAGGGGAATAATTCTGAATTTTAAACTAGTGAGAGGTCTGTGAGCTGCTTGTCTCTATAGATATGATATTGCTTTGCCTGGAATGTTCCACAGTACGGCATTAAACTTATCAATCTAGCATTAAAATTTTAATAACATAGATTGATTCTTATTGTGTGCAGGTTTCCCTCTCCTCAGATGTGACCTGTAATTTAGCCTGGAGATGGATTACATTTCAGGAAAAGCTATAAACTTGGAAACAAGAAAGTGGCAAACCATCCATCAGAAAAGTTACACATTACACCTTTAAATAAACTTAATGGGTTATGAAAGTTAGGAATGATAAGGATGGTTCCAATGGTCCAAGAATTTGCAGAAATGGGGATTAGAGATTCTCCAAAACTAGAACACAAATCTACCTTTAAGATATTAATTATTATTTTTAAGGAAGGCATTATGAGTATAAATTAACCTTTATTCCAACCAAAATCCTTATGTTATCTTGTCCTTTTGCAGAGTTTCCAGAGACAGGTCAATGAGCGGTTAACCCAGCTGGAGATAGTCAACAACCAGTACCGGCGCCTGGCCCGGGAGAACCGCACGGACCGGGCCAGCCAGCTCAAAGCCATGGTCCAGCAGGGGAACAGGCGCTGGGACGCACTGCACCGGAGAGTGGCTGCCATCCTACGCAGACTCAAGGTAAAACGATGAATAATAATAAATGTCACTACAGTTATAGGAAATGACCCCGTTGTGTACTCAGTTAAGCTGCTGATCACACAGTGGCTCTCTCACTGTTAGTATGCCTGTCAGCATCTTTTTAAATGAACTTTAAAATGTTCAGATTCACTTCCCTGACCTGCCAGTCCTGTTTATATTCTGTTCGAATCCTGAAGGGACTGGACCCGGACATCGTAACTTAAGATGATCCAACCACAGCTGCTTATTTGTATCACATGTCTCTCAAATGTGGAGACATATCCCCTCCCTCCAAAATTGTCATATCATTCAGAACAAAATATATAACTTCTTTTACCTGAGATAAATTATAGTTTGCTGCTTTGATTTCGTTGATTCTGCAAAAATCCAAGCTGTTTCTCAGTCCTTTATGTTGTTTTTAAACCACCATGTGTTGATTTTAATGTGAAGCACTTTAGTCTTCTTCACTCTATAAATAAAGATTGATTGAGGTTTGCTTTTGACGCAAACAGACCCTGCGTCTTTCTGATTGGTTTATCCACCTGTCAATCACATCCTCTAAAATCAGGGAGTCAGGATATGGCTACAGATCCACTCATCTTTGTAAAGTTTTCTCAAAGCGTGTTGTTCTGACTGGCCAGGTTTCACATTTAAAAAGTAAAACACTGAAAATCTAAAACTAACTCTTGAACTTTTAATATTACACCTTAAATAGAGGAAGAGTCCAATTTTACACCTAAATATATCAACTTGTAAATGATTAGACATAAAATTCACTTTAAAGATGCTGCTTTCTTTAAACCTATTAAAAAAATATTAGTTTATTCTCTAATAGTTAAAGTACACATAGAACTACTGAATCAATAAGCAAAACATTTAAAATATGTTATGCTAATGTGAAACTGTGTGCTCCATAGTATTTCACCAGTCAGAGGGAGGAGTTCGAGAGCACCAGAGAGAGCATGCTGGTGTGGCTCACTGAACTGGACCTGCAGCTCACCAACGTGGAGCATTTCTCTGAGAGCGACGTGCATCACAAGATACGACAGCTCAATGTAAGACAACACACGCACGCACGCACACACACACACACACACACACACACACACACACACACACACACACGCTTATTTATGCACGGGCCCTGTGAAAAGTGAAAACCAACTCAGAGTTATGACTTCAATTGTACAAATCTATCTGAATCTGTACAATTAACATCATAACATTTTTTTTATTTATTTGTGAAATTGAAAAGGTTTTATCAGAAAATATCTAAAAAATATTATAAACCATTGAAAACTATTTTTTAAAATTATGTAAAATAAAAATGTGCTTAATTTTGTTCATGGGTTTCAGCTTCCATTTAGGGGCAACAATTTGATCATTTTTGACCTTTCAGATAATACAATATTTAGTTTTAATTTGATAATTGCTATGACAACTGTGCTAATTTTTCATTACTCTGAAATCCATGAACAATAACTACAGTCCCTTGTAGATTCCTGCCACGCTGTTTTAACATTTTGAGCCAGAAGACACATCATCCTCATCAAAACTCACTAGAATGAATTTATTGCCTAACTTAATTTTTAAAATCTCAAAAAACTCTCTATTAAAGTATCCCATATCAGTCTGGAGTATTTCGCCTATCTGCACACATAACATCTTGCTGTAATTACCCTTTCTTTTACAGCTCATTTAGCTCAGCCCATCCCTACAATCTTTGCTCTTTTTTTCCCTTTAGAGCTTCCAGAAGGAGATCCGGCTGAACACGGAGCGTATTGACGGACTGATCGTGTTTGGGGAGGGCCTGATCCAGCGCAGTGCCCCAGGGGACGCGGAGATCATCGAGGACGAGCTGGAGGAGCTGCACTCATACTGTCAGGAAGTGTTTGGAAGACTGGTGCGCTTCCATCACAGACTCAGCCAACCCCCGGTGAGAGAGAGACACAGACATGTTATCATTGTGTCCTTAGGCAAGACACTTTACCCACCGTGCTACTGAATTTATGTATTTATGTGCAGTTGGTGGGTAATGTAAAGGCACAGATTGGCAGTCATGGTTTCTTTAGTCAGTTTCAAGTCAAGTTTTTTGGCTGGGGGTCCATCACCTGCTTATTTCTATGGAGATGTCATTGCTCTGTGTGGAATGTTCCACAGTGTGACATCAAACAGCTCTACCTTACATTCATTAAATTACAGGTGGGTTTATAGCTCAAAAATCCATAGAAAAACAGGCATTCTGACTGTGTGCAGGCTTGCCTCTCCACAGATCTAACCTGTAGCTTAGTTCATGAAGATAGAAAGGCTTAATACCATACTGTGAAACAATAGCATCACGGGAAAAAGCATCTGACTGGCCCTCCACCAGAAAAGTTGCACAATTGACCTTTAAAGATCATGCCTAAGAAGTATTTGTTTATCATTATCATTATTTGGCATCTATTACAGTAATATCCATGTCCAAAAACAAGCCTAAGAATGCATCTTTGTCAAGATGTTCTCAGCAATAAAAACATCCATAAAAAAAAAGATAATGAGATCATAAAATAAAATAAAATAAAAAATGTGAAAGACAGGAACAGTTCATTTTAAACAGTTTGCAAGGCTCCAGTTTCTCCTAACTTCCTTAACTCATTCTTAGTATCCTAATTATTCACGGCGATTAGTTTATAAGCACTTTTCACAACTTTTAGATGTAAGAGCAGAGTTTTACCTTCATGCCACCGCAAACAACTACTAGCATGCTCACAGGCGAATGATTAATAATAAATAATAATTAAAGATGATGGAGATGCCACACAGCAGCCTCACTTAAAGCCATTTTTACAATATATCTTTACTAGAGCAAAACAAAATTTTACTTTATTACATGAAAAAATGCGTACAGCCATTTTGAAGCTGAACAATATTTAAAATTCTCTCTATCAGGGGTCTCCAACCTGTAACTCAGGAGCCACTTGTAGCTCTTCATCCCCTTCCAAGTAACTCACCAAAGGATTTCTCAGTTATACGTATTGTGCTCAATAAGAAAAATTTTATTAATTAAAGGCCTATTACCATTGTAAATGTATAATTTTGTTGCCTAATTCTGTACACTAATAAATGTTTTATAGACATATAGCTGTACCTTCTCTAAGGTTCGTTGTGGCTCTTTTATTTACTAAATTTCTTGTGACCACTAAAACTAGTAGCTCTCTGGCATTTTTATTTTGTAAAATAGCTCACCAGAGGAAAAAGGTTGCAGACCTCTGCTCTATATACATGCTACAATTGACTTTTTATCAGCTAACTCATTGTCCTCCTCTGCCTTAGACCCCAGCGGAACCCGAATCCCCCATCACCAGCTTCTCCTTGGAGTCCAGTTTGGCTCTGATTGGCCGGCCGTGGTTGGGGCGGAGCCTGAGCAGCCCTTTGGTCACACCCACTCACCTGCTGGCCACGCCTCTGTCACGCTCGGGCCGAGAGACTCCTGTGAGCGTAGACTCTCTGCCCCTGGAGTGGGACCACACCGGAGACGTGGGAGGGTCTTCTTCACATGAGGATGAGGAGGACGATGACCTGGACGATGAAGGGGCGTATTTTAGCGCAGGTAATTTAAATATTTTTTAAGTGTAGATTTGAGTTCGTGGAAATTTAGTTTTCAGGTTTGTTCGTTTCCCCATTGTTCCACCTCCCATACTTGACCCATCTCTACGTCTTTGAAACACTTTGCTTTTAGAATACCATTGCTTTGGACTTAAAGGTGATTTGCCGTATTTTTACTGTCTTAAAAATGTGAAAAACAGATCTGGTTCATTGTAAACAGTTTGCAGCAGTCAAAAGTTATTATTTATGAGTTGGAAGTATCCTAATTATTCACCCCGATGAGCCAGAGTGGTGTTTTGCTGTCAGCTACAAGCATGCTAGTGTGCACTTCCTGATTCTCGAACAGTAAGCTCTTTAAATAATTAGATGCAGACAGCACACAGCGGCCTCTTTTGACCCTAAGAGCTTCTTTTACAATATATCGTCAAATTTTGATTACCGGTGTATGGTTTTGGGGAAAAGGTTAGACGGCATTGTACAAAAAAATACAGGTGGAGTATACTGTTGGAACCAAGCAAAAATCAATGACAGAAAATCAATGACAGATAAATCACCTACACTGAAAGATTGGATAGACTCACTTTTGCGACTGGAACACGACAAACACAAGGAAAGCTGGAAACCATGGAGCGTCTTCATTAACACTGAAATCTAAAAGAGAACTTGTAATGACACCCTTCTTTCTTTGGCTACTCAATTGTTTATTTTATTTTTGCATAAAAGAAAAGATACTTACAAATACGAAACTAGAGATGTATACAGAAATAAAATGACTAGTCTATTGGTTTGGGGGAAAAGAAAACTAACGTAACAATGTTTGATAACTTGTGAACTGTAATTGATTAAAAAAAACAAAAAACTTGGGTACAGCCAATTTAACAGAGGCAACAGCTGCTTAGAGAGGGTTCAGAAATGCACAAATCCCACACCAAATATGAAAGAAATTATAAAAAATTTAATACAAAATTTGGTTCAGCGCTTAGGTTGGCTATATGATGATGTTGAGCATATTACAATACTTTCTTTACACCTTCAGCATTTTGCGTTTTGGGTGAGAACCAGGGACTTCATTTGAGGCTATTTTAAATTATAGCAAAACTCTTCTGCTGTATTTATTTTTTAATATATGAGATTAGAGGTTAAAGTTTGTCACTAAGCAGTTTCTTAAAAGTATAATTCATTGAAAAGATTCAGATTGTATAAAAAAGACAAAAGTTCCATCATGAATAATTCATCAAAACAAGATTTTTTAAGCACTACTGTATGAATGTAATTTCCAAATTAGCTTGAAAACACTTTGATGCTTGAGTGACTTGAACTTCACTGAAAGTTCCATTGTTAATATTATGAAGCTTCTTATTCAGAGCTTTTTATAAACTATTGTGTATCTACAGACATACAAAACATAAAATGCCTTTTAATAGAGTGCATCCACTTGATATCCTTAAAAAGCCATTTTATTTCACCCACTATTTTTATCTTGTATGTCTGTATCTTCCATAAAACTACATTTACCTTGAGTACTGGAAATAATTTGTTTTTGTATTTGCTCTAGTGTCCAGTCGCTCAGTTTGCGATTCTCCAAGATGGCGAACGCAGGACGATTCAGAGTTTCTCGATCTTGAATCCAACGATCACGGTGAAGCTCCGCCCGCTCTCTCCAGCACACCTTTGCAGCAAGGCAACTATGTAAGACTAACTGACCCCTCCTAAAAATGTTTTGTCCACTTTGTTACCTTTTTATTGACTTTTCATTTCCTCACAGTTGCACCTGATGTCCCAATGCAGCGGGAGCATTGAGAACTTTAAGAGGGTCTCATTGATCTTGGATGACGAGGACACGCCCGAGGAGTTTGGGCTGGTTGGACTTAACGTTTCAGGCAGACAATCAGGTGAGAGGAAGAGATAATTAAGCATGTATAGTTCTCCAGTAGTGAATCATGAAGAATTTGGCATGTATGTTTACTTGGAAGTCTTATTGGAAGTTGGATTTACTCTAAAAACCATAGTTAATATTTCCTGTGCCTTGACAAAAAAGTTTGAAATTAATAAATGCATCTTTAAAGGCCCCATATTAGGCCATTTTCTGATCTATGTTGTAATGTTGTGGGTTTCTTTTGTTTCATTAACACATGTTTAACACACAAATCCTGCTGAGGCTGAGACAGAAAACACCTTGTTCCACCTTGTGATGTCATATGGTAATACAGGAAGTTTTTCTTTTGGATGATTTCAGCACTGGAATTGTCAGTCTCTGCTGAACTAAATGAATAAAGTAGTTGTTCAAATCAAATTTATTTATATACCACATTTAAAACAGCCAAAGCTTACCAAAGTGCTTAACATTGAAATAAAACATACAATAGATAAATCAATGAGAATAATTGTTGTTAACTTGCAAACTACCACTACAAACATCACAAGGACATTTTGAGCTTTGGAGATGTAGACTGGCTGATACTGCAGGATTACTCAAATATGTGTTATGTGTGTGTTAATATGAAACAAAACACAACTCCAGGTATGTTTTTGTTGAGGTAATTGCAATCTAACATGGCTTAAAAGAGTAAATTTTGCGAAATATAGGACCTTTTTTGTTTTTCTGTGACGGCAAAATTTTGAGGATGATTTAACTTTTATATTTGTTTATTTTTGAACAGTCCAAATGAGAATAGTGTCATTTTATAGTTTGAACTAAATACCTACCTACTACAACTACTGCAACCTATAACCTCAAATTTATCGATTGTGCAGCACTATGCACTAGGGGTGTGCAAAAATCTTGAAATATTGATATATTGTATCGTTTAATGTGCTGATACAGTATTGATATTGTGGGCTGCTGTAACAATATATCACCAATTATTACCAAGCATCACCAAGTATTTTTTGGTATATTTTACTAAATTGTTTTGTTACAGAGCTACAGTTTTGTCGCTTGTTCAGAGGAAGGAAACTTATTTATGCAACACTTTTGACATTTTCACTGTTTTAATGAATAAAATGGGTGAGTTTCATATGAACTTTGTACAAGAAGTGGTTTAACAAAGACTTTCAGTATCCCAGCCATCATTTAGAAATTATTTTGAACCGCATCAAATCTTTTTGAAATATATCGTATCGAATCAGAAAGCTCACTGTATCAGGATATATATCATACTGTGGCCTATGTATCGAATCATGTATCATATCGGCAACGTCTTAATGATACCCGGCCCTACTATGGAGTACTTTTCAGGTGAGAGGACTGCCACCTTGTTATAATGGAGAAATTCCACAGTTTCAAGCTTGCATTCATTCAATTACAGATGTTTTCATGCTAAAAAAAACACTTTGAAAAACACGCTTCCTAATTGGTAGCAGGGTCACCTTGCCTCTGGTTGGAACAGTTACTTGACCTGATGAAGTCACCTGCTTGTCTCCACTGACATAGATTAATTTAATACCATTCCGAGTTATATTCCCGGTAACGCAATAGCATCTACCTGGAAACATGCTTGTAACGGACACTCCACCAGGAAAGTTAATCTTTAAAGGTGCATTGTGTAACTTTTGTTTGGGGTTACTTGCTTCTATCTATGAATATGTCATTGCTCTGACTGGAATGTTCCACAGTATGATATTAAACAGCTCTACATTAACATTTATTAAATTACAGGTGGTTTTACAGCTCAAAAATATGTAGAAAAATGGCATTCTGACTGTGAGCAAGGTTACTTCTATACTGAAATATCTGGTTTAGTCCATGAAGGTAGAAAGATTTAATACCTATCTGTGAAACATTCCAGACACAGTGCATCTTTAAGTTTTTCTTTCAGCCTATACTATAATGACGATCTCGCTCTCTCTTTGCTCCAGGAGTGATTGAACGGTGGGAGCTGCTGCAGGCCCAGTCCCAGTCTGACCTCCGGGCCGACCCAGAGGAGGAGCAGCTGTCCCGGGGTCTGGATCAGATCAGCTCCTGGTTGGACACAGTGGCTCCACAGCTTGAACATGTTCTACTGCGTGACCCTCCCAGCACCGTGGAGGACATGAGCAGCCAGGCCAAACAGCTGAAGGTACATACACTACATAAGAAACTCTGGTGGGAGTACAAATGCTGAAATACATGCTCTTTTTAGTGAGTTTTGATTGCAAATATCAGATTATTGTTGTTTATTTATTTCAAACCTGCATATTTAATTGTTTAGTTAGTATCAGCCAGAGGTGGGAACTTGGGCTAAACTCAGACTTGAGGCACTGTTTTTAGGACTTGAGACTTGACTTGGACTTTAAGGTAAGTGACTTGGGACTTGTCTCGGACTTGAGGCCTGTGACTTGAGAAGCACTTTTAAATCTGAATTATTTCTATTCTGATTGGCACTAAGATTTTGTCAAAACATTTAAATAGAAAAAATTAACTAAATGAATTCTACAACTCTTATATACCCATATAAATACTCATATATAACTATACTATGACTTTTTAATTCATATAAATTGCAAAAATCTTAGCTGTATTTGGTACTTTGGTTAAAAGACTTGAAATGACTTGAAGCTCAAAGCAGATGACTTGGACTTGACTTGGACTTATGGGCCAGTGACTCTAGACTTGACTTGGACTTGCTTGTATTTGACTTGGGACTTGACTCGGACTTGCGGTCAAAGACTTGAGACTTACTTGAGACTTACAAAACAAAAACTTGGTCCCACCTCTGGTATCAGTACTGTAGTATTATATTACTTACAAAAATTTACAGCACTATTGTAATGAGACTTTTTATTAATTCTTTAAAATAGCTTTTAGACAATTCCTTTCAGCTTCTCCGTATTTGATAGAGCTTAAGAAAGCAAATGTCCCTATCTTGCAGGATTTGGGGGCGGAAGTGGGACAAAATATTGCAGATGCGGTTGGGAGTGGGACTGAAAAATTGCAATTCTTTGCGGGCGTGGGCGGGAACAGGTCTGAAAATTCTGTCCCGCGCAGACCTCTAGTGGTGGATCCTTCACCAGAAAAGTTACATCTTTAATATCATCACTTTTGTTGTTGTTGTTGTTTTCTTTATTCTCTTAAAACAAAATGGACTTGTGGTAGAGTCTTTTGCAATAATTTAATTTAGTCAGAAAAGCATGATTTATTCAAAAGAATTCTGCTTTTGTTGGACTCCACTTAAGATTTTGAGCTAATATCTTATTCTTTTCTTTTCTTTAGGAGATGCAGAAGATGTTCGCCCAAAACAAGTCCACCATGCTGTCGTTGAATCTAAACATACACGGAGATCCGGATGTTCAACAGAGAGTGGCTTTGGTCAACCAGAAGTGGAGCAAAGCCTGCACTGACCTCCAGCACTGGGACACCTCTCTCAGGAAAACACTAGTGCGCTGCCAGGTGAGACCCAAACTCATTTGCAAAATAGTCTGGATCCAGTATTAATGCAGCCTCACATCCTGCATGATGGCGCATAAATGTCCTCTTAAGATTTCTGCTTCATTTGATCCAAGGAGAAAATGAGCACTACTTATTTGATTAGGGTTGTCTCAAAAACTGGGTGATCATATCATTGGGTTTCATTTTTCTTCAGAATCAGCCATATTTGAGTGTTGCTAAGAATTGAAATCTAAAGTATATTTTTATGAACAAAAAATGGTAATATGTGTTATAAGGCTGGTACAAGATCTCGGGAGACAAAATTGCCACAAGAACGTGCACACAAGAGAAAAATGATTTTGTGAGATTTTTTTTTTTTCATGTGTTTACGTTTAGATTTTTAGACATTTAGAGGTTAGTTTTTACATTGGATTTACTTTTAGACTTAAATTGGATTAAATTCTGTTACAATTAATGACATTTGTTACCGCTAGAGTGGTAAATGTGAGAGTCTTGCCCAGAGACACAACAATAGTATTCCTTCTGGTAGGACTGACGTGTCGTGCTTTTGGTTGGTGATGAACACTGTAACTCCAAATTTACAGCCTCAGATACATATCACCGATATTGCCCATGTATCAATGTGGTGTGTGTGAGTGATTGGTGGGGGATGAAGGGGCAGATGGTGCAGATTGGTCAGTCCACCTCAGGGCAGCTGTGGCTACAACAGTTGCTCACCACTGTAGAGCTTTGAGAGGCTTATCAAAACAGAATAATAATAAGGCCTAATAATAATAGACCTTTTTCACGATCTATGGTAAATGTCACTTACTTTAATGCTTTTCTATGGCAAAATATCTGTGGAAATGTCTCACGTATTTTCCACCAGCTTCATAAATCTGCCCCATCACCAAATCCTCATCCAACAAGATCGACAAATATTCGGCATATTCTGTCCATGAAGAATTTATCCAACTATCAAGGTAAGAAAGACGAAAACGTAAAGGCGAACAACGACTACTGAGAGAACTACTCCTGAGCAAAAGTAACATTATGGTCAAGAATAAAACATAAGTAACTTGTGAACTCAGACTGATTCTACAATTAAAATTAAAAATTGATTTCATGATGTTGATATTAGACAGAGAGTTTTGTGCAGTTTAAATGCGAGAAATGTGATCTGTGAACATGTGTAGCATTCAAACTGCACAAACCTCTCTGTCTATGCTAAAATCTACATCGAAATCGATTTTTAATTTTAATTGTAGAATCGGTCTGAGTTAACAAGTTACTTATTAACAAATGGCTTACTACTTACATTTTATTCATGACCATAACGTTAATTTTGCTCAGGAGTAGTTCACTAATGCTAGTCATTGTTCGCCTTCACATTTTCATCTTTCTTACCTTGATAGTTCTGGATCAATACTCCATGGACAGAATATGTCCTTTGCCGACCTTGTTGGATGAAGATTTGCTGATGGGGCAGATTTATGAAGCTGGTGGAAAAAACACAAGACATTTCCATAGATGTTTTGCCATAGAAAAGCATTAAATGGGAGTTACGTCTACCCTACATCGCGGCACTTCCGGCCATTGTAAAAAAAGAAAGGTCTATTAACCATAGCATTTATGATTTCACTTAAAATTACAGGAGTTCCATGAAACTCTCCACTCCTTGCTGCTGTGGCTGGCCCATGCGGAGAGCCGACGGTACGCAGTGGACATACACCACCCAGAAACATCGGTCAAAGCTCTCAAACTACACCTCAACATGCTCACAGTAAGTCACCACCTCCACCCCTCTCCTCTCATCTCTACCCTGTCTCACGTCTCTTCACAGTTACATTCTGTTTGTTTTGTTTAGGACGTGCGTGAGGAGCTGGTGCGCAGACAGTCCCAGCATGCCTCTCTCCAGGCCCTGTGGAGCCAGCTGCAGCCGGACGACCACGACGAAGCCCAGGAGAAGCTGCACGTGACGGGGAGCAAGATGAAAATCCTGCTGAGGGAGCTGAGCCAAGACCTGAGCGCAATACAGAGCAGACTGGTAAAGCAAATACATTGTTTACTTTACACAGATACATCTTTGGATTTTTGTTTTAATGCAGGAGGAGGGAGGATTATCTTAAAATTGTAGGCTTTTGCTCAAAAAACATAAAAACTTCCCATCACTAAAAGAAGTTATTGAGGTCACTGTAACTTCTCTACTGCATATTAAAGTCAGTACATGTAGACAGTGCGAGACAAGCATTCACTACCTCACTGATTCGCATTTCAGCTGACGTTTTGTGTCAAATTTAAGACTGTGGAATATAGTTTTTGAAGTACTTATTTATTTATTTTTTTATATGGTTACATATAAATATAATATAAATTATGTCTCCAAGAATTTATAAGAAAGAAAGAAGTTATATACATACACTACGCATACAGATTAATATTAAACTACTACTTAGGGATGTAACTATAACCGAAATATCATGATATCGTATCATCAAAGTTATCACAATAATATCGTGGACCATCACAATATATTGATTTCAAGTCTCTTAGCTTAAACTAAGAGTTATGGTGCAGCAATAGCTAAAAAAAAAAGACAGAGAGAACTACATAGACCATGATCCTTTGCCCCATTTCAGTGCAAACTATATGAAGAAATAACAGTTCTAAGCACTTTTAAGTCTTAGTTCTTTAGATTAAGTTTTGTCAAGGCATTTTAAAAGAAAAAAGTAGTATATGAACAGTTTTGTTAGCCTCCACAAAATATCACAATAAATATCGTAGGCTCATCATGAGATTTGGAGACATTACACTCCTACTACTTCTACACCGCTGCAGTACATCCAGAACGCTGTAGCTTGGGTCCTGACTCCAACTAGGAAGTACGAGCACATGCGTCCTGTGCTCAGGTCTCTGCACTGCCCCCTGTGACTCAGAGAATAGACTTTAAAGCTTCTTCTTGTGTACATGTCTCTCCATGGCTGAGCACCAAAGTACATTTGTGAAATGTTAGTGCCATATGAACCATCTCGCACTCTGAGGAGCTCAGGGACCGGCCTCCTTCTGATGCCCAGAGTCAGGACTAAACACGGGGAATCAGTGTTTCAGATTCATGCAGCTAAAACCTGGAACAATCTTCCTGAGGATGTGAGACAGGCCTCTACTTTGATGCTGCTTAAATCCAGGCTCAAAACAGTTCTGTTTAGCTGTGCACATGACTGAAAGGTTTTATTTTTCATCCTGCACTCTTCTCTCTAATTTAATGCCTCTCTCTCATTTTAATTTTATGATGATTATTTATTTATTATTATTATTTATTGTCTGGGGAGAGGAAGTCTGGGAGTCCCTGCTTACTGCTGCGACCCGGCCCTGGATAAGCGGAAGAAAATGGATGGATGATTATTTATGTTTTGATTTGTTTTTATTGTGATTTTAAAGTGTTTGTTATTCTGTAAAGCACTTTGAATTACTTTGTGTACAAATTGTGCTCTACAAATAAACTCGCCTTGCCTTACACAAGCTACTTTGAGGAGTGCCAAACGCTGAAACTTTATGTCCAGTTGAAATAATGTAACCTTTATTTATTTTATTGCAGGAAAATGAACCTGACGAACAAGACCAAAGAGCATCCAAGAAAAAATCTCCCAATTCAAGGTGAACTCAATATACTTTTCTTCCCAAAACTGTAATCTTTCCAAATATTTGATAGAAAACTCACTTTTCGTTTTGTTTTTCCCAGAGAGAGGAGAGAGTCAGCCCCGCGGTCCTTCTTCTACCGGCTCCTCCGTGCGGCCTTCCCCCTGCAGCTGCTCCTGCTCCTGTTGCTCCTGATGCCCTGCCTGATCCCCATGACCCCCCCGGAGCAGAGCTGCACGGGGACTAACAACTTCGCCCGCTCCTTCTACCCCATGCTCCACTACACCAACGGGCCCCCACCCACATAACTCTGGACTTTACTCAGAAACAAATCATCATGTAAATGTAAAATACCTTGAAACGTGAGGCAAGAGAAATAGTTTGTTCAAATTGGACTGAGAGTGCAGGGTTGGCAACAGCTGCTAAAGGTTCATTGTGTAACTTTTTGATGTCATTAGTTGTCATCTGCCTGGAATGTTTCAAAGTTGGATTTTTTCTTGCATTTACAATCACAGGTATTTTAATTCTCAAAAATACCTTGAAAAAACGCACTGGTCTGGTGGTGTCATTTTGTGTCTATGGGGCTAGATTAAGTTTAATGCCATACTTTGGAACATTCCACTTATGCTACATCTCCATGGAGACAAGCAGATGGTGGATCTTCTGTCTGAAAAGTTACAGAGTGCATCTTTAACTGTTGGCTTAAGATAAAATACAGTTTAACATGTTTTGTGCATTTCCACGTTTGTAATCGAGTAAAACAAACAAAAGATAAAATTTTAGTTTTAAATTTTCTACGTCGTCAAAGTTTTGTAAACCGTTCCACAATTGTGCATATATTTTGTATGCGTTGACAAAGAGTATGTTTTTTTTTTTTATACTTGGAACACTGGTTAATTTAAATGTATTTAAAATTAATATTATGTCCCTTTTTATATCTGGATTACATTTCCACAACACTGTAGATGTTTAAAGAATGTGTTTAATATAATTTGTATTTATAATGGATGTTTGCACTCAATGTTTTGCTAGTAAACGCTGAATTTGAGATGGTGTGTTTTTGTGATTATTTGACAAACATAAGAAAAAGAAAACAAGAAAGTCGCATGGTTCATATAACTGTATTTTGAGGCACTGTGATGACGTGATGTAAGGCATTTCTTCCATTGAAATCAGATGGCACATGTTATAAAACCAGTACAGTTACAGTATTTACAGAGATCGGTACAAATAGCTGGATAAGTGGGTGGCGTACAGTACTGTGCAAAAGCAGCTTATGGGCTTTGGAAAACAAGTGTCTGTGAGAAAAAACATTAACACAACAAAATAGAGACCAAAATCAAAGATATAAACTGAAAATAAGGGAAATATTACACTGCTCTGGGGGTATTAACTGCTAATGCGTAACATATTTAGGTCACCAAGTTGATTTTTATTGTTTTGAACATGTCTCGCCTTCCTTTGCTCCTCATGCTGAGTCACTCCCCCTTCACAGTGCCGTCACATTACAATCTGTGCATTTTACTATTGAAAGTACTGCACATCGGATCATGTTTGTTCAGTTGTCATGCATTTTAGATCATGCTTGTTTTTTAATTTATGGAAAATTGCTGCGCTTTTGGGCTGAGCTTTGGAGAATTTTGTAGTTGAGTTCGAATAAGGCCCAGGGGAGATAGCAAAATAATTTGAAAATGCATGGATGAAACCACTTCAGGCACATTTTTGATGAGGAAAAAAAGATATAACATGGTAGAAAGCTCCAAAAAGTAAATATATACATAATATCCCCTCTTTAAGATGCCATTTAGTGCAAACTGGTAAAACAAAGTATGTTTTAAGTCTAAATAAATGAGTATCCTTGTCCATATCTGACGAATGGTAGGGAATAATGGGGAAAAATATAAAAAAATGTAATGTGTAAAATCCCTCAGTCATCCAGGAAAAAGAGAAATTCAATTTGTCATCTGGACAAAAGTTTATTTGGTCGAATACGTTTCACAGCTCATCCAGGCTGCTTCTTCACTTCTCTTCAGTTCATTTCTCCCTTTGCCAGAAAAATGTAATAAACTAAATCTAAGTAAGTGCAACATATTGAATTAATCTGACTTTTGCACAGCACTGCAGGCCTAACAGAGAACTGAGAAGGCTATAAAAGTGTTATGGTGCGTGAGATTCAGATGTGATGTGTTACAGGTACTGTATATCTACAAAGTTGAGAGCAAGCCATCCTGATTGTCAAAACTGCACAGCAAGATAGCGAATACTTTCATACAAAAATATTTTTGTTCAAGCAAATTATGAGTGCAACTTTGTCATCAGAACATATACACAAAAGGCTGAAGAGGACACTTTGGCAGGTGGTGATCATTAGCACCCTCTACTGGTCAAGGTAATGTACAAAAGCTTAGTTTTTTTGTTAAAAAATCGAATTGGTTACAAAAAATGAAATGGTACTACTAAATTCAGCTGGTAATTAGCTGCTGGTGCACAACTCTAACCTTCTTTGCATTGGATTTTTAATTTTTGTTCATTAAAGAGTCAGTTTTTGTTCAATGTATGTATGTATTTTACGAATTTAGAGCCAATTTGATGAGCTAATTTAAATGTTTAAATTGAGAGATTTTAGTGTGTTGTGCCCTTGAGCAAGGCATAGCAAATGAAACTAGCTGTAAAAAGGCATTTAACAGTTGCTGGGTTTCTCTGAGCTGCCATGTTTGTTTATAAAGTATATTTTTCTGAAGTGAAAGAAGAAATAGTTACAACAATATGAAATGAATAATAAGTACAACTACTGCTTAGGCCTTGTGGTGCTAAGGCAACGACACAGGTTTGGTTTGTCTGAAGTTACGACATAAAAACACTACGTTTGACCACTAAGCTCACAGTCGTTGAAATTCCCTCCCAGAATATTCACTTTTCTGAAATCACTGAGGCGCTTTGAAAATTTCTGATGGCTGACTGTAGTCCCCACTGGGAGTCCATGTGTTAGACGGACCGCTGAGGGGGCTGAGTGGTGTCTCCTGAGTCACCGTGGGGTCCCGGGGGTCCAGCTGTGCGGGGTGACGGGGCAGGCGAGAACTGTGCATGATGTGGGCGTCCAGCATCTCCAGGAGCAGGTCGTACAGAGGCACCATGTTCTTCATCTTCATGCAGTGGAGGTGGTCCATGCCTTTGTTGCTGAAGATTGGAAATACATAAAAGAGAAATAAATCAAGATACAGCAGGTCATATTATTACCATTTATTAGAGATGTAATGATATCCAAATCTCTCTGAACAATTTTATCACGATATGCATCTCACGGTTACAATATTTATTGCAATATTTTGGAGAGGCTGATATAATTGTAGATGCTTTCTTGCTTTTAAAATACCCTGACAAGCTTTTGGTGTGAATTATTTCTGTCATAATCTCAAGAATTCAAGCAAAAACATATTACTTCATGTTGTCTGTACTGAAATGAATCATGGGATATGTAGTTCCCGATGTTTATAAGCTATTACTACTATAAAAAAATCGCATTTAAGCAAAGGAACTCGTAATTCGAAATATTTTGATGCCCCACATATTATTATTGATACGATATCACGATATTTTGGTTATTGTTACATCCATGTTACATGTGTGAGCTACTGTGTGCAAATAATTTCCCTTGTGGATCAATAAAGTTTGTCTAAATAAGTCTAAGTACTTATTTTAAAGGTGCATTATGTAACTTTTTGGTTGGGGTCCGTAATCTGCTTGTTTCTACAGATATACTGTATCACTGCTCTGCTTAAAATGTCCCATATTATAGACATTAAAATGATGTTAAGTTGTTATTTAAATCATATTGTACACCGTTGTAAACAGCCCACCTCTGGATTAATACAAAAAAGCCAGTTTGCAAAGACTGCAGGAGGCTTACAGTGATGCTTTGCAAATGTTTTTGAGGAGACCACAATGGACGAGTGCGATGGAGATGTTACTGTTACTGCACGAGTGAACACTTTGCAAGCTGCACTAAGAATTTTAATGCACAGTTTTATTTGCAGGCTGAAATAATTGGACCACGAAATAATAATGTCACTCACAAATATGAAATTCAGTGCAATACGATAAATGTTTGTTCTTTCGTAATGTCACTGTCCTTGACTGTTTTAAAATTGGACCATAAGTCAGGAATAAAGATGAACTGAACTGAAATGATTAAACAGCACTACGTTTCATTTATTCAATTACAGGTGGTTTTACGGCTCAAAAATACCCACAAAAACAAGCATTCTGACTGAGAGCGGAGTCGCCTCTCCACAGATCTGACCTGCAACTTGATCTGGTTTGGTCTTCATGCAGATAGAAAAGGTTAAATACAATAATGTGAAACATTCAAGACAAAGAAATAAAGCATTTGATGAACGCTCCACTAGAAAAGTTACACTACAGGTTGCAAATTTTAATTCATCTACATTTATTTAATTTTTGAAGTGGACCTTTCATTATTTCATTTTACTAGCGTTTTCCCTTTTGTGAATATTTCTGTTCAAACCACTTTAGAGCAAAACATAAATAAATAAATAATCATCAAATAAAGTAATTTCTAAGTAAAAACCTCATTCACCGAGTAAAAAATTGTCCTGACCAGCCAATTCCTTCTAAATCAGGAACTGGACAATATATTCTAAATTAAATGTTTATAAGACGTCTTAGGTCTGTTACTATGGTGATGAAAGCAATTGTTGTTTGTACAGGCTCTGCAAGGAAAAAATATTATATAATTGACAATATATTAAGAGGTGATACTTAAAATTGTAAATGTATAACTAGGGCTGCATTTGAATCAAAATGTAATCACAAAGGTTGCAGTTTTTTTAAACACAAAATGTCCTCTGCACAGAATATCAAAATAGCTTGTGCTTTTATAGAAAATAATTGTTGCACCTGTGGCTAGACCTCGGCAATCTTGAATTCTTTTATTAGTTTATCAGCTCCTATTTCAGCCTTTTCTCAAATGGTCAGCCTCATAGCACAATTGTATTAGTAATGTTTTGGCAAATTTTGTTTTTGAACTCTCCAGACTCTGCTGCGTCTGTAGGTGTCTGAAAGATTTTTACAGCCAAAAAACACAGACCCAGGCGTCTTACTGACATTTTTATATTTTCCCAAAACCCTTGACAAATGAGTGTGGTTATGCTAGAAGACTAATGAAATGTTAATGCTCCTGGAGTTGTTTACAATGTGCAGTAACAGCAATAGCAATAGTGAGGTGTCCAGTGGTGCAGCTGGTTTAGTTTCTCAACCATCAACCAGAAGATGCCGGGTTCAAACCACGTTAAAAGGCACAGTATCTCCTCCTGCTACAACATGTGTGTCTGTTGTGGTTGGAAGGCACTACAACACTAATCTGGCTGCAATTATAAGCACTCAGAGCACTAATTACCAGTTTACAGTGTTTCAAATTAATTCATTATGAGCTTAATATTATTTCACGCATGGTTTTCAAATAGTGTTTTAAAAGGTGCACGATGCAACATTTATTTTCTAAAGAGATGTTATTGTTTTGCCTGGATTGTTCACTTAAACATATGATATTGCTTTAAACATATTGATCTCACATTTATTCAATTACAGCTGTTTTTATTGCTAAAAGGTTACACAACACTGACTCTTGAGAGCATTTAGCCATGTTAGAACGTTTTTACGTCAGCAAAAACATACCTGGAGTTGTGTTTTGTTTCATTCACACATGTTTGACTAATCCTTTATTAGTAGTTAACAGCTGCTTTTTACTTTTAGGTCAGTAGAGATTGGCCGGTAGCCAGCTGATTGTGTGTTTTCTTTCACTGGACATAAATACGTTCGTGTGTCTGTCCAATCTGAACCCTTCCCCACCCCCCAGATGCTGAGCAGAATTAAATAAAGACAATTTAACGTGTTTTTCATGTAAACCTTAATTCGGAATTATTATTTCCATGTAAACTCATAGGAGAATAATTTAATGCAGAATTAATGAATCTGGAATAATTAAATAGGAATTAAAAAACATCATGTAAACGTGGCCAGCATGGTATTAAACCTTTCGATGTTCATGGAGACCAAACCACACCAAGTTACAGGCCAGATCTGTGGAGAGGCGACCCAGCTCACAGTCAGAATTTTTTGAGCAATAAAACCAACTGTAATTGAATAAAATAAGATAGAGCTGCTTAATGTCATACTGTGTAATAGAAACAAGCAGGTGACGGACCCTCCACCAAAATAGTTACACCACGGACGTTTAAAGTACGATAAAAGACCCGTGTTTACCTGGCGTGCCGTATGTGGGACAGCAGCATGAGCAGGTGGGCCAGGCGCGTGTACTGCTGTCTGAAGCTCAGGCCGGTCTTCGCGATGGCCCACACCAGAGCGTCTGTGACCGCGTCCAGCAGACACAGGAGTTTAGAGCGAGACTGCACCTCCTCGCCGCCGTCCGACGAGCTCAGGCACATGTCTGCACACACACAGGACGCACAGGGAGAGGCAGGTTAACAGGGTCCGTGATGGAGAGATAGAGAGAAAGAGAGAGATCTCCTAAAACTGTAGTTAAAACATCTACAAAGTGTGGACTTGTAGAGAGATGGAGAGTGATGAATAAACAGATTGATAGATAGAGAGAGAGAGAGAGAGAGACACAGAGAGAGAGAGAGAGAGATCGAAATAAAGCAAGAGAGAGGAAGAAAGATCTGAAAAAAAAGTAGATAGTGATAAAAAGAGAGATCTGTAGTGAAGTGTAGTTAAATAAAACATCTACAAATTGGACTTGAGATGGATAGATACATAAATAGATAGATAAAAACAGATAGATAGAAAGAAAGCAATAGAGAGGAAGAAAGATCAGATTTTTGGCAGTTAATTTTTCAGTCCTGTCAAATGTTAATACTAGGTATGTTTAAAATGTTAAAGATAGTTCCATATATAGGCAGATAAACAGAGAGAAAAAAAGAAAGAGATCTTCTAAGGCTGTAGTTAAAACTTACAAACTGTGGACGGACAGACATGGATCTGGAAGTTACGGTAATTTTTTAGTCTAGTGTTGATGCGACTAGATGTGTTTAAAATGTCGGATAGTTCCATATTGAGGCAGATAGACAGATACAGAAAGAGAGAGAGAAAGAGATAGGAAGAGAGTGTTTTTTTTTTCAGTCTTGTCAAATGTTAATGCTACTAGTTGTATTTAAAACGTTAAGTAATCCCATATTTAGGCAAAGAGAGAGAGAGAGAGAGATGGGTAGATATAGAGCAAGAGGAAGGGAGAAGAGGAGAGAGAGATGCACAGACGGAGAGAGAAAAACAGAGAGAGATGGTTAGGAATAGATAGATAGATAGATAGTGAGGGAGAGAGAGAAAGAGCTCTGCTAACTTTGTATTTAAAACATCTACAAACGGTCATCTTGTGGAGAGATGATAGAGAGATAGATAGAGATAGATATATGGATAAATAGAAAGAGAGAAAAAAGAGAAAGAGTTCATATTTCAGTCTTGTCAAATGTTAATGTTAGTAGGTGTGTTTAAAACGTTAAGTAGTTCCATATTTAGACAGAGAGAAAGAGAGAAAGAAAGAGACTAGACTGTTAATTAGACTTCTATTCAGTCTTGTCAAATATTAATGCCACTAATCTGTTTAAAATGTTAAAGTTAAATGGTTCCATATTTAGGCAGATAGATGGAGAGATAAAAAGAGGGAGAGAGAAATGAGAAGACAGAGAGAAAGAAATTATAATTTAGACATCTATTCTCAAAGTCGCAAATTCATTCGCAATAGTAATACTTGTCAAAATTATTTATAATTTCAAATGATTCAACCCTATCTTAAAATTTTCTCATCATTTTTTTGCTGTCAATACAGTGGCATTTATAGGGATGTAATGATATCCAAATCTCACAGTACCATAATTATTATGATATTTTAGAGAGATTAACAGAATTGTACATGTAATTTTTTCCTTTTTAAATACCTTGACCAATCTTCAGTGTTAATCATTGCTGCCATATATAAAGAAATAACAGTTATTTTATTATGTATTAAACTATGTAAATAATCATGGCCTATGCAGTTCCCTCTCTTTTTAATACGTTTATGAGAAAAAACTTGCAATTCGATATATTATGACGGACCACAATATTATTATGAGAGTTCTGACAAAGCGATATCACAAAATTTTGGTTATTGTTACATCTTTAGTCATTTATAGTCAAGGTTAATAAAAGTGCAGTGCAGAACGAAAAAAAATAAAGAATCAATAATTAAACCAGGTTCACACAAATCATGAGTCCCACTTTTTACAGTTCAAAACAAGTGCAGCTTTGGCCAGCCTGTACAGCTCTATTAGTATTTCAAGCACATGTCAAATTTAGTGGAAAAACAAATACAAGCAGAACATTCAGCTCTTTGCTACCAATTTCATCTCCACAGAAAACCAGTGTCAGAACCTATTAGTGAGAAACTGTCTCCCAGCACATTTTCGTGTTTTTAAAGGTTTCATTTGGTCTTGTATGCTCAAAGTAAGCACGCATCTGGTATTAACGGAGAACAAATAATTTTATGTGTGTGTTAGTGGTGAGGAAAGCTCCTGGCATTGGGACAACCATGATGTTCAACCATTAAGGCAAGGTTGGTGGTTCAATCCTTGCTACTGGAAATGTGTCCTTGGGCCAGAGTCCTGCACCAGGTTGGGTACTCGCTGGGAGTTTCTGAAACGGGCGGGTTTTAACATTCTGGAATTTTACGGGCGGGTATACGGGCGGGTAGTGATTACACACAGGCTGGTCAGGACTAAATCAGGACTAAACCAGGACCACAACAGGACTAAACCAAGTCTAAACCAGGTCTAAACCAGGACTAATCTTGGACTTAAGAGAAGGAAAACCCTGAGCCCGTGGAGCAGGGAGTCCGCAAAGAACGATCGGGTGACGGCGCATCAAGCCAGTCAGTTCTGGTTTAGTCCTGGTTTAGACCTGGTTTAGTCCTGGTTTAGTCCTGATTTAGTCCTGTTTTAGTCCTAGTTCAGTCCTGGTTTAGTCCTGCTTTAGTCCTAGTTCAGTCCTGATTTAGTCCTGGTTTAGTCCTGATTTAGTCCTGTTTTAGTTATAGTTCTGTCCTGGTTTAGTCCTGGTTTAGTCCTGCTTTAATCCTAGTTCTGTCCTGGTTTAGTCCTGCTTTAGTCCTAGTTCAGTCCTGATTTAGTCCTGGTTTAGTCCTGATTTAGTCCTGTTTTAGTTATAGTTCTGTCCTGGTTTAGTCCTGCTTTAATCCTAGTTCTGTCCTGGTTTAGACCTGGTTTAGTCCTGATTTAGTCCTGATTTACTCCTGTTTTAGTCCTAGTTCAGTCCTGGTTTAGTCCTCATTTAGTCATAGTTCAGTCCTGGTTTAGTCCTGATTTAGTCCTGCTTTAGTCCTACTTCAGTCCTGGTTTAGTCCTGGTTTAGTCCTGGTTTAGTCCTGATTTAGTCCTGATTTAGTCCTAGTTTAGTCCCGGTTTAGTCATGGTTTAGTTCTGATTTAGTCCTGTTTTAGTCCTGCTTAGTCCTGGCTTAGTCCTGGTTTAGTCATGGTTTAGTCCTGGTTTAGTCCTGGTTTAGTCCTGGTTTAGTCCTGATTTAGTCCTGATTTAGTCCTAGTTTAGTCCCGGTTTAGTCATGGTTTAGTTCTGATTTAGTCCTGTTTTAGTCCTGCTTAGTCCTGGCTTAGTCTTGGTTTAGTCCTGGTTTAGTTCTAGTTCAGTTCTGGTTCAGTCTGTGGCGTGTGCAGTGCAAAAGTCCAGCATCTCGATCAATGTTTCTTCTGCTCAATAAATTATGTCGGCGAAGTAATGACGTTTTTTTGACAGTCGAATCATGTCTGTGAATTCGTATTTGTACTGAAGAAAGCTAAACTGTTTCATTTCATTTCGTGATTGTAATTCTTGAAGTCGTAACTTTTCAGTTCATATTCTGATGGATGCTTCAGTCAGAATGCTTTTAATTTGTGTGTAATTTATCACGGACACGAGCGGGTAACTGGTGGAATGTTAACAAGTCCGGGCGGGTGCGTGTTTAACTTTGATAAATCACAGGTTAACGGGCGGGTGCGGTGCTGTACTGTGCAGGTGCAGGTGGGTGTAGGTCTCCAAAAATGGACCTGTGCAGGACTCTTGGGCTACTGTTGTCCCAATACTAAAATTTCACACTTGATTTCGATACTTGATACTCAATACCGATTCTGATGCCACAATGATAATAAAAAAAAAACTCACATTCTATTTAGACAACATAATGTGATTTTCAGCATAAAATCAGGGTACGTTCTTCCTGCTCAAATGAGTATCTAGTTTCGATCCTAGTTTTATCGATTCGTATCTGATTTGCAATACTCTTGACCAACCCACCTTGCCAAGACAATCCTTCCTTCTTGATGTATGAATGCAAATGACACAGTGAGATAAGCAAAAAATAGTTCTGAAACTATTATAAAGGTCATGTAGACTGTGACAGAATTGCCAAGAATAGAATAGTAAAGAAAACATTTGAGGAAGCTACTGCTGAGTAAGAATAGCTTCCTGTCTACATCATATTTTTTACTTAATGAGTACAAAGTTAAAATGTGACTAAACACCTTAACATACACCCCCTGGACACATTTCAAATACAGCTGCAGTACCTGAAGGACTAAAGAAGAGCGTGAAGAGGGTTGGGATCTGAGAGTAATTAGGCATTTTTGATCAGAAAGTTGCAAATTCACCTACATAATTTGCGCTGAAGTTGCCAAAAAATGACTAGGAACAGTGGACAGTGCTATTTAAAACATCATATACACAGTTAATGTGCATTTTCTGATTGAGGGTCCTTTATCTGGAATGTTGTACAGTATGTACAGTGGTATCAAACCTTTCTATCTTCATGACCAGACCAAACAAGACTAAGTTACAGGTCAGATCTGTGGAGAGACGACCCTGCTCAGTCAGAATGCCTATTTTTCTACGTATTTTGGAGCTGTAAAACCACCTGTAATTGACTAAATATAAGTTTACACAATGCACTTTTACAGTAAGTAATGAAAAAAGTGGATTTAGTGTTTAGTTCTACTTCCAAATCCAAATAATAATAATAATAAATCTGGTATTTTCAAAGAATGGACCATAAAAATAAGGAATCATATCTAAAGAAGCAGTGAAAGAAACTCAAATGTTCAAATCATTTCATATTGTCAACATAAAGCTTTTATCACTTGTAGACTTGAGGTTGCCACACACTACAGGAATTTTCTGTCTTAAAAATGATAAAAAATGCACACAATAGACACAAGAAGAATCTTATGAGACTTAAAATCTCAGATCACAAAGGCTGCAGTGGGATATGGTTGCGTATCACAGGCTATAAAGTTGTGAGCGCAATCATGTCAGCTGTTTCCTGTTTACAGTAAAACCTCTCGCTTTGAGACTCTTAAGTGTTCAAAACATCAGAGCACTGCACTTTTAGTAGATACAAGTCAAAACTGTAGTTATTATTTGTGAAATGTGGTGCAGTACTTCAGATACATGATTTTTAAAGCATAAAAGACTGGCGATAAAGTACACAGGAAGTTGAGTCACTTTCACTAATCTGCACCTTCACCTTGATCGTGCACAGTGTGAACGCAAACAGACTCATGAAGAGCTACTCTCACCTTTTTACTTTCAAAGAAGGCCTCAAACTGGATTAATAGTGCGGTTTTGTGGACTGGATGTCATTATTTGTGGAGGACATTTTCTAATGATAATATGGATGAGATGCTGCACTTTACGAGAAGTGGGTGATAAAGTCTTCTCATTATTTTCTCTTAATCTGGAGTTTGTAGTTTGCGTCTCTGTGTCTGTCACTCCTGTGCCCATGACACTTTGTTTTATTAGCTGTTACCGTGGTTTGGTGGTTACGATATGACAAAGCCACACTCAGAGTCACACTGACACCGCACACGAGGAGTGGAGCGGCGTCAAAATCGCACACAAGGACAAAAAGTTGTATCGCGCCTCCTTGAACTTGGGGAGAAGCAAATCACTGCCAAAATCCGGCAAATTCACCTGTAGTGTTTGAGAAGAGTAAATACAGCTTTTACTCAAATAATAGTACAGTTACACTCAAGTAGGAGTAAAAGTTTGGTGTCTGAAAGCTACTCTGAGAAATACAACATTATTCAAAAGTTACCCAAGTAAATACACTAGAGTAACTGAGTAGTATCCACCTCTAAACCTAAACAGTAAATATACCTCATTACAGTCTCATTACTGTGTCCTACCCCCTGCGAGTACTTCTTTATATGTGTGAAAGACATGAGAGCTTAAATTGGTGTCTTGGCGCATCTTCTCCATGTGAGTAGCACCAGGCCAAATAAGTTACCAAAGAAAGCCTAATGGGAACACTGTGTATAGTCCTCGCCCCTCTCTCTCGCTCTCTCCCTCCCTCCCTCCTCCCTTTTCCTCGGTTCCTCTTGCCCTCTTTCTCTATCATTGGTTCGGGAGGCTGCACATTGGACGCATTAACCGTGAGGAGTACAGGCAGAAGTACTCTCACTAGGTTAATGTTCCTTCATGTGTCCTCACCGTCTAACTAACCCATTTTGGAGATTTTGTACCATTCTGGGTCATATAACTCAGGTCAACAATGTGAAAACAATGTCAAAATCAAAATAGTAGATTTAATTGTCTGGCAAAGCTTGTGTTGATTGTGAGATATTGCTGCAATTGGCCTAATTTGACCCCGATCTTAATAAATATAGTGGGATGGAATAATATTAAGGCTTACATTTAGTGTATATATTCAGGGGGATATTGCAGTGCTAAGTTGCTGTTAGAATACTGTTTCTTTTGCTCTGATTGTAGACTCACTGGAGTTGAGCAGGATCATGGCTTTGAGGCAGACGTACTCCTCCCTCTGCAGTTTGAGCTCTCTCACTCGGGACGTGGCGGCAAGCAGCATGTCAAAGATCTCCACAAAGCCCTGCACACAGCTGCCCTCCTCTCTGTGGGGCAACAGGCAAATACACCATTAGGACTAGTGTTTACTTTCAAGACATATCAGCTAATAACATGAAGTCAATGATAAAAATTAAACCAATTTAAGATAAAATACCAACCTCTTTAAAAGAATATACACAAATATTTTGCATCCAAATGACAAAACTTCTCTTGTAACATTATGATTTGACACTGTCTTGTGATAAAAACCTTTTTCCAAGTAAATGGCGTGGGTTTGATTAAAATGTCAAAATTGTAATAATCAATTAGTCACAATTAATCCAATTAGATGTTGCAGCCCTAACCTTTTAATTGGTTAGATTTATAATAAAAAACAATTTTCACTGACAATCCAAACCAGTTCTCTGTCTAAGCAAAGTGTTTACCTGCTGAGGCTGAGGTCGGGGGAGAAGATGAGTTTCCCAGGGTGGTCCACAGACCTCCACATCAGGCCCAGCATCAGCACCTCGAGCCAGCAGCACTCCAGCAGGTGCACCTGGTCCACCAGGCTCAGCTCCACGAAGCCTGAGCCCAGACACAACACATCAATGTCAATCAAACAGGAAACCTCTTGAATGTGTCATACTCCCAGGTGGGGGCAAGAGCCAGAGTATCACTATTAATAGCATTGTCCTTTTACTTTCTTTTATTAAATATCCAAAAGGTAAATTCACAAATGTTGAACCTGACGACATACACATTTGAACAATATTCATTTTAACTGCCCCACCGGCATCAGATATTATTGGCCTACAGAATTCTGCAATGTCATCTGAAACCCAACAATAATATCTTAATATGGCAATCACAAATAAAGTGTAATTATATATTTTAAAATGATATTTTCTTATATGTCTTTATGGTATATCCAAAACCATAACACATCCAAAGCACAATTTTTTGGGGCGACAGTAGCTCAGTTGGTAGAGCGTTTGTCCACTGATCTGAAGGCTGATGGTTCAAATTCTTCTCTCGACATAAACATCATTTGTTGAGCGATCAAATCCACTGACCCTTAGGTTGGCTGGTGTGATTCTAGCTCCCACAGATAAATGCTGTCGTTGTGTCCTTGGGCAAGGCACTTAACTCACCTCACCCCCAGTGTCTGCGTACTCCGGTGTATGAATGTGTGTGTGAATGGGTGAGAGGTTCCTTGTTGTAAAGCGCTTTCAGTGCCTTGAAGGTGGAAAAGTGCTAAATAAAATGTGATCCATTTACCATTTCACTATTTTCAATTTCACCTTTTAAAATCTGAAACCATTCCAAGAACCCTCCACTAGGCACTCACAAACCCCCAGGGGTCCCCGTACACCTGGTTAGGAATCACTGGTTTAAGAAAGCATTCACAGCACTATTCAAAATACACATCTTTTTAATCTAGTAGGATTCGTACAATACGGTGAGGCTAATTGAACATTGAGAAAAAAAAAAATCCTGGCCTCTGTATTTTCCTTAGAGCACACAAACACTGTTGCGCACAAAATACTGCTATGTCAGAGCTTATTGTGTGCTTGGCTTCAGGAACTAAAATGGCTTCATGAAAATAACAGAACAATAATAATGTTACCCTACATGCTTTTCATTCATCTAAAGCTTCATTTACGAACATTCATCACTATCCATTAGAGCACAATGTACCGTAAGAGACTGTAGCAAATTTGTGAACCCCGTTGACTCTGCAAAGCTCATTTCCCCTATTTTCTACCAGGTCGAGCTAAATGATTAAAAGGTTTATTTATGACGCAGGATATGGAAAAAGATGTATTCAGAGCCAAAATGTCTGGTACAGTGGTAATACAGTCAATGCAGATTATTAATATCAGATATATTAGGATGAGAATTCACCACAACACTTTTAAATAGAATCAGCTTTGGGTTCTGAAAATCAATGTAAACATGTTTGGATTCTACATAGTTGATTGGTGTCAGTACTAGGGTTGTTAAAAGTATCGAAAATCAAATACTTATCGAAACTAAATACTATGGATGTAACGATATCCAAATCTCTTAGCACGATATTATCCCGATATGCATCTCACATATTTAATGCGATATTTTGGAGAGGCTGATATAATTGTAGGTAGGACACTTTTTTGCTTTTAAAATACCTTGACAAGATTTTGGTGTGAATTATTTCTGTCATAATCCCAAGAATTCAAGTAAAAAACATATATCTTCATGTTGTGTGTGTTGAAATGAATCATGGGATATGTAGTTCCCTATGTTTATAAGATGTTGCTACTGTAAAGCAATGCATTTATGCAAAGGAACTTGTAATTCGATATATTGTGACAGCCCACGATATTATTGTGAGACTTTTGACAATACGATATCACGATATTTTGGTTATTGTTATATCCCTGCTAGATTTGAGCAGGTATTGATACTAAAAAGTCACGTTTACAGGACAAAAATGAACCTTTCCTTTAATCATATTGGCAACCCTGACATGAACAAGAAACAACAACTTCTTAACAATTCCTTGTTAATATAGATGCTATAGAAAAATAATGAGAGATGAAATACTTGACAGAAGCAAGTAAAATACCATTCTTTCATTAAAATTCACACAATCTAGTTTGACCCTCTTTTCTAAGAACCCCTGGGGACCCCCTCAGAATTTTTGGGGGCCCAAATTCGGGGTGTCAGCTACTAGGTACACACTAGATATTCCTTTTTAGAACTTACCACAAATTCTGTATTTTTGTACTTTTCTTCTCAACATTTTTTCCACCAACTGTCACTTGACTATAAATATTACAGTAACCACAGGTACTATCCCACCAAACCAAGTAATAATGAGAAAAGCATAAAAACATGTCATACGAAATCATTCAACTGCAATGAGTTTATAAGTCCTTTTCACAACTTTAATATAAGAGCACATAGACGACTATACGCCCATGGACCACTATGGAACTACCTGGATGATTGAGAGATTAGACAGATATAAGACCACATGGAAATATAAAAGAAAATACTATGATTTAATGTTGAAAGTTACATTCTATTAGCTAAAGAAAAAGTCTTAATTATCATTGTGGTATTGGAATCAGTAGTGAGTACTGATTGTATTCCTTAGTATCGAAATCAAGTTTGAAATTTCAGTACCAGTCAGTCATCCAAGCAGTATTATTTAATTTTATTTATATTTATTTATAAGGGAAGGCCCTTGCGATGTAACATCTCGTTTGTGAGGGGGTCCTAAACACAAAACAGACCAAAAGACAAACACAGTACAAAGACAACATTCATACAACACACAAACAGCATACATACTATACAATACATGATCCTAAGATATACACCTCTCTGATTTCACCATCACCACACCTATATTTGTAAATTAGTGAAACAAAAAGCAACTCTATGTACAACAGAAAGTACATACAACAAAAATGTATTTTTATCGAAAACAGGAGCAGGATGTTTGTAAGTATCTGAAGACTGACGCCTTAAAATGGTGGATCGATGCAATTGATTGGATTGAGGAGGGTCCATTCATTTGGAGCTTTGAAGTTAAATGATCTGTGGCCAATTTCTTTTTTTTATTATAGGAACATAAAAAAATAGTTGTTCAGTGTGATGTATATTATATGCTGATCTAAATGGAATCAAAAACTCTTATGTAGGGTGGGAACTTTGAGTAATAACATTTAAACACAAATTGCAAAATCTATTTACAATATCTACAATAATAACACTGATTCAGAACTGGCTACTCTTATGTATGGTGTGGCGAGCGCCCCCAAAATGTAATCAAAAATATAAGTAAGAGTAAAAAGCTGCAGCTGTAGAGGGTGTAGAGGAGTGTTGTTCCAAGTCTAAATGGATAGTAGTGCAACAAGAAGGGCATCTGATGTAATGTTTAGGCTAAGACACTTTGCAACTTGTTACAACATCTATAAGATACACATTTGTTTGTTTTGATTATAGTTTGTACTTAAATTAGATACTCTTGTTTCGTTAAGTCTTACAATGAGGATATATTGCCAGTTAATTTGTACTAGGGCAGGACAATTAATCACATTTTGATCAAGAGTCAGTCACGTATAATCGTTAATGATCAGCTAGGTTTTTTTTTTATTGAGAAAATTCCTGCCAATCCTCTGTCAGTTTAAGGATGTGGTTTGAAGAAGAGTTTAAGTAAGTTTAAGAGGAAGAAATTTGGCTATTTTTAAGTTAAACTGCATAGTTTAAAAGACTGATTAAGTCTGATTCATTTTTTGTCATATTGCACAGCCTTAATTTGTACTTACTTCCCAAATAGAGTAGTCTGTATTCAAGCTTAAAGGTGCATTATGTAACTTTTTGGTTGGGGGTCTGTTACCTCCAAGGTTGTACAGATTTGTCATTGCACTGCCTGATATGACATTGTAGAGTCCCTATTTTGACCTATGAAACTGTGAGAAGCACCCACTTCACTGTTGCCCCGGTATTGGAACTTTAAGAAGGAAATTTTCACCAAAACCATGCACGACCATCCCTCGTTTCTCTTCAGCTCTCTGGACCCTGGAGCTGTATCTTAAACCATTTGATAAGAGACGTGTGCAAGCAAGACAATCTTCTCTTACACAATGACTCCCCAAAAGAGTTACAAAGTTTCTTCTACAAAGAAACCAACTGTAGTAAAAAGTAAATTCAGATAAACTGGCCGTAACCAAGACCTTGTACCTGGGATCTTCTTGGCCCATGTGATCATATGAACCAGCTCCTTGTCTGCCAGGTTGGTGAGTGACATCATGACGTTGGCTTCGGTCAGGGGTCTCTTCATGTCCTTCATGAGGTAGATCTCTGGTGGCTCCGCCTCCATGATCCGACCAATCAGCTGCTCCGGGGTGAGGGCAGGGGGGCGTGGCTCTGTGTGTGGTACTACAGAGGGCACAGGTAATAGCTTGGATCCTGTACTCCGGCCCTGAGAGGACAAGCGGGTCAAACGCCGCGACACCTGGGGAGAGCGAAGGGAGCCGCGCTCTTTACGCATACCTGTGGAAGAGGAAAAGAAGAACTAAGTCAATATGAACATGATAAACTACTTTAAAAATCATTGAAAATCTTTCTGTTGTATTGATTTGTGATTAAAAACTACCTGTGAAAATAGCAAAAAAAAAATACTGGGAACTATAAGCTATGTTTTGAGTTTTATAAAATTACACACTTTTTAATTGAGGGTTTTCTGACTTCAAAAGAAAAATTTTCTGACTCAAATCTTGCACAAACATGCACATACAGACAGACTCCAGCCTGCTCGGATGTGGAGTGCCTGGTTGTCTGTACACAGTCGGGCCTACTTTTCCCACAAGGAGGTGATACTTCTAGTGTTGAGTGCGGGTCAGTCGGTGGTTTGTCCAGAGCAAGAGCGTCTGGTGTCAGAGGAGGGCTCTGTGTCCACTTGCTTTTGTCTCATTAATCTCATTGTCACACTAATTGACTTGTGTGAGCTTTGAGCCATATTAGAATGTTGTTACCTCCTCAAAAACATACTTGGAGTTGTGTTTTGTTTCACACTTTTGCATAGCACTTTATTATTTGTCTGTCTATATCTCCAAAGATCAAAATGCTTTGTTGCACCTTGTGATGTCATGAAGTTTGTTGAACATGTGTGAATGAAACAAAACAACTCCAGGTATGTTTTTGATGAGGAAACAACATTACAACATAGATCAGAAAATAGTGTAATATAGGCCCTTTAAGGTACCACACTGATGCCCCATGAGGTACATACTCGCTCCTTTTGGCTTCAAATACAAAATGCAGAAGTACAGTTTTATTGACATGCATCTACTGCACAGAGGAGGAGAAGAGTTGGGAACAGCACCCGGGTATGCTGTTTGAAAAGGGCTTGTAACTCCAGTTGTTGTGATATTGACATCTTATTTAAAAACAAAAGAAATAGTAGAAGTAAGTAGTATTATGAATGTGATTACTGTGCATAGTGATCCAAAAAACTGGGGGGAAAAGTGGACCAAAAACAAAAACTGGCAACTGTATTGTAACTATACCGACAATTTAATATATATAAAAAATAGTTTTGTCTATGATGTAACAAAAACGAACTGAAATTACCACATTGCATCCCAGCATTCAGCAATAAGCAATGACAAGAAAGTGCTACCACATGAGCAACAATGTAAGGAAATAAGTCTTTAAATACCACACTTAGTCATGCCGACTTCGTAGCACTTGCGCAGACGACAGGCCTGGCAGCTCTTACGGCGGTTCTTGTCGATAGTGCACTGATTGGTGGCTGGACAGATGTAGTCATTATGGCCTGTGACAAAAGACAGGGATGTGAAAAGTTAGTTATGAAATCAAATATCTAACGTATAATTCAAACAGGAGTAACAGCATGGATTTTTAAGAGAAAAAAGTGGTGAGAGAAGAGGAGATGGAGAGGCTGAGGAGGGTAAAGGGTATGCTGTAGAGGAGGAGGAGATGGGGTGGTTATTTATTGTATTTACCACTTTTTTTGCATTTTTCCTTGAAATGCATTAAAAGATAGCCTGATTCATCAGCCGGTTTCACTTCGTGGAAATCGCCTGACCTAACGTCTTTCCCCTTGATAAAATTCACCAAACATTCTCTTTGTTCCGGCTTTAAATCCTTGATCTCGGGAATCGTTGCCAACACAGAATGTATGTCTTTGTCTACATCCATCTGGACAGCTTTGTTTACTGTTGTACTGTAAGAACAAAAGGGACCCAGACAGGCGCTTGAGTTTGACATCACGGCATCACAGCTCTCCACTGACTGGCCAGTGAGGGGTCTACAACTTCCAGGGTTCTTGCAAACCGTCTAGTGTATTCTGATTCCTGACCAAGTCACTGGAGACAATGAAACTGAGTGGAGGCACTAGGTGGTGCCAGCCTGGCTACATTAAAGGCACAACACCTGATTTTTACTGTCTCAAAAACAAATGAAGTACTAGGAAAAGACATTCCTTGTGTCCTAATCATTCACCGCAATGACTTTTATAAGCTCTTTTCTCAACTTTCTAAGGAACTGAACTAGCATGCTAACAGTGCACCGGTCTAACTTCCTGGTTCATGGAGGATAGAAAGACCAAAATAACACCCAGAGGTCTCATTTTGACCCTAATACCTAATTTTTATCTATTTACTTATCTGTACTACTCTGTATTACTACTTGGAAAAAATGGTGCAGCCCTTTAAATATTTGTGGTGAAGATAGTTAAGTAATTACTAAATCTATTACTCATCCCTGGATATATTATACTTCAAACATGTTTTTGATGTCTAGACGGAAGGGATACTGAAGTTGTAACTTCAGGAGGACAGAAGAGTTAAAGGTTAAGGTTATGATTTATGGTTATTTTTTGGTCTATGTGTCTAACCTTGAATGTTCTCTCTTAAGACCCACTTTTCTCAGGCTTTTAACACCGCGTGAGCTGTGTGGTCCTCTATGTCTTTTATTTATTTTGCTTATTTACTGCTATTTTATGATTTTTGTGGTTTTGCTTTTATTTGATTTCACCGGTTTTATTGTTTTAGGACTGCTATGACCAAATTTAGCAATTTGTCTTCATTTTATGATCTCTGTGCAACGCCTTGGAAACTGCTTGTTTGTACAATGTACAATATAAATAAACTGGATTTGGATTTAACCTTGAATGCTCCTCTTGAAGAAAGCTTTGCAGCCCTCACAGGACCAGACTCCGTAGTGGTATCCTGAAGCGTAGTCGTGGCACACAGCGCAGTAGTGCAGGTCTGATTTTACGCCAGAAGAGACCACGCCCTCATCACTCTCCTGGGAACGTCTTCTTTTGCTTTAGAGATAAACAACAATATTAAAACACAATATAATATGCACTTATCATAGAAGTATGGCCATTTGTTTAATAGGATTGAGTAATACATTGCACTCAAAATGAAATCGCAGTTTGAGTTGGCCAAATTATCACATTCCAAAGGCTGCAATGATGTCTATGCAGTAAGAAAGCTTTCAGCATAGGATAGGAATCTGTGCACATTTGGGAAATCTATGCATATTTGGCTGTAGTTGAGGATAAAATATATAATCGTAAACTCTCGAATGAGCCCAGTTGTAAATAAAATGTGTTTTTTAATGTGTATTTTATCCATTAGTATACGAACTGAAAAGTTACGACATCAAGAATTACAATCACAAAATGCAGGTGCACGATCGCTTTTGGTTTGTGCCACTTCTCAGCACCACCTCAGTCTCCTCATCCTCTCACCTTCCCATTCAATGTCCTCAGCTTCACCTCTACCACCTCCAGGTCTCAGGGGGAACATATCTCCTAAACATCATCTAATCTGCCACCTCCTTATTCTGCCAAAGCTAACTCCTTCAATAAAACTGCTAATACTTTCTCTTTGTGTCTGTCTGAGTCTCTCTAGGTTGAAATTCCTCTACAAACATGTTCTGAAATGCATGGGATTCTTGTATTAGTTTATCATATGTCAGTATTTTCTCACTGTGTCATTTTCTTTTTTCTTTCTAATAGCAATTGCAACTTTGAAAACTGAAAAAATGTGCAACCCCTTTTCATATTATATACATACAACAGGCTCAAACACAATAAGCATCCCCAACATCATTGCGTACGGATCAGCAATTTCCTTAGCAGGTTCTCTATTGGTTCTTAGTCATGGACAAATATGATCAATTGTAATTTGATCCAGTTTTTTGATTAGATCGTCATATTGTGACTCAGTGCTTTTCTGTTTAGTGCGTCTCGTGGAGCGTTTGGACCAATCAGAGTGAGAGCTGCTGGAGTGGCTCAAAGCGGGGCTAATCTAAGTTTTACAAAGGTAACATTTAGTCGGTTTGAAGATTTAAACATTTTAAAAACTTATGTTGTGAAAATAGAACAGAATCCCTACAAATTGGATGTTTGTGAAAGTTGTCGGCCGAATATGGGGACAGTTTGAATTCCCAAAAAATGCATTGTGCTTCTATGGGAGAATTCTTTCTGGGCCCAAGCTCCGGGGAGCTGCAGTACCAAAGAATCAGCCACTAGTCGGTCTCGGAAAGGCAGGAAAGAGGGGGAGTGCCTTATCCAGTTATTATTATAGATCCATGGCTCCTACACAGATATTTTCTCTGCCCACTTTTCCCATTGGTCAAGCTCTGAGTGAGTGACAGTTGGACTTAACCAATCACAGTGAAGTGTGAACTCTCAGAAGCAGCAGATGGCTTTACTTTCTCCCTTATGGCAGATAAATAGATACTGGATGAATCATGAAACTGAATTAAATGGGAAATTGAGATATGATTCTTTTTTTACTCATCGCTGTTTGGTTTTCTACTCATGTTTCTTTACCTGTTTCTACATCATTATTCCATCCTTGAACCCCTTTTGACAGATACTGACCACTGCACATGGGAACACCCCTCAACAGCTGTCATTTTTGCAATTTTTGGAAAGATCCGTTTATCTATCCTTTGATAAATGATCAAATTCAGTAAAAATCATGAATATCTTTTCTATGGGGACAAAATAATAGCTCCCATATGCCATTATGAAGAAAAAAAAAAATCCGATTCACCAAATATTATTCTTTTTTTCTTTTTTTTTGTTAGTAGCTCAGATTCATTTAGATCAGCCAAAGCTATGTTTACAAACACACCCAAAATCTGATTATGATCTGATCTCTGGAGTTTATTGAAACACATCTGTGAGTAATCTGATTTCTTTCTGATGGTTCACAGCTGTGCAGGTTTTGACAAGGAATATTATTCAAAAAGGGAAAACTAATGTACCAAAGACAAAAATGAAAGAGAAAATGAGATTGGAAGAATAACAGTAAAAAGTAAAATCCATTGTACTTTGTCTTCCAAATACAACTGTTACTCTAAAAATCCTTTATATTACACTATTTTAGGGCCTATGTTATAACGTGGTTTCCTCATCACAAACATACCTGGAGTTTTATTTTGGTTTAGGCTACGTTTATATGATGACGGTTTGAACAGAAGACGCAAATGTGGTGTCACGTCTTCACTTTTTATTCCACGTTTAGACAAGCGTTTTCGAGAGGAAATCTATGTGCATACGGTGATGCAAAAGTGTGTGGACATACAGAAGTTTTCACGCCACTCATTTTCATCAGCTACTCCTTCTACAAAGTTCTTCCAGGTCTCGTCCATAGGCATCTGCCTCGCCTGCGACAAACTGGTGCATCCAGAATTTGACAGAGGCAATTGCAGACCCTTCTCTGTTCACTAATACATGTACATTTGTAGGGATGCCTCCTGTAAGATTATTCGAGATGCCAGAGCAGCTTCAAGGTCCGATGCATGAAAATTATGTTTGTTTCTGTATACTGTATGTATGTGACGTAAACACGTACACAACGTGAGCAGAACTGACCAGAGTTTGGCATCTTGGGCAGCGCAGACGAAACGCTACGGCGGAGCATATTCAACTGGTTTCAGATTTTTGCGTTTTTAAGCAACAAAAAGTCATCACCATCTAAACAAAAGGCACTTCTGAAAAAATATTTTGTAATTTTTACCCACAAGCGCTCTCTCGTAAACAGGCCCTTAGTCACAAATGTTGAACACATAAATCCTGCATACTTCATAGATCTTCTCTTCCCCTTTGTTCCACTTTATGATGTGATGAAGAGCTCCACTGTGTTTCTAAACTCTGTTCACCTCTACCCTGGAATTGCCAATGTCTTCTGAATAAAACATAAAAGTTTGCCACTAAATTGAAAACTACTGCAGAGCATTTAGAGATTTGGAGTTAATCAAACATGTAAATGAAACAATACACAACTCCAGGTATGTTTTTTGAGGAGGTAACAACATTATAACATGGCTTAAAGATCAAAATAGTAAATTTTGCATAATATAGGATCTTTAACTAACACATATTTTTGATTATCAGATTAGATTCAAAGAAAGACTATACAAAAACTATACCTTGTCATTAAGACGCTGTCCCTGGGCTGTATCTCCACCCAGGGACTCGGAGTGGTCTGGGTGTGGGTGGGGCGAGCCTGGGAGCGGTGCAGGGGCAAGGGGGACCCCACGTGTCCGTGCCCAGACCAGAACAGGGAGGGGCTCAGGCTCTGGTGCACCGTGGAGCACTCCGACAGACCCGTGCTGTTGTAGCTGAAGATGGTGGGACTGTAGAAGGGTAAGGAGGTGTAGTCGGGGGCCAGTTCGGTGTAGGGGGAGGGGATGCAGATGGGGGGAGCGGCTTCGATGGACAGGGCCGGGGACGAGGAGCCCATGAGGGGGGAGAGGACTCGATTCACTGCCCTGCTAGAGTCCACCTCCTGGAGCTGTAACAGGGGTTTCTCCTTGTCCTGAGAGGAGGTGGCCATTACAAATATCTTAATAACCAGCTAAGACTACGACATTATGGGTCAGAAAAAGTGCAAACATTTTCTAAACAAACTTTGCTTCTAAAAATAGATTTTCTGTAACATACTATTTGAGTTTGAAGTGCAATTTGAAGTACAATTCTGACAACTCTATCTGAATTTGCTTATGTATTGATTCCTTGTTGCCTAATAGCAAACGGCAAAAGCTGCAGTTTTTGTAATTCCATAATTTTTTCCAATTTCCACAAATATTATTATAAGTCTGTGTAAAATTCTTGCATTAAATTTCCAGTTCAGATTAAATTTTTTTGTAAATTCTTCTAGATGAGTTTAAAATGAGAACTTTGAACAAAATACTTCTATTATTAAAACATGAATTGCAAATCTAAACTTGCCACAAAAAATACAATTAGTATTATAAGAAAGTATAGTTTTTACTTGCTATACTTTTTAGCTCTTACTTGATCATTAGAAAAACAAAAAGAACTCCAACTTGAGCACATTTAGACTTTACTCTATCTCCCTGATTTCAACACAGTCAAATTAAAACTGGGCATTTACTGTGTTGGTAATTACCCACAATACGAAATAGAAAAAACAGCAGTATTCCACCCCCGCAGGTCCAGGTAACAAGGCTCACATTATAAAAGCCTCACAGAGAAGCAGATTATGTTGCTTGGAGCCACAGTCCTGTTCAGGGGGCAGTCAAAGGGAGTGGAGGAAGAGGGGGCTTTTGGGGCAGTGGGCAGGAGTGGTCTATGGGCAGCTTGCAAGACGCTCCATCTGAAACAGAAAACAGAAGATCATAAGTGGTATTTATTTATTTATTGTTTATTTGTTTATTATTTATTTATTTCATTCATAAAGTATAAAAAGACATTAAGGGCCTGATCTTGCTCCCAATCTTAGCACTAAGCGCAAGTATTAAGGAGGGGGTGTGCTCAGGACGAGCTGTACTTCGCTGCTGGAGGCTGGAGTGGAACGGTACAAGTACATATGTGGTGACGGCATCTGGACCAATCTGTGACCGCTGTGGCATTTAAAAGTACTGCCCGTGTGGGTAAAGTCTGCAATCTTTGCCTCATTACAGGCACTACAGCAGAGTGTAGGGAAAAGTTATATATGTGACAATAAAACAGCTCTGGAGCCCCACGATGCAAGTATGCACCAGTAGAGGCGCCAGGAATATAGAATTTTGTATGGTCCACGACAGAACTGACTGGGTTTGTGTTCCGAAAACTCTGCGAGCACATGTGCCCCTCTCATGCACGCGCACCGCTGTAAGCCTGTGCATGCACACATCAACCTATAGTTTTCTCTGTTTGTTTTCCTCCCATTACGCAGCAGACCAGTGTCTATCTCATGTACTCCAATCCCACAGCAGACCCGCTACTTTCTCACACCCACTCCCGCCTGTCCTGCAGTCTGCTCCCACGGACTCACCTGAAGTCAGAGTGTCCACTGCTGCTGCCACTGACCACTCACATTCTTGTCTCACGGGTGTCCACTGTATTTAATCCCACACAGGTGGATGTCTCGCACTTTATGGATTACGTTTATTGTCATATAAATGTTTCTGATGTCACCGCTTTGCGCACAGATATGATATGTGCATCTGTTCCACTGTCACAGCCCCAGCCCCAAGTCAGTGAATGCGCGCACTGATGCCTGTCAGAGTCCGGCTGCGAGAATGTGAGGAAATCCATTAGGACACAGACAGGGTAAGAAAACACACTTTAGGACAGAGCTGTAAATGGCCTCATGTGAATGAGCAGCTTTTGTACAGATCCAGATCAAACCAAACTATAGAGCAGAGCTGAGCCGATACAGGGAGTGCGTGAGGGGCTGTGCTCCGCTGTGGGAGGGCATCCGGACGGCTCCCGCACAGACCACGAACATGTTATGAATGTTAAGCAATTATCATCCTAATATATTTCTTGAGCATGTTACATGTTGTTTTTCAATGAACTCGTTTAATATTTATTTTTATGATTCTGGCAATTTACTGAATGTGCCACACCACACCCTCAGTCTGCTCCACTTCACCTGATATTCAGGCATGGCACACCTTTTGTTTAGAGCTCCATGTCCCACACTTGCGCTAGTGCTGAGATCGGGGCCAAGATCAGGCCCTAACAGCATCACAACATCAAACATACAAGAAATTAATGATAAGGAGCAGAAAGAAGAGAAATCTTATGTTATTCCCCCTTTTCCAGACAATACATCAACACTGAGAGTCACTTTAAAACATTTTAAATCAGTACATTTCAGTTCAGTCACATTCAATCACATTAACCGCAAACAGAAATCTTCACTATTATGCACAACAACTTAGTTTCCTTTTTCATACATACACCTTGCACTGCATTTTTAAAATGCCATTATTGTACTTGATTCTTTTATATCTTTGTCAAGACTATTGCATAAATTAACTCCTTTCACAGTAATGCTTCGCTACATAACCTGTTTATTGTGTTACTTTGATTTACTGGTACTTAAACCAGCCCCAACCTGTGGATAGACTTATGCTTGAAGAATGCTGTAAATGCATGTGCCAAACTTAAAGACAGGTTGTTTACAGTTTTACTTCTGTTAACTGATGACACATATTTGGATCACCGTGTTATCTTTTACTGTTTTGAAAATGCCAAAAACAATGTTTCATAACATGTTTCATAAGTTGCTCTGAGTCTCTTCTCCATTTGCTCTAAATGCTAAGTCACCCCCCCTTCAGAGCACCATCAGAACACAATCAATGAAACTACTGTACACAGCTAACCGGAAAAAGGGTTCGAATAGGGCTCAGAGATTAGAGCCTTACAGGACCCGACGCAAAACAGTGCGGCGCGGGACAATTTTTGAAAGCTCATTGCGGGCGCGGGCAAGAGCGGGACTGCACAGTGTGGTAGCGGGCGGGTGGGATGATAAACTGCAGTCCCGCAAACTGAATATGAAAGTAAAGTAAAATAAGCAAATGGTTAATGTATGCCTGTCATACATCATTTGTGCCAATGTTTTATTTGGCATTAATAAAAACATGTTAAGCAGCCTAAATTTGCAGACGTGGCCTAATCTCGCACACATTTTGGACAATTTCTTTCCGCTCCTCTGTGTTTGATAGATCTTAAGAAAATGCAGGATTTGCAGGTGGGAGCAGGACAAAATATATTGCAGATGCAGGCGGGAGCAGGACCGAAAATTCTGTCCCTCGCAGACCTCTATCAGCGCTATCTCTAAATTACAAAAACATGCATGGATGACATCTAAAACCTCTTCAGGCATGTTTGTTGTTGGTGATTATAACATGATAGAAAGTTTTAAAATTGATTTTGCATAATCTCTCTTTTATTAAATATTGGTAATGATGAATAGAAAATCTGTTCCAGTTATTACTCATACCAATGACTCATAAAATTGTGTTTAATTACGATACGGTTCTTATGCTAATTCATGCTTTCAAAGTGAGAAATGACGCAATTATTAATGTTCCACAGTACAACATTTCTCCTTACCGTGAGCGAGGTTGCTTTTCCACAGTGCTGACCTGTAACTTGGCTTAGTGGTGTCATTTGCTTGTCTTCATAGAGATAAGTTTAATGCCATACTGTGAAACATTCTAGACAAAGCGATAACTTCTCCATGGAGGCAAGAAGGTGACTGAACCCAGCACCAGAAAAGGTACATTTATAGGGCACCTTCAGTATTGATACTGGACAAAATTACATAACAATGATAACTTGACCTGATCTAAGATAACTGTAGATAAGGCAGTGACATTTCCATGGAGATAAGCAGGTGCCAGAAATGTTACAAAGTGCACATTTAATATTAAAGAAGACCTATAATGCTTGTGTCTGCTATATAGTGATAATTTATGACGCCCGTGGATAATTATGTTAGAATTTGGACATTTTAAATCTTAATACACATCTAAAACGAGTGAAAAAAAGGAAACAAGTCCACTGATTTCCACAAAAATTGTAGCAAGGCTGGCGCCACCTAGTGCCTCCACTCAATTTAATTCCTCTCCAGCGATAAGGTCAGGAATCGGAATACACTAGACGGTTTGCAAGAACCCCGGAAGTGCGAGTTCAGGCACCAACCAATCGGCGAAGAGGAATACATTCTGTGTTGGCAACGATTTCCGAAATCGAGGATTTAAAGCCGGCACAAAGAGAATGTTCTGTGAATTTTATCAAAGGGAAAGACGTTATTGCCCTTCTTCCTGTGGAACTTGGGAAAAGCTTAATAAACCAGTTAGCCCCGTTAGCCCCAAATAGCAGCGATTGGTTAAATAAAAAAGTATCCGCCTACTGTCAAGTGAACAAATTCTAATGCTGTGAGGTCAGATGAATCAGGCTACAAAAATGGAGATCACACTAGCAAGCAGCAAATTTTTTTTTTCATTTGTACCAATATGACCACACAACTCTGCCAAGTCCTTCGCTTATCACAGATTAAGAGAATAAAATTGGAGAACAAAGAAAGTACGGAGCAGTGGGTGTAAAACTGAGGTTGATCTGCAATATGGCATGTTGAAAATAAGCAATTAAATATCACTCAAACATGCACAAATTACTCCAAATACAACTTTTGGGTGAGCAAATGCTGAGGGGAAACAACTAAAACATGGTTAAAAGCTCTGAAGTCAATTTTCTTTCTCTAACCCAACACAGCCTGTACCCTTATAATTTCTCTATTGAAAATTAGAACTGCAAGAAACCTGGCAGCCAGCAAAGCCCCAGTAATCCGAAGGAGTATTCAGAAACCAAGGCAGTAAGTAATTAAACTCTGCCACAAGTACAGTTGGAGATCATTCATTTTGATGCAAATTGTGAAAAAATGCCAAAACGAACAAATGGTTTTATTAGATCAAATAAAACTGTGACTTGAGAATAATTCCCCGAGCTGGGAAAGCTATTGGGAAAATTGAGCCTTCATTTAATAATAACATGGGCAAATTTCTGTCATTTGGAGTCATTTGCCCAGGAGTATTGTGAGTGGAGCCATATGTCAGGACAAATATTCATAGGACTGCTGCTAATACTAATACTACTACTGATGTTGCTGCTGCTACTACTACTACTTTTTTTTAAGATAAATGCACATACTCAAAACAAAAACATGTGGAGACTGTAAATGAACTATTAAAGCTGCACAACATAAATTTCTGGTAGAGGGTCCATCAGTTGCTCGTCTTAATGCAGATGTTATTATTTCGTTCAGAATGTTCTGTAGTATGTCATTAAATTACTTAAAGGTGCACTGTGTATTATCTGTTTGTCTCCATGGAAATAGTACTGTTGTGCCTTGATTACTCTTCAGTACTGAAAACAAACTTGGTTTGTTAGAAGTTACAGAGTGCATCTTTTACTATCTTTGGAGAAGTAAAGAGCACCACCAGGCCAAGTTACAGGTCAGATCAGTGGAGAAGTGACTCTATTCATGGTATTTTTCACTGTATTTCTACTATCAGAAAGACCTGAAATTGAATAAATACATAAGAGATAAGTTTAATGCTATATGAACATTTGACACAAAGCAATAATATCTCAGGCCCAATCCACACTAGTACATATTCGGAGTCTTTTTTGTTGTGGATGCAGTGTTTGTCCACACTAATCCTTTTTGTCACACTGTCCACTGAGTTGTGTCCTTTATAAAGGGTGACGTATAGTTCTGCGTTGACTCAATATGCACTGCCGCTGTCGCCTTGTCGCTGTCGTAGGGAGGACCAATCACAGCCCTTATTGTCTGCGTCGCTTCTCCTGCTGTCTGCG